GCACGAATTCCATGCCCCGGGCCTCTAGTATATAATAATATCAAGAAGGGAAAAAATGTTCGCTTCTGCCAGAACAGTCCAGCCTTTCTATTGAATACAGAAGCAAACTACTGATTTCATCTACATGGAATACCACAGCCTCTAATTATTGCATGAAGCATATTCCCATTCAAAGGGGCAAAATTTGTTGTTCCCAGTTAACTAGAACTTTTAAAATTTTCAGCTAATTTTTATATTCATTCTCCTTAATCTCAGTTCCAAAATAGTGATAGTAAACCACATTTTTTTTTAAAAAAATACTATTTTTGTTTGAAATATAGCATATTTCATCATTGTTTTTCTGCCAATGCTCTCCCAGATCTCATTAATGACTTCACATGTGGACAGCCATAATATGCTCTTAAATGTTCCCCATACTCTTGCCTCTCAGGCTCTTTTGTTACCACAATCATCCCTCTAAAGAACAGAGGTAAATTGTTCCCCTTCTTAAAAACCATGACAACTCTCCAAAAGCATATAGCTCTTAAAGTGGCATATGAAGAACTTTCAGAATCTATCCTAACCCCCCTTTCTAGCCTTATCTTCTTCCACTTGCTCATATCAGAAACCCAAGACCTTCACCCTAACGTTCTACTTGCTGTCCTTCAGCCCTTTCACTTCAACTCCAGCCTTTGATTTTCCTGATGGACCACAAAGATAGTTAATAAGACTCACCATTCCCTATTTGAAAATTTATTTGTCATAAAAGATTTTGTCTTAGGTAGAATAGAATCACTAAAGAAAGGCCCAAAGTTTTATAAGATATTCATCATGGTAGTTATAAGTGAAAGTTGTATGTGTACCTGTGTGTGTGTGTGTGTGTGTGTGTGTGTGTGTGTGTGTGTACACAGAATTATACATAGACATATGTGCATTCAGTGTAAGCCACTTGGTGGTGACAACACCTTAAAGAACTTTAAGATCAGTACAGTTTTAGCCTACTTTGGAAGAGTCAGAAAAAGAATCCCGTTATATTCTATACTGGTTCCAGAGCACATTATAAGTTATACATCTTCAGTTTCTTCATTTTAAGAAAAATATTGAAAAAAGTGAAGTTACCAGTATTTTAGAGAGAAAATGTGATGGTAAAGATTTTAGAGACCATATCATGAGGAAAGATTAAACAGGAGTTGTAAAATAGATACTAAAGGAGAATAAGACTTCCCGTGTGGCTCCAGAGGGTAAATCTAGGACTAATAGAACCAGATCTCAGAGCGGTGTAACAAGGAACTTTCTAACAGTCTGGCGTGGCCACAAAGGGCATGAACTGCCCCCACGGTGGAGTGAGAGCTGCATTTCAGAAGTGTTCCCACGAGAATGGGTAGACCCTGTTAAGGATGCTGTTGTGGATGAAAGTGTAGACTATAGATGATTTCTGGAAATGTGTCCAACAAAGGCTCTGTGAAAGCGAACATGGCTGGGATTTTCTTTTGTGGCATCCACTAATATCGATATATTCACCATGTACTCTGCATTCATTTTGCTTACTTGGGAATTTCAAAGAAGGAAAACAAAAAAGTCTTGTATTGCTTTTATCTAATTCTAATAAAATAACGATAATACTTTTCACTTATGCAGCACTTTTCATCCAAGGATTTCAAAGTGCTTTACAAACATGCACTAATTAAACCTCCCAAACGGCCAGAGGTAGGTGGCTTTCCTCCCTTTCTCTGGGAATGTCAGCTCTGGCCCAGAGTTCAGTGAGAGCATCCGAGGGCCTGGGACCGCCCCGGCTGCTGTCCCCGTGTACCGTGCTGCATGTGACGCGTCACCTGTCATGTCTGGGTCCCCCTCCCCCATCATCTCAGGTTTAGAATCCTAGTGAATGCTGTTAAAAATTTATTTGAAGCCTTGTTAATATTACAGGAAATTGAGTAATCCTGCTTGCTGAATGCTAATAAGAGCTGTAAGGGTTTTTATAAAGTTAAACCTAGGTGTAGTTTTTATATTTGCTTTTGGATTTTAAATATAAATGTTTTGTTTATGAAGAATCTGCCGTTTTCCTCTCTGGGTAGCCCAAAATCTTTGCTCTTGGATCATAAAACTTAATAGCAGGTGGGGTTGGAGCCCTTACCTTTCCTAGTTGTCTTTTCACAACGAATAGTAACCATTTTCATTGAACTGAAATTATTATTTCCAAAAAAGAGATCTTGCATTTTGGTATTTTTCTAATTTAAAGTTCCAAAGTATGACATCTAGACCTGAGGGTGCTATATAACTATCCTGGAAAGGAAGAGTGGTCTAGTTGTACTATATTCTGATCTAAAGGGACACACAGCTCCTGTGCATAGGTCAGCAGTACCAGGAAGCGGACATGCACATGCAGACACACACGTGCAGTGCGGGATTAAGGTCCCATATAAACAGCCAACTGTACGTACTTACCTGAAGCAGAACAGTCACCGGGACAAGGGCAGGTGCACATCTCACAGCCGAGTCTCCCTTGGTTCTCGGCCCCCCATGAGGGTGTGCAAGTGCCTCTCATACTGTTGCCTCCCACGGGAGAACGAGTGCATAAATGTCCACATGTCCCAAAAGAACAGAGGTGGCTTCAAATTTTCCTCCTCCTCTGGAAATGCAAGACATTTTGTCCTTGACGTTGTACTGCTCAGAGATGTCTCTGTGTCAATAGGACACCTGCAGGCTCAGACACAAACTCACCCGAGTTCTGGGTTACGTCTTACTTTCACCGACTGGGTGCAAATTCTTACCAGCAATGTGACGGATGTTTAAAAAAAACGTAACACCCACCTGTCAACTTACTATGGAAAAGTAACACCATCAGGCATATCAGATATTTATTCTTTACCCTTTTAGCAAGCCCCATGAGAAAAAAAAAAAAGGGTTCAGAAGTTTGCCTATTGGTCAGAGGAAGAAAGAAAAAAAATGGAAGGTTTTGCCTTTTGAGTGTATAATGACCTCAGATTCTCAGAACTTTGTTGAGGCTCCTCCCTCGCGGAGGACAAGCCTTCCGGAACAGGTGGGTGCTGTCAGAGGGAGCCCCCAGGAAATTGCCTGGGTTGGTTCTCCCAGCGCTGCCTCGGGAGCCTGTGGGCAGACTGCCTTCTGAGGCTCCTCTTCCTCCTCCAGATAGAATTAGTCATTGTCACAGTTCTGTGAGAGGGTCAGAGTTCAAGGTGCTTTTGTCTAGTTCTTCACTGATCTGCTGTGTGCTTCTCATTTCCAAGTTCTTGAAAGAGATCTCACCACAGCCCCTTGATTGAGAAACAAAGACAACATTGAGTTGAGTTTAACCTAAGTCTGCTGCTGCTTGGCCTCAGAAGAGATGCTGAAATACGTAGGAAGTGGCTTAAGTAGAAAGATGATAAAGGAAGGAGTGGAAACCCACAGCTATGCCATCGCTCTTTACGTAGTGGAGTGTTGTTCAGATACATGTCTGTTAGCCTCAGTGCTTCAGGGGGGAAATTTCTACAGCAATTTTCCTCTGATTCTAAAATGATACAGGTGTAGCTGAGCTCATGGACGCCACTAGTTTCTGAGATATCTTAAAAGCTGCTTTTAGACTAATATTTCTCTTCATCATAAAATGTGACCTTCCCATAGGACCAAGGTGGGAGGATCGTGCTAATATTTTGCCATTGTAAGATAAAATCCAAACTTAAAATTTTCAATCGACTTTCAGAAATTATAGATGGAGCCCAAAAGTTTGATTTATCCAGCATCACTCATTATAAACGCTAACCTAGACTTGCATTTCAGAAATTCCATTCCTCCGAGAGGTGGATACCCTTGATTAATATGCCCTATATGTATTATGACTCTTTACATTTCAGTTCTAAATCCTATCCCAATACACACACACACACACACACACACACTATATAAAACCTTAATATTTTAAATTATAAGGTATTTTCATCTCATTTTGAGCTGTGAGAGTAAGTTAGTAGCTATTTGGATATATTGTTTAATCATATTAAGATTTTGCTTGTAAGAGAAAAGTATTTCCCATCTAACAATATCTTAAATCATTTAAATATATTTATTTTTTCAGAGCTTACATTTCTGCATCATAAGCCCTTTCTTTTGGTTGAAAACGAGCTCACTGGCATTCCCTGCATGAGCTGTGCATGAGCATGCTGCAGCTGCCACATTTGCCTGGCAAAGCTCGTGATTTTGCTAAGCGTTGGGTAATTTTCTGAACCTTAGAGGGTGCTCTGGAGAACAGATTCTCTTCTAAATAGTTTACTAATGGAACAATGCTTTGTTTAAGGTAATAATGTTCTAAGTTATTTCATTATCAAGTTATTTTTATAACTGAAGGTTATCTTTGGACTTCTATTCTCATGGAATAAAATGAATCAAAATGTATCATTAACTTGCTGTTACTCAAACATGTACTATTGAGTAAATGTTTGCACTGTGGAGCCAGAAGAGAATTGCAGATCACTTTGAAATTCTGTAAAATGTCCTGTCTTCTTCCTTTACTCACATGCTTAGTGTGCAGTTTGGCCCTGAGTGAGCATTTACTGTTAAAATCCAACTGCATGTCCTTGTAATAGTGGATCAGTCCTACATCTTCCTATGAAGGAGATCTCATTATAAACAGCAAAACTCATTTTTCCAGTTTTAGCATTCCCTCCCACTGTATTTCAGATCATGGCTAGCATGTAAAAATTTTTCATATTCTGGCATAAAAGCCATATAGGCATGTAATTTGTTGAAACTGTTCTGATCTGTCCTCCTCGTTATCTCTAATGGTTTTACCCTGATGACAGTGGTTCCCAACACTTTTTTATTGCATATCATTAGAAGTAAATATTTGTCATACACATTTTATGGCTATATTGATTTTTTTTTTAAAGGATTGGCAATATCCACATCAATCACTTCCATTGCTAGGAAGAGAATCTTGAAGGTGTAAAGTTCCAGGCCTCTGACCTGACCTGCATTGTGGATGTGTGGTGAAAGATATAACATATTTCTCTTTCTCTTTCTAGCCTTGGAATGGATGGCTTTGGCCAGCCAGTCGGCATTCTGGGGCGCCCAGCGACAGCATACGGATTCCGCCCTGATGAACCTTACTACTATGGCTACGGGTCTCGATAAAGGCGTCCCTTTCCATGTGTGCTCTTAGCTTAGAAGAAACCTGTGTGGTTTGGGTTGACTCTGCATATTGAGCTAATAATGCATGTTGATACTATTGCAGGTCTGTGCTTGTTTTTTCATTTCGTGTTGTTAGCTGCAGGTTAACTGCACCCCCTATTACTCCCTGTTAAGTAGAGCGGATGCTAGACACTGTTCATCATCGGGCCATATCTGATGCTGGATAACATTTCCCTTGAGACTCAGAAGTGGATGCTGAAAAGCAACTAGACTGGAAAACAAACACTACATTATGTACATTAAGTGACTAATTTAATTTCTATTAAAAAGAAACAAAGTACAAATGAATTAGAGAAAGTCATGTGTTTCTATTTAATGTGTTTCATTAGGAGTTACATGCTTATATAGGGTGCATATGAATTTTATTTTTCCCCGCCTCATTTCCCTCCTTGTAAACTCTTGAGTATTTCATGTGGCATGTGCTACCCTGAAAATTTATAAAAAGACGTCACCTTTTTATTCCATGCCATGTGCCTGAAAAGTTGCTTCCCGAAGTTACTATGAGTTTTCAATTAACAATGGAACATATGCCATATGTTGTTATATGTGAGTATAGTCTCTTCAACCATTTGCATTCATGTCTTTCTTAATATAGAAAGTCTGGGACATCTATTAGTATGCATGAAATGAGATTAGTATTGGGTTTTTAAATTTTATGATTTGTGAAATCTAAAGTATGATAAAGCTAATTGTCCTCTCTCGGAGGAAAATTAAGAACAATATTTTGCTCACTAAAATACTTGTTTCCCATTTGTTCACTTGTTGTTATAAGTTAGATTTAGGTAGTAAGAAATGGAAAGACTTTATAATTAATCATGAGTTTTGTAAATAGCTCAATGTTACAATGCTTAAAGTTTACTAAAGCAAATAAAATAGAATAATCTGTAGCTATTTCCTTGAGCACTTGTTGTGGAAGGAATTATGTAAAGATTTGAAGGGATGCATAGATCAAAGACAACTTCTATCCTTGGGTTTTAGATCTCATTGACCTACTGCACTATTTATTGGCTTGATTTATATTTAAGGAACAGTAGAGCTGAAAAGAGCCTTTGAAATAACTCAGTTCATCTACCTATTTGAGAAACCAATCACATAAAAATATGCAATCTAGTCAACAGATTTTTTTAAAACTACTGCTTATGTCTAAGGGAATATGTGACTCTGAAATATGATTTGTGTCTTTAAAATTACAACCTAATTGATCTTTCTGAAAACATACATTTGTCTTAGTTTCTATTTCAACCATAGACTATTAAAACTGGAAAAGGCCCTAGAAGCAACCTTTTCAGATTCTTTCAGTTGAAAAAACTGTGGCCAGGAGAGATGAAATTATTTGTCCAAACTTACCTGTTTGGTCAGTGACGTAATCTGTCTCCCTGCGTCCAACCACTAACCTCAACACTAAGCATCTTGCCTTGTTATCTGTCGTACGTACGAAGATTAATTACATTAAGTGACATTAACAGAAAGACAAAGCGGACGTGCTAAAGCTTAACTTCCCACGTACTATTACAAAGTGACTTAGGAAGAACATCATATGAAGTATCTAACACAGTAAGTACTGAACACGTGGTAGTTACTCTTCCTACATTAACTCGTTTTATTTTTTCATAGAATTTACATTAGCTGAACTCACCTTTGTTTTTTTATATGCTTATTGTCTCTCTGTCCCCTAACCCCTAAGATGTGAGGTCTGTTGAGAGCAGGGAAGTTGTTTTGTGCTGGTGTCTCCCTTGTCTGTAGAGTGGAAGCTGGCGCACAGTGAGCCCTTCACCATGAACAAGGAGCGAATGTCAGGAAAAGTGTGGAGTCATTTAGCTCATGTCCAGATCCACAAACAGTAGCAGTAGTTAAACGTTGGTGGTGGGACAGGCATTTTGAAAAGCTGAAATAACATTCCTAGGACTACAGTACTGGCACATCTTGAATCCCTGGGTGGGGGGTGGGGGGGAGCTTTATTTGGGCCCCTCAACCCACTTTTCTGTAATGATTGTTCCTTCTTAGTGGTCAGCACAATGCATGGCACAGAAGGGGCGTGTATTAAATGCCTGTGGAATAAACATAGTCTGTAACATGAGGTTACGTGTTCTAGAACATTCATAGTGTTTAAAACACAGGACACTCTTTCTTACAGTAACATGGGTGTCATGATGTCTGTGGTTGACTTTAAATTTTCTCAGCACAGGCAGTGTGATGTTCTCTGTGGTTTGATTGGTTCCAGGTATACCGTAGAGGCGGCTAGCATTCTAGTAATCAGAACACCCACTGCAGGGGTAGCTATCGATAGTAGCATCATACCAGAAAGGCCACCTTCCAGAGATGGAGCTACAAATACTTTAACCACCTTGGTCTCTGAAGACACCAGATGTTTTACTGATTATCGTGGTATTGGAAATGGGTTTTTACTGGCAAAATTAACAGCTTATAATCAGTGTACATTAGAAAATAGGTCTAAAAAGAATTCACGATAGGTGATTTGCTTAACATATTTTAGAAAATGTTCTCTGCTCCTGAATAAACAGGGTCTAAACCAGTAGTTCTCAACCTTTCTAGTGCTGCAACCCTTTAATACAGTTCCTAAGGTTGTGGTGACCCCCAACCATAAAATTATTTTCGTTGCTCCTTCATAACTATAATTTTGCTACTGTTATGAATCATAATGTAAATATCTGTGTTTTCCGATAGTCTTGGGCAACTCTGCTAGCTGTGGGTCCCAGGTTGAGAACCCCTGCTGTACAGCCTAAGATCATCGGAAAACACAGATATTTACATTACGATTCATAAAAGTAGCAAAGTTACAGTTATGAAGTAGCAACAAAAATAATTTTGTGGTTGGGGGTCACGACAACATGAGGAGCTGTATTAAAGGGTCGTGGCATTGGAAAGGTTGAGAACCACTGGACATTCAAGGAGACCTCCACCTTTGGAGAAGCCATCTGCGGCCTCGTCCTAGCTGTCACTGGTCTGGATTTCTGGTTGCCAGACGCTGATGCTTTCTAGAGCAAAGTGATGGTCAGACCTCTAGAACTGTGCTCTCCAACATGGTAATTGCTAACCATGTGTGACCACTAAGCGTGAAAATATGGCTAGTCCAAATTCTAAAAAAAATAAACATCAGTTTTGAAGATGTAAAGAATCTCAATTTTTCATATTGAGTGCATGTGTAAATGACAGTCTTCTGGACCTATCTAGTTAAAACTATTAAAATTATCTTCATTCTGGTTTTAATGTGGCTACTAGAATTTAAAATTACCTATGTGGCTTGAATTTTTTTTTCTATAGGGCATCACTGACTTAGTACACAACTCGGTCTTCATCAAACTATTAGGACAAATTAAATGCTATCTGTGTCTGCCTCCTTATAAGTATTTAATCCATTTCTCTGAATAACGGACATGTGGTCTGATAGTTGCTTTCACTTGAAGAAGTTGTGGGCTCCTTTATCCAAAAGTTGCACCTACTGTTATGGACTAGAAAGAGCCCAAACGTTTTAGATGACGGAATGCTGTGAAGTTGTAGACGCCTTGCGTAGGAGTGATGATGACCACAACCACGCAGATGACAACAGGGAAAATAGATGGTGTTAACACCGAGTCATGTAGTTTTAAAACTATTACATATACTCACTTTATTCTCACAACAGCCTATTAAGTAGGAACCATTAATATTAATTATAGGTCCTCTAGGGCCAACCTGACTCCTTACTGAATTAAGTGTAACTTCGGACTTCCCTGTCCGGAGCTCAGCCCCCTTTCCAATGTACCATTCCGGGCCACGCGGCTCAGCCAATCAGAGCTGATGCGCTCGTGACGTCACTCCGATTGCCAGACGTCACTCCGTTCCGCCCCTTTGGTATTTGTCAGACGCGCCTGGGGGCCATTTTTGATTCGGGCGGAAATCAAGTGAAAAACTCAGGATCAAAAAGCCTGGACGTTACAATCAAGACGAACTTGCGTGTTTAACTCAAGAACTAATGGAGAAGCCCTGTTCACAGCCCCGCAGGCTGCTGGGAGCCGTGAGGGTGTCGCTCTGCGGGCACGGCGCCCACACTCAAGATGGCGCCGGCCTGAGCGTCACCCGGCCGGCCGCTCTAGCTCGGTTCCGGGTCCGTGCGCCTCGGTGGTGGCGTCGGAGGGCCGCCGGCTGGCGTTCTGTCCGGCTTCCGGATCCGTCTCTATGGTGGCGGAGCGACCAGACCCCCGAAGACCGTGGGGGTAGTGGCCGGAGCCTCGCGGGGGACGCGCGGGTGGCTTGTGTCAACCGGGGGCGAAGCGGGGACCGGAGCCAAGACCCTCGGCCGCCTCCCGCTGCGCTCCGGCAGGTAACAGGGCGCCGCGTCCCTGTCCGTGCGGCCCGGCGCGGGGCGGGGCGGGGAGCGCAGTGGGCGGTGGGCGCGCGCCCGGCTCGCGGGTCCGCGCCTGGGGACGAGCCGGGCGCGGCGCCGCTGCCGTTTGAGCCCAGCCGGCCGCCTCCGTGCAGCCCCTGCGGCCCGCGGGGCGGCCTCCGCGGGGCTGGCGGGGTCCCGGCCCGGGGCGGCGCCGGCGGCCGGACGCGGGGAGGAAGCGCGTTGCCGGGCCTCGCGGGCAGGTGAGGGGCAGCCCGGCGCCCCGCCCGCCCGGCCCGAGCGGCTGCGGCTGCCCCCGCGGCCCCGCGGCCCCGCGCCAGCGCCGGGAAGCCCTGGGTCGCGCCGCCCCGGGGGCCCGGCCCCAGAGGACCAGGTGGTGGCCGTCTGTGCGTCGTGCTTTGCATGTAGAGTAAAATGGTGACACATCTGTAGGAAACCACGTGAACCTTCAGAGTCGCCCCGAGTCCCTGGCACCACTGCTCCTGGCTCCTGGGAGCAGCCCCACGGCGCGTCTCCTCTCTTGGCTGAAGTCAGAGCCCGGTCCTTCCAGGCTGCGTCTGTATCGTGGGCACCCCGACCTCCAAACGGGGACACGCACCTGAAACAGACCAAAGCACAGGGCCCCGAGTGCCCTTCTCACCGCTAACTACATGTCAGCCGGTACAGGCGGCCTCAGAGCTCACAGGGCAGGCCATTGGCTACCTTCGGCCTCGCAGGCTTAGGACTGGCACCTGCACGGCCTGGTTCACTGTGGGAAGAGCAGGGGCAGAGCTGGTCCCCAGAGGACGCGGGCCTCTCGGTTTGAGGGAGTTGCCGGTGCCCAGACCAGAGCTTTGGGATCCACAGGTGGCCCAGAAACTGGGAGGGCGGTAGGCGGACACGTTTCTAAGGACAAGACTATGATGCACACTCAAGTCCGAGGCAGCCTGTGCGATGGAACTCCGGAATGTTTCACGGAAGAGATGGTAGTGTCTGCAGAATACGTAGTGTTAGGATGTTCTCCTCTGCCTCCTTGCGACATGTGTTAAAGCTAAAAGATTTTGTGTTTTCCCCTTCACGCCTCCAAACAAGAAAGAACATTTTAGAAATCCAAGTGCTAACCGTGTAACTTTGTCTTCCCTTGCAGTGAGTCCATGTGAACTGAATGATGAATTACAGTTTTTAAAGCGCTGCTTATGTCAACAGTTTGAGTGTGTCTTGGGATACAGGTGTGTGGAGCTAAGAATTTCTGATTTTAAGACATGCTCAAATTGCAGCCAATAGCACATCTTATTTCCCCCTAGTAACGTTTGCCTGGACATAGGGCAGAACCCTTCTGTCAGCATGAATCGTGTGTTTCAAAAACGGAAAGGAAGTCATTCCCTTTTCGTGTTTAAGTGGTATCGCTTAGGGCCGCGACTCCGAATGTTCACCGCTAAGAACCATCACCCGTGTTAACCTCTTGCCCAAGCGGTCATGACCTGCGCTGTCAATTATCTCGGGAGAATTCATGATACCATGTCAGGGGTGAATAGATGTTGCAAGGCCCAGGATTGCCACCAGGAAGCATCTGTTTGGAAATGACCAAACAGTAATTATTCTGCCAGAGCAGGGCCCTGAATCCTGGTGGCCCTCTTATCTGCTTTGAGGCTTCCTATTAAAACTAAGCAAACAGCATGAGGCAGGTTTTCGTTTTCTTGATTTTTCAGAGCACCTCTGTGGGTAAAGGAGTGAGGCCAGCTTCAGGGAGACACTTCAGAGGAACACTTCTCCAACTCATTGCTCTAGTTGGACTGGTTTTGCAGACCAGACGGGATGTGTTAGAGAGGAGCAGAGTTCTGCTTATGAAACAGCAATTGGTTTCAAAGAGCACAGGCCCGTCAGCTCCCTGAGTGTCCCTGAGGCTCCTGCAGGAGGCAGGGAGGGGATGGGTGTAGAACGTGGGGGTAGTAACATGCCCAGTAAGTGCCACTAAGCTCCCCTCCTGATGCCCACTGGCTTCCTCTGTGCCTGCCAAGTGACTGCCTCCACATGGCTTTGGCTGGCCATAGCCAATTCTACCTCATGGCACCCTTTTTACCTGCTGAAGGACAGAAATGCCTTTTGTTTATTCAGGGTCCTGGGGAGACAGCCAGGCCACGGGTGTGGCTAATGAGGTGGCTGATGTGTAGAGACGGCCCTTAGGTGCTCAGTAGGCACCTGACCCATGAACTGTGTCCAGGAAGAGGAGAGCAAGATCCAAGTATTATCCTTGACCCTCCCTACTCAGCAGGGGCGGAAGATTTGTCACCGGCTGGGCAGGCACTGTACCTTCTCTGGAATAAGAGAATTAACATAGTTGCTTTTCTCCATGGTCCTGTATACACATTTCTCATCCCCATAGCAAGGGGAATGTTGCCTGTACTTAAGACACTTGGCCTTTTTAACACTATTTTGTGTTTTTAACTCTCCTGTTCTTAAGAAGGGTGATTGCTAGGAGGGCAGGAACTCAGTGGGTTTGTTACAAAACTGATATCCATCTTTTTTTTTTCTTTGTTTTTTAAAATCTCACCCGATACGTGTTTTTTGTTTTGTTTTGTTTTGTTTTGTTTTAATTGATTTTAGAGAGGGATGAATATTGGTATGAGAGAGAACATTGATTGGTTGCCTTCCATGTGTGCCCAGACTGGGAACTGAACCTGCAGCCTTTTGGTGTATGGGACAGTGCTCCCCTCAGCGGAGCCTCCCAGCCACGGCCTCACTTCCTTTTCACCTCCAGCAGCGTCCTTGGACTTGGAAAGACTTCCCTTTTGGCTAGCGTTGGCCTTGTCCATGAGTTCCTTGTGCAGTGGTGCACGTGTGCTCAGACGTGTGTCTGGAGCAGCGTGTCTCCGATAACAGGAGGCATGTGGAACTTCACCAAGTAGAGAGGCTGTGGGTAATGATTATTTGGCTTATATTTATCCAAAGGAGGCAGATTTTAAACTAAAATCTTAAAGGTCTATAGAGAGTGTTTGGCCATGCTATCTGTTTGCCAGAATTAGTAAGAACTCTTTATTTTTTTAATTATGATAAAGCCAGAACTGAAATCTGCCACTTATTTTTCAGACATGTTGTTTGGCCTATATAGACTTTAAAAATTTTTTTGAGCCAACATTGAAAAACAGGGACATTTCCCCATAAATATCCTGGCTCTTGCCTCCTGGGCACAACCTGACAGCTCTGGGCCTGCAGCCCCGGCTGGCACCCTGAGGGCGCAGGGTGGTCTCACACAGGTCCTGTGCCCGCGCCGCAGACCCTTGTGCTGCCGGACTGCCGGGCGGCACCTGCTGTGACCGTGTGAGCTGTGTGTCTGCAGTAAAGCCAGGTCCACGGTGGTCCGACACCCTCGGCAGAGCTCTGTTGCACTTCGTGTTTTTCATGTGCACATACGTACAGGGAGAGGCAGGCAGCATAAACGTCTCTTTAAGTCCCCTTTGCTGAAGTATAATTGACATATAATAAACTGAGCATATTTAAAGGGTACGATTTTACAGGTCTTGGTATTTGTAGTCACCATCAGCATGTTCATTAAATCAGGATAATGAATGTGTATCCATTTCCCCCAAAGTCTCCTTATACCCCTTTGCCATCCTGGCCCCCTCTCCCCCTCCCCAGTCCCTCTGACTGGGCCCCCACACCAGGAAACCACGGGTCTGTTTTGTGTTGGAGTAGTTTGCATTTTCTAGAATCGTGTGTGTGTGTGTGTGTGTGTGTGTGTGTGCGCGCGTGCGTGTGCATATGCATGCGTGTGCGTGTGTGTGTGTGTGTGTGTGTGCGCGCACACACACACGGGGTGGAGTCAGCTTGTGAGATGACAGTTTGCACTTTCCCCTTCTTACTCAGCACGCACTGAGGAGCAGAGAGGCTGCCCTTCCTCTTGTCGTTTGTATTCTGCACCCTGTCCCATTTCTGTTTCCTGCCCCATTTCTCCCCTGGGGTTTGCCTTGGTTTAAATGTGCTCCTCGTTTGTTAACATGTTTTCCTCATGGTTAGAAATAGTCTCCAGCCGAAACCGGTTTGGCTCGGGTAGAGCGTCGGTCTGCGGACTGAAAGGTCCCGGGTTCGATTCCGGTCAAGGGCATGTACATTGGTTACAGGCACATCCCCGGTAGGGGGTGTGCAGGAGGCAGCTGGTCTATTCTCTCTCATCGATGTTTCTAGCTCTCTATCTCTCTCCCTTCCTCTCTGTAAAAAAATCAATAAAATATATTTAAAAAAAAAAAAAAAAGCAATAGTCTCCAGTTTGCGTTGTTTTCCTTTATAATTGGAAGGGGTTTTAGATCTCGAGACATTTCAGTACTGCTCCTGTGTGGCCCCCCTTCCCCCTGTGAGGCGGGGTGTGAGGGTCAGGGACGGGAGTGACCCCAGTCTGAGTCTGATTGCGCATCACCCACCCGAACGTCGGGTGTGCGTGCTGGGGGTTGGCGGGCAGTCGCTCACACCCTGTTCCGTTCCCGTTTTAGAGCTGTCTGCCGTTCCCTGAAGCATCGCCGGGCCTTGCCGGGGTTCACCTCTCCCTGTCTGGTGGCCTAGATTATTGTAGAAACTGGCAGGTTGGCAAGGCTGCGCCTGGATCCTTGGCCCATGCTGCAGAGCCTTGAAGTTTGACCATGTCCTCTGCTTCCTTTCAGGTCCGTGGCTGTGGGGAGGGGCTGCGCGTGGCCCCCGCCCCCGGGATGGGCGCGGAGAGCAGCGCTCTGAGGAGCTGTGCGCTGAGGGGGCCCCCGACCACACTGCACTCAGGACTGGCCGTGTTCCCCGCCGAGCTGCAGGATGGCAAAGTGGCGTCGGTGTTTGTGTACAAGAGAGAAAACGAAGACAAAGTCAACCAGGCTGCCAAGGTACAAAGTCTCTTAGTAGTTAGGATTTTTTTTTATATACTTTATTGATTTTTTACAGAGAGGAAGGGAGAGGGATAGACAGTTAGAAACATCGATCAGCTGCCTCCTGCACACCCCCTACTGGGGATGTGCCCACAACCAAAGTACATGTCCTTGACTGGAATCGAACCTGGGACCCTTCAGTCTGCAGGCCGATGCCCATCCACTAAGCCAAACAGGTCAGGGCCTTTTCTTTTCTTTTTTAAGAGAGAGAAAGGGAGAGGGATAGATAAAAACATTGATGAGAAAGTCATCAATTGGCTGCCTCTTATACTGCCCCCACTGGCGATCAAGCCTGCCACCCGGGCATATGCCCTACCCAGGAATCGAACCAGCAATCTCTTGGTTTTTGAGTTGATGCTCAACCACTGAGCCACACCAGGTGGTCAATAGTCAGTACTTTTCCTATGAAAAATATAAAATGAATAAAGGCCACGGGAGGTGGGTCCTTTAAAAGCATAGCTGTCCTTTCTTCATGGGAGTGTCCACAGCTTGTAAGACATGGTCAAGGACCTCAGCAGTAGTCGAAAGCTCCAGAAAGCTCAGTGTGGCGGCTTCCTTATCAGATGGTACTTTGTAGTGAGACGGTTGGGAGGTGACCTCACGTCGCCGGTGTGAGGTGGAGAGTTCACCGGGCTCAGCTCAGGTGCTCTCAGTATGGACCTCCCTTCAGTAGTGCAGGGACGGGGGCCTGGGAATAATATTTGAGGAACTGCACTGTTTTCTCTTTTCCTGAGGTACCGCAGCGCAGTGAGCATCTTAAAGACAATGCTCGTCCATCCTGTCTCAGATTTGCAGCTTAGAAGGAAGACTATTTCTCCCTGAAATTTTATGCTCTCTAGATTATAGTGTTATATTTCTTTAACAGGATGAAATGATGGCTTTCTCCCTGCCTAAAACCTGCAAGTGAACTCACCCTATAGTTAAGAACTACTGCTCTGTGTACTTCTCCAAGTGAAGTAGTAAGTCCGAGGTAGAAGGATATTAAAAAGTTAAGCCTAAAGGCTTGAGTTGATTCTCTGTCTACCTGAGCCACAGCTTACTCCTGAAACATGGGCCTGGTTTCTAGTCAGGGGCTGGATGTCACACTCAGCCTGGGTAAGGATGCACCCTGACCAGTCACTGGTCCTGCTCCCGCTGGCCAGGGAGGTCCTTCCTGACTCAGAACCCTCTCATCGGCCAGCGCCTGGACAGCGGATGGTGGGCCAGGACTTCCAAGGCACCGTCACTCAGTCCCAGGCCCCTTTCTCCCCGGATCAGCGCTGTTTCTCTCCCCAGCTGGTGCCCAATAGGAGCCTGTCCGAGTTACATTCAGCAAGGACACCTTGTGCTCCCTCTGTTCTCCGGAGCAAACACAAGGATTAAGAAATGTCCTGTTTGGCTGTTAACGATGAGCCTCTTCCATGAATCTGTGTGTAGAATTTACGCAGAATTGTGCCAGGGGTGCCCCAAACAGGGTTCTTCCTCAGGATCAGGCAATGAGCCTTTTCTTCCTTCAGTAAAGAAACAAGGAGCCACTTTGGATCTAGAATTTTGGTGCGCATGCAGGGTTCAAAAAAAAAAAATTTTTTTTATTTTTTCACTTATTAACCAGGTGAACATTTTATGACTGTGTTTATAGGCCAGCACTGAACCGAATAGCATTCCTCTGGTTTACTGTTCTGCCCTGAGCCCGAGAAGAATAAAAGAAGGTGCTTAAAACCAACAAAAAATAATTAGAGCCTAAGACAAAAAGCAAAATGAAGAATTTTTTTTGGAGGCAAAAGTGAAGGAAACTCACCCTGTGGGTCTTCTCCCCCGAGTTTGACTCCCCCCTAGTCTGCACCTGTCCTGGGCTTCTCAGAGCTCTCAGGGGGTTGCTGTGGGCACTTTCCAGTTCCGAGCAGTAGTTCTCTGGAGGTTGGGCTGTCGGGCTCACACAGCACAGTGGCACTAGACCTCCTGACATGTTATTAAATATTGGTCAAGCCGATAAAGTCAGAGGACGTCCAAGATTCTCCTTTGCCTTCTTCGGCATATGGGGGTATCTGGGCAAGGTAGGGAGCTGAAAGGGAGCTTGAATGCAAGTTTGCGTCTCCTAACTCTCCTGTGCCCGGAATGAGTGAGGGTTTGAGTCGTTAACGCCGACTCCTCTGTTTGTACTGTTAAAGCACCTGAAGACGCTCCGGCACCCCTGCTTGCTGAGGTTCTTGTCTTGCACGGTGGAGGCAGATGGCATTCATCTGGTCACGGAGCGCGTGCAGCCTCTGGGAGCGGCCTTGGAAACGCTGTCCTCCGCTGAGGTCTGTGCCGGGATCTACGACATCCTGCTGGCTCTCATCTTCCTTCACGACCGAGTGAGTGGCCTGAACAGCAGCGGGGGGTGAACGGTAAATTATGCTGCACATAGAAGTCGTAGGTTCCTGTTGCATGGAATTGGGCCGTTAGTGACAGACTATTCCAGCTTAATAGTCTCCCCCAGTTCTAGGTAAGTCTTTATCTAAAGACTTAGGTAAATTCAGCTGCAGCTGTTATTTGTTAATAAAATCAGAACAAAAGGCCTGTGAACCAAAGTTCCTCTTCATTTTCAGCAGTTTTGTTCCATTTTCAGTTTAGAAAAGAAATGATAATTTCTCAAACACTTGGAGGCTAAATATAGCATGCAATTAAACACCGATTAGGTTACCAAAGAGATCAAAGGACAAATTAAAAACATCCTGAAAACAAATGACAATGAAAACACAATAATCCAAAATCAGTGGGACACAGTGAAAACAATCCTGAGTGGTAGGTTCCTAGTTCTGCAGGCCTACCTCAAAAAACAAGGAAAAATGGTAATAAATTATCTGACCCTGCAACTTAAAGAATTAGAAAGAGAGCAACAAGAAAAGCCCAGAGTAAGCAGAAGGAAGGAAATAAAGATTGGAGTGGAAATAAACAACATAGAGAACAAAAGATCAGTGGAACCAAGAGCTAGTTCTTTGAAAGGATAAAAAAGCTTGATGAACTTTCTGTGAGAATAATGAACTCACAGAAAGAGAAACAAAAAAACCAATCCCGTTTACCATTGCAAAACCAAAAGGTAAGATACCTAGGTATAAATTTAACCAAGCATACTCAGAAAATTATAGGATGCTGAAAAAAAGAGATAGTGAAAGACATAAACAAATGGAAGAATATACTGTGTTCATGGATTGATAGAATCAACAACATACCCAAAGCAATCTATAGATTCAGTGCAACCCCCATTAAAATACCATGGTATATTTCAGAGACATAGAACAAACTCCAAAATTTCACCTGGAATAAAAAAACACCCTGAATAACAGCAACAATCTTGAGAAAGAAGAACAAAGTTGGAGGGATCACAATACCAGATTTCACGCTGTATCACAAAGCCCCTGCTCCTAAAACTGCCTGGTACTGACACAAGTACAGACATATAGACCAATGGAAGAGAACAGAGAACCCAGAAATCAACCCAAGCCATTATGTTCAATATTTAAAAATGGAGCCAAGACAGCCTCTTCAATAAATGTTGTTGGGAAAATTGGACAGTACATGCAAAAAAATAAAACTAGACCACCAACTTACACCATACTCAAAAATAAACTCAAAGTGGATAAAAGACTTAAACTTAAGACAGGAAGCCATAAAAATCCTAGAAGCTAAGGCAGCAAAATAGCAGACATTTGTGTAGCAATATTTTTTACCAGTACAGCTTCTAGGGCAATGGAAACTGAAGAGAAAATAAATAAATGGACTGCCATCAAAATAAAAAGCTGCACAGCCAAAGAAACCATCAACAAAACAATAAGAAAGCCCACTACAGAGAAGAACATATCTGCCAATGTTATCTCCAATAAGGGTTTAATCTCCAAACCCTTATATAAGTTGTACAGGGAACTTGCAAAAGGAAGATAAACAATCCAATCAAACAATGCCCAGAGGACCTAAATAGATACTTTTTGAAAGAGGACATACAGAAAGCCAAGAAAACATGCTCAAAGTCACTTATCCAAGAAATGCAAATCAAAACAACAGTGAGGTACCATCTCACACCTGTCAGAATGGCTATCATCAACCACAGATGCTGGAGAGGTTGTGGAGAAAAAGGAACCCTCGTGCACTGCTGGGAATGCAGACTGGTGCAGCCACTGTGGAGAACAGTATGGAGTTTCCTCAAAAAACTGAAAATGGAACTTTCATTTGACCCAATAATCCCACTTCTAAGAATATATCCCAAGAAAACAAACACCAGTCAGGAAAGATATATGTACTTCGATGTTCATAGCAGCACAATTGACAATAACTAAGATTTGGAAACGGCCTAAGTGCCCATCAGCAGATGAGTGGATTAGAAAACTGGTACATCTACACAATGGAATACTATAATATGCTGCTGTAAAAAAAAAAAAAAAGGAGGCATTCTTACCATTTATTTATTTATTAATACAACAGCATGGATGGACATGGAGAACATTATGCTAAGTGAAATAAGCCAGTCAGAGAAAGATAAATATCACATAATCTCACTCATATGTGGAATATAATGAACAACATAAACAGATGAACAAAAATAGAACCAGAGTCATAGAAGCATCAAACAGACTGTTCAACCTATGAGGGAAGGCAGGGATGAGGAGGTAAGAGATCAACCAAAGGACTTGTGTGCACGCATATGAGCATAACCAATGGGCACAGACAGTAGGGGGTGAGGGCATGTGCTGGGGAGTGAAGGTGGTCAAAGAGAGTTTAATGGGGGAAAGGAGACTTATGTAATACTTTAAACAATAAAGAATTAAAGTAAAAAAACGATTTCTTAGAAAGAGGCCAAGTTTTACATCTCTTCCCATTCGAGTGGGTTGTACCAGTGAGAGACTGGCAGCGTCCCTCCTGGGTCACTGTGTCTAGACGGGTTGGAGTTACTGTTGCTTAGTGGATGGAGTTTTTTATTTATTTATTTTTTATTTTTTAAATCAATCTTTATTGTTCATATTATTACAAAGGTTCCTCATTTCTTCCCCCCTCCACCAGGTTCCCACCCCACCCTCCGCCCCCTCCCCATCCCCCATTGTCCTAGTGGATGGAGTTTTAATCTTGGTAGGACCAGCTCCCAGTTTAAAAACACCAGTCACAGGTTAGAAACACTTGCATTTAACTCATCTTAATGTTTGTATTTAAAATTTTTTTCTACTAATGGGAGACTGAGTCTCCAAATATCACTTTGGGTTTATCCTCTCTTAAAAGTGTGTCTGAGGGTCACATAAGGGAATCCCTCTGCCTCGCTGTGGAGGGATATGCCCTGTGTGTGCACGTGGTGGAAGGTTTGCCTGTGTAGTGAGCGGAAGGTGAAGTCAGCCCCCACCCTCCTTACATGGAATGTCCTGTTTCATCCTCGGCGCTCAGCTTTAGTCAGAATTCCGTGCAAGTAAAGCAAATCTCTATGATGGTCCTTCATTTTTTTCTCAATGGAAACACCATTCACACTGTTCTAAATCTTCCTTCAAAACATGTACCTTGTGCCTGGCCAGTGTGGCTCAATGGTTGAGCATCGACCTATGAACCAGGAGGTCACAGTTCCATTTCTGGTCAGGGCACCTGCCCAGGTTGCAGGCTTGATCCCCAGAGTGAGGCATGCAGGAGGCAGCCAATCAGTGATTCTCTCTCATCATTGATGTTTCTCTCTCTCCCCGTCCCTTCCTCTCTGACACCAATAAAAATATTTTTTTAAATAATAATAAAATAAAACATATATATATACACCTTGGAGCATTTACTATAAAAATAGGTACATATTTGCTCTCCAGGGTAACATATTTAAAATGTACTTGTGTGTTGGAATGATTCCTGGTTTGGAAAAGAAACCTTTACTTCATCTCCGCTCTCATGTTCTTCCTCCCTCTCATGTTTGTCTCCCTGTTTGCGTGGTATTGGCTTCGGCTCTCTGTGCTCTGTGGTGTTTCCGGTCATCCACAGCATCTCGTGTCCTCCTCTCCCGGCAGAGACTTTTCATGCTTCCTGGGATAGGACTTACCGTAGGTGACATGGGTCTGGGCTCCTGATAGAATGTGGGCGAGAGAGAATTTAGAGATTAAAGCAGGAACCTTAGGAGCCAAGATACGTGCTGTTAAAGGCGTCGGATGTGAAGACAGGATTCCTGTTCAGGGACGTGCACCTCCTGCCTCCTGCGGGGATGGGGCGCGGTGTCTGAGCAGTGGGCTGGGCGGGGAGGTAACAGAAGCCCTTCCCGGGCGCCCCCCGCCCCCTGGCGTCGGTGCTTAGCAGGCCCCTCCGGCTGGCGCGCCCACAGCCAGACTTCCGTTCAGGATTCCACAAGAGGAAGGCGGGCCGGGCCTTCTTTGGTGATTAGTGTTCAGTTTCTTTAAATTCCTCCACAAACTGGAGTGGCCGTCTTCTCCCCGTTCCTCTTTTCCAGGGCCACCTCACGCATAACAACGTGTGCCTGTCCTCCGTGTTTGTGAGCGAAGACGGGCACTGGAAGCTGGGAGGCATGGAGACCGTCTGCCGGGTGCCCCAGGCCACCCCCGAGGTAAGCGGGACCCCGGCACCCGATGGGTCTCTGAGGGCCCTCCTTCAGCCCGGGCGTCTGAGGTTTGTCAGTGCTCGTGCTCCTGGGATTGTGGGCGTTTATTCTTACAAGCCCCGAGGCTCGCTTACTCTTCTCCCTTCGTTTTGTAGCTGAGGAGCATAATGGCTTAGTCAGGTTTCCGTTTTACGTCCCTGCTCTCTGCTCCTGAATTAATGATTCCACGTCATATTGCACGTTGAACTGACCCATATGGGTCTGCCTGTGCCAGGTGTGACAGTGTCTACACTTATCTTTCTGGCTCCTCCCAGATAGGCTGGCACAGATTAGATGCAGCCTGTTGTTCGAGGCACAACCATCGAAGTTGTCCCAAGTCACACAGTGTGTCCGAGGAGCTGGAATCAGGGCCTGTGCGTCGTCAAACCGCCCCCATCCCAGCCCCCCGCAGCCCGTGGCTGCCCGTGGGACGGCGTATAATTTTTCTGACGCAGATCTTTCCAGCGTCCCTCCTAGGCTGCCAAACCTCCTTGGTGTCTTTCTTCTTGTTTTCACCATGCTGCATGTTGTCAGACTCACTCTTTCTGAGAAAAGAAAACCCGCCTGTCGGAACATCCCCACTGAAGCCCCCCCCCCCCCCACCTCTACCTCCAGGGCCTCACCCAGTCCGCCCCCCATGGGCTCTCACTCCTTCAGGTGCCATTTCACCACAAGGACACTCCTCTGATTATCATTCTTGCCCCTTGATCACTTCCTCCCGGATTACCTCATGTCTGGTTAGAACTCAGCATGCAGTGCCCGCGGGGACAGGGTCCAGACTTGCTTCCCCACGTGAGGCAATGAGGCCGTCTGCCTGCTGCCCTCGGGCTCCATGGCCGCTCACACTCACTCGCCAAGTCCCCCCGAGTGGTCCCGGGAGTGCCGGCGCCTTCGCCGCTGTCGGGGCACCCCCTTGCCGTGGCTCCCTGGGGCTGTGAGAGGAGCCGCAGTGTCTTCTGGGAACCCTTCTGGGTCCCTCCCCACCGTGGGTCACTCCTGTGCTTCGTGGCCTCTGCCCGTGTTACTGAAACTAGTTTACGTTCTAGGATGAGCGCACCTGCAGGGGGAGCGAGCTGGTTGCATTCACTTTCTATTCCTAGTGTCCTGACTGCGTACTCTTGAAAAATAATCTTTATGTCAGTGAGAGAATGTACTGGTCTGTGATTGTGGTTTGCTCTTGGTAAGATCCTCAACTTTTTTTTAAATTATATTTTTATTGATTTCAGAGAGGAAGGGAGAGGGAGAGAGAGAGAAAAAAAAAACATCCATGATGAGAGAGAATCGTTGACTGGCTGCCTCCTGCACGCCCCACACTGGGGGTCAAGCACACAACCTGGGCATGTGCCCTGGACTGGAATGGAACTGAGACCTGCTAGTCATAGGCCGATGCTCAACCACTGAGCCACACCGGCCAGGCAGGGTCCTCAGCTTTTATAGCTCACGTGGCAGGAGCCTTCCAGCGGACTCTGAGCGAGAGGACGGAGACGGGCTCCCTGCGGGGCCTCTCACTGGCCTGTCCGTGCAGGAGCGAGAGGCTCGGTGTGCCTGTCTGCGGGAGGGCGGGGTGTCGTCAGACCAGCTGAGGGGGAGCGATGGGCCGACGCCCTGGGGTTTCCCTCCTCAGTGAGGACGGTGATTGTGTATTTGTTGGGGGCGGAGCTGGACGGTGTCATGGCTGCTGTTTCCATTGCTCGAGGCTTCTGTCGCTCGATGTCAGGTCGGTTCACAAACACCCCATGGATTCCTCCCTGCTTTGTGTCTGTCTAGTTTCTGCGGAGCATCCAGTCCGTGAGAGACCCGGCCTGCATCCCTCCTGAAGAGGCGGTAAGAGGACACGTGCCCTGTGTGTAGCTGAGGTGGCACTTCACCACCCCTCTCCACCCACCCTCTCTTCGCTGAATTTCAGAGGTCAGACTCCTGCGGCCCGAGGGCTTCCGAGACCTCGTCACCGCAGGCAGCCTTTTCTCGACACTCAGCTCACGTCTGGTCTATGGAGACTATGACATTACTTAGAGACGGAGGGACCTCACCGATGGGTGAAAGAGAAACAGACACAGAAAACAGGCTGACGGTTGCCAGAGGGGAGGAATCGGGTGAACGTGGTGAAGGGAAGAAGAAATACAGATTGGCAGTTACAGGATAGTCTGGGCAACGTAAATACAGCACAGGGATAGTCAGTGGTATTGTGATGGCTACATATGTGCCCAGTGGGAACTAGAAATAACAGGCATCGCTTTGTCAAGTATGTGATTGTCTAACCCTTGTGCCGTACACGGAAAGTAATACAAAATAATGTTGAATATAAACTGTAATAAAAAATAAAATTTAAAAACAAAAGAGGAGCCTCAGTTTGGACAAGATCGCTCGGCTGTCTGACTATCACTTAGGAATCCGAGGTGCAGACAAGAGTGATCGTTGCACCGTGTGCTGGCAAAGCTGTATTTACCTGTTGCTCTCTAGCCCTGTTCGTATGATCACTGCGAACAAACACTGATTCCCAAACACACGTCTGCACGTGCTTTACAGGAAAAGCAAACCCAACTATAATATCTAGAAAAGCAAACAAATAGAAACCTAAGCCTTGAAAAAAATCAGTTATCAAATCAGTATCATGTGTTCTTCTGACGATAAGTGGGTTTTAAATCAATTTAAGGGTTCTAACTAGCATGGGGGGTTAGAATATATCATTGGGCATCTTAGGAAGGTAGTAATGTTTAGTGCAGTTTTATGAAACTTGTTTCCATTATGTGTGCGTGTGTACGTGTTTGAGCTGATGATGATGAATTATAGTGTATTGTTTACTCTGGGCTGCTGCCAAACCTGTCTTGAGAGCCGCAGCCACTAGAGCCTGTAAACTCGGGCGTGGCAGCCTCGGTCAGCTCCGAGTGCAGTTCATGCAAAGCAGGGAGAGCACTGTTTTAACGGCCTCCCCTCCTCTAGGCTCCGGGATTCACCACTCTGCCCGAGGCGCACGGGCACGCGCGGGACGCCTACGCCTTCGGGAAGCTGGTGGAGAGGCTGCTCACCGGCCTGAACGGAGAGGGTGAGTTGGTCTTAAACGGCTGCACCACAGAGCACATGAGACACCCCAGCCTGCTCGGCGTGGGCCCAGACCTGCCTGCCATGAACTGTGGGCAGATCTGAGCAGCCAGGAGAGAAGCGGGTTTCCCGAGTTCTCTCGTTAAAAGCACTTCCCGTAGGAAGCACCTTGAGCTCCAGCTGTCAGGGTCACGCTGTTACCTTAGTAACCGGGGCGGTGGTGATGGTCTGAGGCAGCGGTCCAGCCTTTCGGGCCTCGCAGACACCACTGCTGTCTGAAGAGCTGGAGCAGGGTTATAGGCTGTTCCCATACAATCAGATAGCAGCGTCCGGTTCAGAATCTGTTTCTCAGCCAGGTTTTATCTTGATTCTCTCAGAGGCCTCTTGAGCTTTCTCATCTGGCTGTAACTTACTCGTGGCCTGTTCCCTTTGTAACCCGGTAAAGCCCAGACTACTGGCCAAGCGTTTCCCCAGTGGCTGGTGCCCCACTGCTGAGCCTCTGCCGCCAGGCTGAGGCCACAGCCTGGAGTTACAGGCACCCTCCCCCGTCAGCCCTAAACTGTCCGCCCGGCCCTGGCCGGTCCCCTGTGGGTGTGAATCCTGCTCCCACTGGCCAGGAATGGTGAGGCCGAGCTGAGTCAGAGGCAGGAGGGAGGCCGAGAAGGGGAGGCACCTGGGCTGGGGCTGGCAACTCCCTTCACCTGCCAGGGGGTTAAAGGCTTAAGGGCTGGAAGCTGTTTCCCATCAGCCCGGCTGTGTGTGTTTGGGTTTTGCAGGTTGGTTTTTGCTCCCGTCAGCCTCCAGCTAGCGGCCCTGAGAGGAGGGAGGAGCCCGGAAACTAACTCTCCTCTGGATTTCCGTTTCAGCGGACGCCCTCCGCGGCTTCCAGCAGGCCCTGCACTCCGCCCTGCTGCACCCCGAGCCCCAGCGCCGGCCTGCGCTCTGCACCCTGCTGACCCACGCCTTCTTCAGGTGAGGACCTGGGGACCGGAGCCGGTTTCGTGTCAGGGGGGCCGAGGCGTTTTGGCTGAATCCTTGGAGCACCGGGTGAGGGGTTGGGGGAGCGAGGCTGCGGCCTGGGCTGAGTAGCAGAAAGTCAGCGAGCCGGCCGCTCCTGCGCCGTGTGCTCGGGGTTTGTGGTGCGATGTCTTGTTGGGTGGAGACAGCTGATTGTCCAGCGAAGCCCGTTTCTGCTCAGTGAGACGGCCGCGGGGGCACAGGGAGCACGCGCGGCTTCAGAGGCTTCTGAGCCCCAGGTTGGTTTGAGCTCCGTGTCCTTCGTTTTTTAATTCCATGAACTGCTCAGGTTCAACTCCACGTCCATGACTTTTGTTAGCAAAGCCGACCTGTGTCCGTTTAGAAACTAAAACTCCTCGCTTGCAGTCGGAGCCCAAGAAAAGCCGAGGCGGGGGGAAAGCTGATGTTCCCCGGGAGGTGGTGGGGGGGCTGGGGGGGGCTGTTCCTCAGCCAGAGGGCAGACCCCTGTCGTTACCGGGTTTTGTCATTTGTTTCCAGAAACTGGAAGCTTTCCCCTCTCAGGAGTGCTCACCGGGCATTGTCCTCCGGGTGACATTTATTTACTCTGACGCACAGGCCGCCTTCCCAGGACATAGATTCCCTGTCCCTGTGTGTGTGTGTGTGTGTGTGTGTGTGTGTGTGTGTGTGTGTGTGTAACGCTTCTCTAGAACACGCCATGGAAGGGGCAGCGGCAGCGGGAAACACACTGCGCCCTCCCAGAGCCGGCAGGCAGCCCGCCGTGTCTGCCGCGGAGGCTTTAGACTCCAGTTAGGACCCTGGGCTTTCCTGGCCTCTGAGCCGGGGAAGCGGGGGAGTGGAGCTGGAGCCCACGCCTCAGGCCCCATCCGGAGGCAGGAGCGCAGGGCGGACAGCAGGGGCCGGGAAACCGACCCCCGCACCTCCCCTGCCGCTGGACAGAGGCTGTCAGTCCGCAGCGGGAGCAGCAGGGGTCCCTGTGGCTGGAGAGAAAGCCCTGCCGCCCTGTGAGTGGTGTTTGCTTCAGCAGAGGCCTGAGAAGGAACAACTGTTTCCTAATGAGAACCCTTCCTCCCACTGGCTCCTGTGACCACATCCCGTACAGCAGCGGGGGCGGGCGCGGGTCACCCTCCCCTCCCCGATTGGCACCCTCACCCTTCCCGATTGGGGGGCGGGTACGGGTCACCCTCCCCCTCCCCGATTGGGGGCGGGTACGGGTCACCCTCCCCGCTCCCCGATTCTCCCGTCAGCCCCTGCCCCGGAGCTTGGTCTCGGAGCTGCTTAGTTGTAACGGAGCCTTTTAAACGTGCGGTGTTCCTGGTTGAGTGTCACTGCAGTGCGTCTGGTTGTTTTCGGTGCTGGACGCCTTCTCTAATCTGCTGTCCTGTTTTTTTCTTCTTGGCATTTAGGAATGATTTTCTAGAAGTTGTGAATTTCTTGAAAAGTTTAACTTTGAAGAGTGAAGAGGAAAAAACTGAATTCTTTAAGTAAGTTCAGAAAGTTAACACTTAAAATTCAGTGACTTGGGCCACGTCCATGAATGGGCGGCTCACACGGTCGGCTGTTACGAAGTGACTGAGTGTGCTGCGCGGCAGGCTCCGGGGAGGGAATCGGGGAGACGGTCCTTACGCCCGAGCAGCCGGGGCGGCAGAGGGCGGCGTGCACGACTGCAGAGCAGCGGGTGTCTTGTGCCTGGCGGCGACAGCTGGGCTCTCCTGGGGGACAAATTCCCAAACCAGGACGGACGAGAGGAGGGCACCCTTCGTGTGGCATGAGGAGAGCATGGGCCTCAGCCCTGAGCCCGTCCCCAGAGGGACCGCTCCGCTAACTATGGAAAGTCCCGTAGTTAAGGATGATACAGATGCTGGATATTAACATTAATATGACCCCATTATCCCATCAGCCTTCCCGGATAATCTCGCCTCCCACTTTACTAGGAAATAGGCCACTATCCACAGACAGGTCCACTCACATCCCTCCTCCCCGGACCTGGTGGGCACAGGCTCAGCTGGTATTGGACTTGGACCCGGTAGTGAAGGCAGTAAATGTGCGGCCCCGAGTACAGGGACACTGAGGTCAGAAAGACCTAAAAGGGAAAAACGCAAGCTTTAGTGATCGCCCCTGTGAACTAGGGTCCTGGGCTCGGACCTCACGTGCGGGAGGTGCGCCCAGCCGGCCAGCGGCCCTGGGCTCGGGAGGAGGAGTGCGGGCTCTTGCCGGTGGGTCTGAGCGCAGGAGGGAAGGTGTAAGGGGAAGAGCCGGGGGTGACTGTTAGGGTCACCAGCCTGAGCTGTGACACTCCCAGAGAGAGTGGGGGCATGAGAAAGACAGTGGGGCTGAAACCGGTTTGGCTCAGTGGATGGAGCGTCAGCCCGCGGACTGAAAGGTCCCGGGTTCGATTCCAGTCAAGGGCATGTGCCTTGGTTGCGGGCACATCCCCAGAAGGGGGTGTGCAGGAGGCAGCTGATCAATGATCCTTTCTCATTGATGTTTCTAACTCTATCCCTCTCTCTTCCTCTCTGTAAAAAATCAATCATATAAATAGATAAGTATATATTAAAAAGACGGCGGGTCCCAGTTGTAGCCCCGGGACCCAGCCTCGTGAGGGGCTGGAAGGGAAGGAGTGAGACACAGGAGCGGTGGTCGCAGGAAGGAAGCGGTCAGAAGGTGGGTCAGCTGTCTCCGAGCTGCTCCCTCAGGAGCCAGGCTCAGTGGATCGGAAGTGGAAGCCGGGGAGGGGGTAGACAGTGGGTAAGGCCTCCTGCAAAGTTGAGAGCAGGGAGCACCAGGCCCGCTGAGGGAGGAATGGAGCTGAGGTGGGTGTATCTGAGGCGGGAAGGGGCGGGGACGGGAGGAGGGGCAGTTGAAGCTGGGGCTGGTGGGTGGCCCTCAGTGAGAGAGAACCTCACCCTTTGGTACCTTGGAAGGCGGGCCCGGGGAGGAGGGATGTGGGTGGACCTGTCTGTGGATAGTGGCCTGTTTCCGAGTAAAGTGGGAGGCGAGATGATCCGGGAAGGCTGATGGGATAATGGGGTCATATTAACGTTGATATCCAGCATCTGTATCGTCCTTAACCACGGGCCTTCCCATGTGCTGTTTTAATCTAGTAAGTTTAGAAACGGAAGCCTGTGCTTTACCTGTGGGAAGTTTGGATTCTCTGACATCCTCATCTTTTACATCGGGGAGCACCGTCTATGAGTGGAAAGCCCTGGCTGGGGGACACCTCTGCTGTCAGGGAGGGCAGTTGCTGGAACGTTTGCTCGCTCGGCTTGGAGGCCTGAGTGCTGCTGAGCGGCCTTGCCTCTCGCCCGCGTTCCTGCTGCCGGGCCGGCCGCTCAGAGCGCCCGGCGGATGAGGGGACGGCGCGGTGTGAGGGGCGCCGGTGGCCAGTGTCGCCCGGTTCCCGGGCTTCTCCTCCCGCAGGTTCCTGCTGGGCAGAGTGAGCGGCCTGTCAGAGGAGCTGATAGCCTCGCGGCTGGTGCCTCTGCTGCTCAATCAGCTGGTGTTCGCGGAGCCGGTGGCTGTGAAGAGCTTCCTTCCTCATCTGCTTGGCCCCAAAAAAGGTGACTTTCCCCAACTATCACTGGCGATCGAGGAGCGTGGGGATTGTTAGTCTGTGTTTGAGCAGGGAGGTCACTGCACGGTGCTGTCAGTGTGGCTTCTCGGGGTGGGGAGCAGTATTGGCCCCTGACAACCGGCTCAGCCCTGGTCCCAGAGCCCCCAGCACAGGCACGGAGTCTCCCTGCAGAGTCAGACTCCTGTGGTCAGCAGGATAGTACACACATGTGCACACACGTGCCCACAGGACTAACATATGAAAAGCATGTCTTCAGGGACTTGTGCATTTGCAACGACTTCCCCAGAGCAAAGATGGGAAAGCACTGAGATCACTTTACTTCTTAGGACCTCCGGGTTTTTTCAGAATGTGAAATCAGGTTATTGCTCTGAAACTCGGTAGCTGTATATCAGCACTGTAGGTGATAACATTTTAGGTTAGAGAGTACAGCATTAATATGACTCTAGAATTTTGAGTTGGGAAGAATCCTGCTTTTAGAATTTATTTTCTTAGTCTAAATCCAAGCAAACAGTGAACTTCCTTGCATTCTCCTTTGATGTTATTCCCTGGGCCATGAACTGTTGGCAAAGCGCTTCGATCCCATTACTCAAATCTTAGGTGGGGTACTGAGTCCGCTGGGATCTTCTTAAAATTCTGTGTGTGTGCATGACCCCCTGGTCAGGCTATTGGACATATTTTAAAGGTTCCTGCCTCCACAGCCACAACAGCTCTCCACCAGGTCAGGTGGTTTCAGCACCTTCTGGTTTTACAGATAAGATTGCAACAACAATATCGGTCTAATGTAGCTTATACAACTCCTCACTGAGTAAGCATACATGCATAGAGTTACTGATTCTGGATCCTATTAAAATAAAAGCTTTATTCATAGTACGTTCAGGTGACACAGTAGGTTTAAACACTGTCAGGTGGAGGGTGTTTATAATTCAGCCTTGGGAGGAATTTTGGGTCAGAAAGCTTCCCTGTGGTTGGGGGAGTCCTGAGTGTGTCCGGTTCGTGGCTGGTCTGAGTGCTGCCTGCCCCCCTCACTGACTCGGCCCTGTGCTCCGGTAGACGGGCCCGGAGAGAGCCCGCGCCTGCTGTCGCCCGCCCTGTTCCGCGCGCGGGTGGTGCCGCTGCTGCTGCAGCTGTTCCAGGTGCACGAGGAGCACGTGCGCACCGCGCTGCTGGCCCACCTGGAGGCCTACGTGGAGCACTTCACGCCCGAGCAGCTGCGGACGGTCATCCTGCCGCAGGTCAGAGACCCCGCCGGCGCCTGGGGGTGCGGGGGGGCCGGGAGCTGGGGGGCCGGGAGCTGGAGGGCCGGGAGCTGGGGGGCTGGGCCCCAGGGGGAGGGGGGCCTGGGAGCCGGGGCAGGCGTGGCACCGCGGGTGCTGATCGGAGGCTGAGGCTGAAAGAGGAGAGCTCTGGAGGCTGAGGCAGCAATTAGGTTGGAATCAAAGCGACCTGGTGATCCCATTTGCAAAGGCCAGTCGGTAAACTAATGGTTTGGTCTGAAACTGAGAAAAACTGTAATGTTTGCTAATTGGTTGGGGATGCGTGGTGAGCACAGAGCGTGCATGGCTGGTATAAAAGAATTACACTGAGTGGGGCGGACGTTGAGATTGAGGGCTTTCCAGCCTCTTCCTCAGCCACCAGGACCCTCGTTCGGATTTGCTCCGGGTTGGGGGTGTCCTGGGTGATGAACAAGTGATTGAAATGTGGGGCTTACAACAGAACTCTTCTCTCGGCTCTGAAGGCAGAAGTGCCAACTCGGGTGTGGGCAGAGCTTCTTGAAGCTCCAGGTTCGAGTCCTCCCTCACTTCTCCCAGCTTCTGCTGGCTCCTCGGCCTTTCTTGGTGTTGCCTGTGTCACTCCAACCTCTGCTTCCATTGTCACGTGACCTTTTCATAAGGACACCGGGCAATCGGTGTAGGGCCCACTCTAACCCAGTGTGAGGTTATGGGTGGACAAGCATTTTTGAGTGACACTATTCAACTCAGTCTGCAGTCTTTTGGTTTCCTTTGCTGTGCAAAAACTTTTCAGTTTATGTATTTTTTTCTTTTGTTGCCTGTGCCCAAAAAATTATTGCCTATAGCCTTGTCAGAGTTAACTGCCTGTTTTCTGCTAGGGGTTCTATGGTTTCAGGTCTTGCATTTAAGTCATTAATCCATTTTGAGTTTATTCTTGTGTGTGGAGTAAGGAGGTGGTGTAGTTTCATTTTGTGTGTGTGTGTGCCCAGTTTTCCCAATACCATTTATTGAGAGACGGTCCTTACCTCATTGTCTTATTTGTCATAAATTAATCGACCATATAGGCCTGGGTTTATTTCTGGGCTGTTTTGTTCCATTGACCTATATGCCTGTTCTTGTGCCTGTGCCAGGCTGCGTTGATTACTATAGGCTTATAGTATACTTTGATATCAGAGAGTGTTATACCTCCAACTTTGTTCTATCTCATTGGGTCTTTTGTTGAATCCATATAAATTTTAGGAATATTTATGCTAGTTCTGTGAAAAATGCCTTTAGTATTTTGATAGGATTGCATTGACTATGTGGATTACTTTGATTAGTATGGAAATTTTAATCTTATTTTTCTTACACATGAGCAGTGGTGGTTGTGGACCTTTGAGGGGTTTTATGCTAATTACAGAGGGAAAAGGAGATGAGGGAGGTAGAAGAGAGGGTAAGGAGGGACAAATGGTGATGGAAGGAGACTTGACTTGGGGTGATGAACACAATGCAATATACAAATGATGTACATGAAACCTATATAATTTTTTTCATTTTTTTTATTAAGGTATTATATGTGTACATATCTTATTAATTTCCCCCTCACTCCCATACATGCCCTCCTTCCCCAGAATTTTGCATCCATTGGTCATGCTTCTATGCATGTATACAAGTCCTTTGGTTGATCTCTTATCTTCCCCCATATCTCCCTACCCTCCCCACTGTAATTTGACAGTTAATTGCTTTACAGTTTCTGTATCTTTTTGTTCATCAGTTTATAATGTTCCTTATTATCCATAAATAAGTGAGATCATGTGGTGTTTCTCTTTCATTGACTGGCTTATTTCACTCAGCATAATGTTCTCCAATTCCATCCAGGTTGCTGCAAATGATAAGAATTCCTTTTTTACGGCAGCATAGTATTCCATTGTGTAGATGTACCACAGTTTTTTGATCCAATCATCTGCTGACGGGCACCTAGGCTGTTTCCAGATTCTAGCTATTGTAGATTGTGCTGCTATGAACATAGGGGTGCATATATCCTTTCTGATTGGTGTTTCTAGTTTCTTGGGATATATTCCTAGGAGTGGGATTACTGGGTCAAATGGGAGTTCCATTTTCAGTTTTTTGAGGAAACACCATACTGTTCTCCACAGTGGTTGCACCAGTCTGCATTCCCACCAGCAGTGCACGAGGGTTCCTTTTTCTCCGCAACCTCGCCAACCCTTGTCGTTTGTTGATGATGGCCATTCTGACAGGTGTGAGATGGTACTGCATTGTCGTTTTGATTTGCATCTCTCGAAACCTATATAATTTTATAACCAGTCACCCCAATAGATTTAATAAACATTAAAAAAAAAAAAAAAAAAAAAAAAAAAAAAAAAAAGCCTAGACCGGTTTGGCTCAATGGATAGAGCCTCGGCTTGGGGACTGAAGGGTCCCAGGTTCAATTCCGGTCAAGGGCATGTACTTTGGTTGCGGGCATATCCCCAGTAGGGAGTGTGCAAGAGGCAGCTGATCGATGACTCTCATCAATGTTTCTAGCTCTCTCTCTCCCTTCCTCTCTGTACAAAATCAATAAAAATATATTTAAAAAAAAAAAAAAAGGCCACAGCACAAGCCAAGGCCAATTGCTCATGAGAAGCAGCCGCAGAAAGCGGCTGGGGTCCATGCCTAAGTTGGGTGGCTGAGTCCCCAGGTTGATGGTGGCTCAGACATGGTGCCTGCGCCACAGGCTGAATTGGGGGAACAGTGGCACCGGCGAGGACTTCTGTCTTGGAGAAGCTGCCTCTCCAGCCCTTATCCTGAAGTCAGACTGTTGTTTACCGAATGCCCCGGCCCCTCCTGGGCTGCTGTTCCCCTGCTGTAATGTGGGGTAAACTGGTGTGTGTGTTGGGGAGGAGGGAGCGGGGGTGACCCCACGGAGCAGGACACGAGCAGGGCTCTGGTGCCAGCTGAGTCCGCAGTGTGTTGTTGAGAGTTTGGGTGGTGCTTGGTCAGCCAAGCCGCCAGGTGTTTTTTCTGGAGCATCTTGACCATGTGGGCCAAGATCAGCCTGCGTGCTGCCTGGCTTGGGGCCACCTCGTGGGAGTATAAACTGACCTGCAATTGGCTGATGCTTGTGCAATGAGAGGCTGTGCTGCGAACAGGCCACTGCCACTAGGGCCAGGCGTGGGCCTCTGGCGAGCACCATGGCAGAGCGGAGAGCAGACGGCCCGTGTGCTGGGCTCGTGGCCACTTGGTCGAAGCTCATGCCAGGCTTGGGGCTTCTGGCGGGAGCTGCAGTGCAGTTGAGGCCAGTCGCAGCCTCGTCTAAGGCTTTGGGCAGCACAGCAAGAGGTACAGGCGTGCCGAGGCCAGCCCCGGCTTGCTTGGTTGTGGTTTTAGGGGTCTGCAGTGTGAACTGGCCCAGGTCACTTGTGTGGAGGAGTGGCTGGAAGAGGTTCCACGAGGCCGAGTTGGGTGGAGTTTCAGGGCCTCCAGGAAGGTGAAAGGTGTTAGCCAGTTAATGACTCAGATTGGCCACATCCATAATTACAGGACTTGGTTCAGCTAGTTGTCAGGTGGTCCTCAAGGGTGGTGGCTCTGTGATGTAACTGTAAGTGGTTGTGGGAAAAGGGGAGCACAGCATTTACCTACCCACAGGTGACCATCAATCACCTTATTTAGTTCTTAAATCCACTCTGCGCCGGACTGCGAGGGGAATGCTGGTCCTTGGCCAGATAGTATGCAAGCTGCTGCCTCAGAACCTGTGTCTGAGAAACGAAGTTCCTGCTTGCAGGCAGCGTGGTTGTCGACACTCACCACCCTGTCTGCTCTAGGTGTTACTGGGCCTGCGTGATACCAGCAGCTCCATTGTGGCAATCACGCTTCACAGCCTGGCTGTGCTGGTCTCCCTGCTTGGACCAGAGGTGGTTGTGGGAGGACAGAGAACCAAGGTCTTCAAACGCACTGCCCCGAGTTTTACAAAAGCTATTGACCTTTCCCCAGAAGGTAAGAGTGATTTAAAAGGTCTCTTTATTGTAATTAGATTTTTAACATTGTAGAAATGATGCAGGTGGTTGTATTCAGTCAAATGATAGAAGTGAAAAGTCGGTCATTTCCTTCCCAGCTCCTCTGGGGACAGGAAACAGATCGTAATAGCTTAGTGGGAATCCTCTCCTCCCTTTCTCAAAAGCCACAAAAAGACAAATGTGTATTTACACACAGTTTACTTTTTAAAATATACAAGTATTTTATTGATTTCATAGAGCAGAAGGGAGAAAGATAGTTAGAAACATCTATAGCTGCCTCCTGCACGCCCCCTATTAGGGATCAGCCTACAACCAAGATACATGCTCTTGACCAAAATCGAACCCAGGACCTTTTAATCCACAGGCTGTTCTCTCTATCCACTGAGCCAAATGGGTCAGGACTACAGTTTTTTGTTATTGTTGTTTTAATATATTTTTCTTTGTGAGGAAGGTAGAGGGGAGAGATAGAAACATCAATGATGAGACAATCATCAATTGGCTCCCTCCTGCACGCCCCCTACTGGGGATTGAGCCTGCAACCTGGACACATGCCTTTGACTGGAAGCGAACCCGGGACCCTTGAGTCCACAGGCCAATGCTCTACCCACCGAGTCAAACCAGCTAAGCTTCACTCAATTTTTTAAAATGAGAAAATACTGTCCATAATTGTATGGCTTGGGTTTTTTGGGTTTTTTTCCATGTAGCATTTTATCAGGGACCAGCCTCCAGGTCAGCATAAACTCGAGCTCATCTTTGTGAACGCTGCTTTATATTTCATTGGGTGTAATTAACTCAGTGAATTCCATGTTGATGGTTATTATACCCATTTTTGACTTTTTAACCACTACCCACAGTATTGTACTAGATATCCTTAGAAATACATCTTTATTTCAGTTTTATTGCTGTAGGATCAGGTCCTGGGAATAGACTTACTGAGTCACAAGAATATATACATTATTTAAAATTTTAGTAGATGTTGTCAGTTTCCATAAATAGCAGTTAAGCGGCCTATTAGGTAAAAAGCTGTTGGTGCTTAGGTACTTCAAGAAACCTTATTTTGGTGTGTTCCCACTGGGTGTCACCTGGAGGTGGCGGTAATTCCTGGTCTCTGTAGGCTGCTGCTCCTTTATGTAATCCCGAGTAGGAAGGACAGTGACACTGGCTCTAATCCGGTCCTCACTGATAGTTGGCAGATGAGGGGGAAATTATTAGAAAAGAGCCATCAGATAGACTAAGCTTTAATTTGATGCCAAGAGAATTTAAAAACAATTCCTGCTTCCTAAACTTTTTGAGAGCTCAGATGAGACTGGGTCAGGGGGGCTCTGAGCAGTCTGAGGACGTAGAATGCTGCCACCTCTACAGCTGTGGGATGTGCGCATCAGACGGGGGAGGTCAGTGCTGTGAAAGGCTTATCCTTGTTTCATACTGGAGGGCTCTGGGGGAGGCGGACAGCATTGGAGGAGGAAGGTCTGACAGCTTCGAGATGAGGCTTAGGGATTGTTTTTGGTGGCAGTTTTGCATAAGTCCTCACTCCTGACCTCGGTGTTACTTGCTGCCTGGAGTTTTCTAATTCTAGACTTTATATACCAGCGATCGCCAACCTTTCAGACCTCACAGACACCAGTTGGCGACCGCTGTCATATACCATCCACTTGGGTCACCCTGTCATCTTAGCTGAAAAGACACCAGAGCTGCAGGAGCAGGTGGATTTTTATTAAAATATGTTTTCCTGAAGTCACATCAGATCTAATCCCACTGACCTGCACATATAGCAATACTCTGACTTCTTCTGTTCGGTGAGAAGTGTGCTGAGAGTTAAGGAGGAAATGTGAAGGACACCTTAGGTTGAGAACGATTGGGACTTCAGGAGGAGGAAACCAGCAGGTGGCTGAGCCCAGGCTGTTGGCAGCACTTCAAGGCAGAGCAGTAGCCAAAATTGTGTTTGAATGAGCAATGCCAACTTATAAGTGTGAACTTTCTGGTTTTAAAGACTAACTTTTCTAACTAGGTGTCATCCTAAGGGTTCTGTCTCTAATGGACACTCAGCCTGTCCTCACTCCCCTCCCCCAGGACAGGTAACCCACTCCAATACCAGGGGTACATTTCTCCCTGCACTTTAGCTTTTATTTGTGCTAAATATACCCATTCCCTTAACTGTTGCTCACCTGTGTGCTAGAGCAAGATGCAGTTTACTGTCCCTTTCACATTCTGGAGTTTGTCTGTCTTCAGATTCTCCCACACACGTGGCCTGCAGCCAGCACAGGCCGACCTCCCCCGAGAAGCCCTCTCGGGTGTTCCCTGACGACAGGCCCGTGGGCAGCAAGAAGCACAAACAGCAGGATTCCTACACCCCTCTTCCCCAGACAGGTAGAAACAGTAAGTTCATATAGCTTTTCCATTGCTTGGGTGAACGTTTTCTTAATAAGTTTAAATTCTGAACATGAAAGGCACTTTGGGAACATGTGAGACTGATCACAAGGGAAGTCAGCTCAGTGTCGCCTGCCTCCCTAGGCCACAGGGTGATGACTGCCTTTGCCTGCAGCCGGCGGAGGGGCAGGCTAACCCTGCCTGACGCTGTCTGCTTCGATGCCTCAGTGTAGCGATAGTTCTGGGCAAGGACAGGGAGCGAGAGAAAAGGGCCATGGTTCAGTAAGCTGGGGCAATGCTGACAGACACACAGGCAGCCTGTTCAAGTGAAGGCATGTTGACCGAGGCAAACTTACTTGGCCACACAGTTTCAGGATGTACATAACTGACATCGCAAGGGTAACATCAGCTGTCTTAACACTTCTAACTGTGCCAGCAGCATTTATGTTTGAGTATTTAGTAACACTTCTAACTGTGCCAGCAGCATTTATGTTTGAGTATTTAGTAAAAGAAGCTCTAATTGTTGCCTCTGGGTTAGTGTGCAAGGATATAAAAACTTACATCTGTACATTTCCCTAAATATATTCTTGCTTTTAACTAACATTTAGGAGAATAACTCTTGTCCCTGTCCCATAGGTGACGGGTTTTCTCAGCCTAGGGCATTTCCCATGAATGGACTTGCAGACATGAGACATACCTCAGGAGACAGTGAGAGCTTCCTGCTGAGCCCCCAGGTGTCTGAGGAATGGCCCGACTGGAGCGAGCCCGGGGAGCCCGAAAGCAGAACGGTCCACACACCGGCATGGCCTCCGGGGCCAGCCAGGCCCCCACTCACAGCCCTGAAGGAGGAGGAGACGTGGGATGGCCTTACGCACAGCAGCCTCGGCCACGCGGTGAGCCCAGGAGGCGGAATCACCGGGACCCCGGGGGACAAGGCCATCCCCACTTCTCTTCCGCTCACAGAGGCCGCCCAGCCTTTGGCATCGAGCCAACCCCACAAGACCAGTCCTGTCCCGGACCAGCCCCCGCCCCCGCAAGTATCATCACGAGAAAGGCACCCTAAGATCCCATCAGAACTCGGTTTAGGAGAGGAGTTCACCATTCAAGTGAAAAAGAAGCTGGCACAGGACCCTGAGTTGGACTGGTTCGCTGACATGATCCCCGAAATTAAGCCTTCGGGTGCTATTCTTGTTCTACCTGAACTGAGGACAGAAACGGGGATCCCCACCATGGATGGTGTCTCACCGGGGATGCAGTTTTCCTCAAAATTTGCTGCAGCAGAAATGACGGAGGTAAGGATTTCCTTTGTGGTACCAGCTGCCTTGTCCCCTCGTAGCAGACACCCAGCTGTCTTCCCGCCAAGGGAAGGGACACCTGTGCCCAGTCAAAGCCACTTGCTATTTATTACCATGTTTCCTTCCCCAGAAAAACGCAGCGGTGTGGCTCAGTGTTCATGGCGCTTGTAAATAGTCACCTTTTTCCTTGGAAAAGGGAGCAAACCACGAGTAAAGGTGGTGTCAGCAGGTGGGCTTCATTGGACGAGATGGTGCTTAGGAAGCTGCTTTGCTCATTTGCATCAGGATGTAAACTGCTGACCTTTCCAATGTGGAGACCTGTCCCAGCGCTGCCCTTGGCTTTGTGTTGCAGGCGGAGTCTGACGGCTGGGGAGATGCCGGGGAGCTGAGCTGGGGAGACAGCAGCTGGTGACAATGGCTGTGAGTTAAACTCTAGGGAAAAGGATTCCTTTAAAAAAAAAAAAAAAAAAATCAAATACCTCAAAAGCAGGCTCTGCAGACAAGAAAACCCCACAGCATCCTGTTCCTCACACCAGGAGCTTTCCAGTCTGTGCCAAGGAAGCGAGACCTTGGTATGGCCTCAGCTGGGGGAAGCCTGAGCCTCTAAGGCCAGGTCGCTTTGGAAGTAAAGGAAATAAATACAAGACCTTCCAAGTGATTAGCTTAATTTCGTGCCATTTCTTTACCGGTGAGAGGAGTGAGCTCTATTATGAAATGCACCTGGAAAACATTTTACGATGAAGGATGTAAATGACTAAGCTGCCCAAGGAAACCTTAGCTATTTATTTGTTTACGGTTATTCCCACATGTATTACGTGGACCAAAGTTCTTCATGAGAAATATCCCCTATAATCTTGTTCTCTAAACATCCAATAAAGACTATTTTCACTAGATTTAACTTACAAAAGTTGTTTTATGTGTTAGGAAGTTTATAGACATAATTTACATAAATATCTTCATTTACAAACTACATCGTAGAATGTCATACCCGGTTCTGTCTAGCAATGGCCCGGTCCATTCAGGTCTCATCCGGAGCCCATGGCCTTCAGCTCGTCCAGCTTCTCCTGGAGCAGCTGCATTTCTGCGGGAAGCCAGCGAGGAGCCGCGGACTTCCGGAGCAGCAGCCCGACGGCCTCCAGGGCCCCGGCTGCGGCCTGCAGCGCTGACCGGTACTCCTCCTCCGCGGGGGCCTCCAGACGGGCTCTCTTAGCACAAGGCTGGCAAACGAGAAAGACGTGGTGACCTATCAGGAACCTTGTGCGGACTAGAGCAGAGCTTATTAGAACACGTTCGAAAACTGTAAACGCTGCGTGTGCACATCTTATCCCGCCATCGGCTCACGGGCAGCACCTCCAGCGTCCCGGGAGAGACATGGGGACGTGCTTGTCACCGCGATGCAGGGAGCTAACCCCTCGGTGCCGACGCCTGCCCTCCACTGAGTGCTCGACACACCTCACCACACAGCCATTTGGATTTAGGCTGCTTTTATGTTTAATGCTCAGTTTATAACTAAGGAGAGCTGTGGAGCCAGTTCTCGTAAACGTCACCGCCCAGGAAAGGGGTTGAGGGCTAAGACCCCTTTCTGACCACTCTAAGGAAGCTCATGAATTCGTGAGGGCCCCCTTGTACTGCTGGCAGGATATTTAACTTTACAGACTTCAGGCATAAGAGTCTTGAAAAGTTATTAAAACTTACAAGAACATTGTTCTTGTGGATTGCAATTCCAAATATACCGTTAGTACTCAAAAAAAAAAAAAAAACACAACCCATTTTAAAATCTCCCTAGGGGATATTTACTAATAGGCAGGGTATTGGGTACATAAACATCCTGGAAGGTAAGTTTTCTGGTTTTCCTCTTAGGCCACTACAGGTAGCAGGTGTGCCGGCCAAAGCTTATTCTGTAATCCTACCTATTTTTAGGTGTTCATAATCTTTTTTTTTTTTTTTTTGGGGGGGGGGGAGGAGGTTAAAGAGCATAAAACAGAATTTTACATGTCTAGATCTACTTCTTTTATATGGAACATGAGAACAAGAGCCATACTAGTTTAAGTACTAAGAGAATTCCTCGTACAAAAAAAGCTTGACCCATGTTGTAATGCAATCGTCCATACCTGTAAGGATGACCACTTTGCTTCTTCTAACATGACTGTTGGCAAAGATCCCCAGAAAATCCCCTTTTCCTGTTTCACACGCTCCACTCTGGCAGCTCCCGTCTCGTCTGCCAATCCCGTCTGCCAGAGATCGTGAAAGACCAGGTAAGCAGCCAGTGCAGTCAGACTGCTCCCGGAATTCGGGACCTGGGGTTTAACTATTATTCTTGATGCTTCACCTAACTGTCCCCATGAAAGTGACAAAGGATGCACAGATGTGGGAGCCGTAGGATGGAGTCAAACTGTAAAAAGCCCGTGTCCTAGGCTGTCAGTGCAGAGGAGCCGCCTCAGTTACACCTGAACCAGTGGTGCTACAGGCAGTGACTCCACGTGTCTGACTTCTGCGATGTGTCACCACTGTGCAAAAGTGAAGCTAGGGAGATAACCTTTTTAAAAAGTAACACGATAAAGAACAGTGACACCATTTTTTTGATTCTGTAAAAAATGAAGTAAAGTACCTTCTCCAGAAAGTTTACCACTTTGTTCTTAGTTTCTTCAGAACTAAGGCACTTGGGGACTATCTCTTCATTACTTGTTTCCTGTTAAAAATTGGTAAGACAATTTTTAATATATTTCGATAAGTTGAGACACATACATGAGTTTTAAGGGCCACTTTACTCAAAAGCATTTTAACCCAGTGCACGCCAATGTTTGCTCTGTTAGCCCTGACCAACTTTAAAATCATTATTCGTGAGAATTTTCAGCTGAAAATATTCAAGAACATTCGCATTGAGTATTTTTATAATATTCATTGTAAATTGATTTTTCTAAGTTAAATTCAAAATACTGTGGCGTGTGGGGACGGTTCCTGTTTGGGTAGTAAGCTGGGATACTCCAGAGATGATTAGCTCATAGTTGTTGCACGTGCCTTAGGTGACACCCTATGCTGCAGGTACTAGGTTTACAGTGGGAGGACCATCCCTGCCAGATCACCTCCACAGAACAAATAGGTCTGCTCATCAACCTGACGCCAGGATAGTTTGAGGTGATAGGTATTATCATCCAACCCAAAAACAGCATGGAGGAGACTGCTGGATTAGCAGGCCTGCTAGAATGCCTGTTGGGTTGTTACTACCCACAGGTCCTTAGGAATCACACTTCTCGATGCTTCATCTTTAGAAATACCTTCTGCAGCAGAAAATTTTACGGCTAAGAGAAGCAGTTCATCACTGTTTCTGGAGTGTCTGAAACGTTGAAATGCTTTGCAGGTCACGGCTATGGTGGGTCTTACCTCTGCAAACTGAGTAAATGCCTCCAAGGCATGTTGTTCTAATAGCCAGTTCCTGTCGGCCAGCAGCAGAGCAAAAACGGAACACAGACTGGGCACAATTTTGTCCTAAAGAGAACCAAGCAGAGAAAAGCCTAGCAGAGTAAATGCAATATGCCTAATGTTGTATTAAAACATGCTGGTCATGTCACTCCTTTGCTCGAGTCTTCCATTTTGCTCGTATAAATCAGGGTCCTGACCTTGGCCTGCAAGCCCGCCTGCCTCTGTTTGTGTCATTGCTGCATCCTCAGTGTGCCAGTCAGACTCCCAGGTCAGAGCTGCTCCCTGCCTTTCCTCTGCTCAGAAGATGCTTGTCCCAGAGCTGCAAGGCCTGCTCCCTCGGCTTCTTAGTGTCACCACTGACTGTACCGCCCACTTAGAGCTGTGCCCCACGTCCACATGCTCTCTTCCTACTCTTCCCCCCCTCTCCCCCCCCACACACACACACTGCACTCACACCATCCCAGGCACTGCACATGTCACCACTTCAGGTCTGCAATCTCTCAGTGGGGCGTTCGCTGGGTTCATTATTGAATCCCCAGTGATTGAAACAGTGCATGATACATGTACAAGAACTCAGTAATTTTTTTTCTTAAATGAAATATGAATCAATCTTATCTAATGGTTTTAAATGCCTCTCATTTGCTGATGAAGCCCCAAAATTTTTTCAGGCCTTAACCTCGTTCCTGGAAATAAATATATTTCTAGAAATATAAAAGGTAATTTCCGCTAATAAAAACATCTATAGGTTCTGGGAACATTATGATCCAAATGCAGGTGCATTTTGGAAAACACTTTTATGCTAAAAAGATTTGGCTACTTTTGCCTGTAGAGTTGAAAACAAACAACAGCACACTTATCTCTTGAAACACAACCTGATGTGATAGCAGCATCGTTTACCTGGAACAAATGAGAAAGTCCTTTAGAAACTAACCAGGTAAATTTTTTGGTTGCAAAGATTTTAATCAACCTGTAATGTCAATTATGGTCTTGTTCCATTTACATAACAGGTGCTCATCAGTGCGCTCTAGTCTCCGGTGGAGGAGGGAAAGTCAGCTGTCAGGAACTGCTGGGGGTGACGGCAGCAGTAAGGAAGGAGAGTCTGAGGACAGTCTCCTTTAACAGAAGTGGCCTGCCAGGCCTCACGTATGATGTAAATAAGCGCCCAATGTCAACTACATGTACTTTGCAACATATTCAAAACACTATCTTTAAAAACAGACTCCCTTTCATGGATATAAAACCAAAAGAATAACATCAATAAGTTATCCAACTTCATTATACACTTATGTTTTCTTTGCGGACTAAAGCCCACAAAGAAAATATCAGACTACACTGGTGCGTGTGCGTGTGCGTGTGCGTGTGTGTGTGAACATATTTTTCTAAAAAAAAAACTTAAAATGAGTTCTACTTTGGTAGTCACTCTATTCATAAAATACATTTTCCCCCAACTTACATTGTCTTCAATCCACAGAATTGAAACCAAAATCCTAAAAATCCTTAGTCATTCATCCTGCAGCGTTTTTGTAATAACAAGAACAGAATTCAGAGTTTTACCTGGATAGCTGGAGATATGAAAAGTTTTCCGAGAGAGGACACAAAGTCAAGGACTGCCAAGCGAACATGGTCTGGTGGCTCTAATTTCAGAAGTGAGGCCTGCAGAGTTACTACCTGAAGAGGCAAAGAACATTACTTTGCAGAAACATCTGAGTTGCTATGATTCTGAAGGGGGTGTGGGAGGGAAAACAAAGCAAAACCCACAATAGCCAAACACTCCTCAAACCCTAACCTTCGTGAAGACGGGCCTAATAAAACTATGGAGTCAGTGGCCGGCAGGAAGAATGCTGAAGTAACTAAAACACAAGGGGGCTCCTGAAGACCTATATGCCGGTCTTCTTCGAACCTTTAAAAGTCATTCTGTATTTTAAAGTCTCAGTTCTTTATTAGCGGGGTTGGCAAACTATAAAGAATCAAGTGGTCAGTATTTTAAGGCTTTGCAGCAACAGGTGTTCCCTGCTGCATACTTTATCGTATTTTATTTTATAAACCTTTAAGAAAGCAAAAGTCATCCTTAGCTCTTGTGCTGAAAGCAGGGCAGAATCCAGCTGGGAGATTTGCCAACCCCTGGTTTAAGGGAGCAATGAAAGTCTTCTGTAAAACAAAAATGCCTAAATGAACAATTACTTACGTTGAAATTTTAGAACTTTAGTTATTTGGATTTTTAAAGATAGGCACAGTCATATTAAAATTAGCAGCATTTAACTTTTCATAAAAGAATAATAGAACTTCAGAATCAACAAATTCAATGTTACAGTCACATAATTGGAGTGAATGATTTTTACCACATTGTCATTCTCTCTAATTTAGTAATACATGTTACATATGTAGAAATTTTAAAATATACCTAATTAGCCCTGGTTTATGTGGCTCAGAGGTTAGAACATCTACCCACGCACTGAAATGTGTCAGGTTCAATTCCTGGTCAAGGACACATACCTGGGTTCGCTCCCCGAATTGGGAGGCACCCAGTCAATGTGTCTCATGTCAGTGTTTCTCCCCCTGTCCCCCTCTCCCTTCCTTCCTCCCACTCTCTGAAAAGAAATGGAAAAGCATCCTCAGGTGAGGATTAACAAAAATAATATTACCTAATTAGCAAATATTTAAATTTTTCATATCTACAGCCACTCACCAGAGCTTCCCACAGTCCACTGCGACAGGAAGTATCTTCCATCACCCGCCTGCCGAGTAACCAGGGCTAGTCTTACTTCCTAACAGCTTTTCTTTCTGTTTCTTATGTGACTAAGCACAAGCCAACTCTTCACTTGGGGGTCATTCTGGCCAGTCTGGATTCATTCCAGAGCCTCCAGACCACTTCAGATACGATGAAGGCCTTCCCCTGTCTCTCCCCTCACTGGCCTCGAACCTCCTAAATGAGACATAACTGAGCAACACCCCAGGCTCCCCTGACAGTGACCCCAGTTCAGCAGTGTCTTCCCTCAAAACCTCCTTATTTCCTCAGAGAAACTGAGGGGCAGCCTTCGTCCATGCTGGTTAGTCCTCACTCCCAGGGCTGCGCAGATGCCTTGCAAAGTGCTAGGAATGCAGGTTCCACACAACTCTGACCCAACCGCAGGGGTCTTTCTGGGCCATTAACAGCAACAGAAAAGTTTTGACTCTTCCCTATCAAGGAGATAAGGAGGCAGATAAAGGCTGAATTAACAGCCCAGAATACTAACAATCCACCACTAGAAGGAAGAAAGAAGCAATGAGGAGACATCCCTGGACATGCAATTTGTGGCTGCTACGTGCAACCCACAACAAAGGTAAATAAGCAAACTGTGCAAGAAATCATGAAAAAGGACAGTTTCTGGAAAGTTATTTTAAGTCATCCCATTTTAACAACTTTTTCAACAAAGTACCCACTTGCTCACTATTCTTACCTGACTGATCAGCTGAGGATCTAGAGTTTGAATGAAAAATCCCAACAGTGGAAACAAAAGACTGAGTGTCTGTTGAACATAAGGTTGACCTGTTACCTTAAATAAGAAACAAAATAATTTAAAAATTTTTCAATAACATGTGGATAGCAGCCTTTAATCAGCATTTCCTCTATACCTAGGTTCTTTCTGTTTATTACCTCACTTACGCCTTGCAGATCTCTGAGGCAGGTACTCCCCTCAGCTCACTAAGAACAGGGGCAGGTCACACATCTGCTCACCACAGTGTGGCTAGTAAAAAGCAGTCACGATGCAAACCTAGATGTCACATCTGTCTGCCTTGCACTTGGCTATCTTGAGTCTCAGAATTCCACTCCTCTCTCTATAATTGTTTCTATCATGATATTGTAAGTTATGTCACCAGCAGAGAAGTTAAATAACCTGCTGAACTCAAGCTTTTGGTCATATATAAAAGGATTAATTTTAGAAAATAGGTGCATTTATGAATATTTATTGAATGATTTATGAGGACTGGGGGAAGTACTTAAGCGAAAATACTGCAGATGGGAAATCTGACACACAAACTTTATGCTAACCACCTGCAAAACCATGTCTATTATTTCCCACAAGTGCAATTGTAGCTTTCTGCTTTCACAGGCGGAATAGCAAGGTCAGCTTTTATTGGCTCAAAGCAAATGTCATATTTGGATGTTTAAGTCCATATTTTCAAACTGTAATAACATGGGGGACACACATTTCCAGCCTGCTCATCACTAGGCTCTGTCTTTGCTAGGTCATCCATCTACTTGCCCCTTCTACCTTAAGCCCAAAAGATAATATTAAAGAATCACAAAACAGGCTGAACTAACCCAAGAGAGAAGAGAAATAATAGGGTAAGGAACTTAAAAAAAAAAAAAAAAAAAAAAAAAAAAATTGGATCCGACTGGTCCTGAAACTGTTAGCTGGACTGTCACCATCTCGACTAGGTTCTGGCTTCACTAATCTAATCCAATTGTACAAATAAGCTGCAATCACAAGCTCTACCCGGCACCTGCAGAAACGAGATCCCTTTCACTCTTCAGGGAAATTTCAGTACTATTCTCTTTTGTCAGTCTTTTTTTCCTTCAGGGAAATCATCAGTTGCATTGCTTACCAGATTAGTGTTTAGAAAAGCCCAAAGCTGACTTCCGGCTTCCATAACTGCAGTTTGTTGTCCAATATCCAGAGCTTCGCTCGCAGAATTATTCGCAGCAAGCAAAGCAGAGAGCGCAGTGTTCTATGGAGAGACAGGAAAAGGACCCAATTTTAGACACCAGCCTAACGGAGCTGAAGCCAGTTACCTAGAGGTTAGGAGTTACCCGTAACTCTTCGTAAAAATCCATGTAGAATTATATTCCTAAGACCCAAATTCATCTTTTCAGCTATTTCTGTAATATATTTAATAAAACTAATTTTCCTTAACATAGGAACATTTGCTTCATTTTTTTAAGTAAGCCTTTTTCCTTATAGGTTGAAAAATTTATAAGGAAATAAAAAGAACATTTTATCTTAAAAAATAAGTTTGATACAAATAGTATAGCCAAGATGATTTGTAATATTCATCAGTTTAGACCTGGCCAGTGTGTTTCAGCTGTGGAGCACTGTCCCGGACACTGAAAGGTTGCGGATTCAATCCCCAGTCAGGGAAGGCACGAAGGCAACTGATGGACATTTTTCTCTCACATCAGTTTCTCTCTCTCTAAAAATCAATAAACTATTCTTTTTTTAAAATGTATGAGAAGTAGTACACTATCTAGAATCACAGATTAAAATCAGCCTTGGTCCATCTTCTAACACCCCACCCATTCCTAAAACGGCTCACCAACCACGACTGAAAAACCCATCAAACTGAGTACTTGCCAGCCACTCGAGTTCCCCCACAGTGCGACTGCCACCGAGCCACCTCCTGCCCTGGGCCACGCCCACGCTGACCACCTCATGAGCAGTTTGCTTCCTCAGCTCAGCGGGGAAAGCCTGGAAAGAAATATATTGCCACAGAGGCAGATTTTCCGCTTCTTTGGGGGAAAATTTCTGGATAAACTCCACCTGAAATAAATTATTAAAGAAACATGAGTAACTTAATATATTATTTAATATATTTTAAAAGTTTTTAATTAAACAGTGTTATCACAAGGTACCAGATTCAAGGTTAACTGAAATGAACACTTATTATTTTTGTTGTTGCATTTGTTTTCATCAGGAACATTATGAAAATGCACTAAGAATGTTAAAGAATATAATTCCTTGGTAGGCAGGTCAACTATTTTATAAGACTCCTACCCAGAGAGGAAGAGAGAGGGAGAGAAAGATAGAAACTTCAATGATGAGAAAGAATCACTGATCGGCTGCCTCTGCATGCCCTGCACTGGGGATCAAGCCTAAAACCCAGGCATTGCCCTTGGCCAGAATCAAACCTGAGACCCTTCAGCCCACAGGCGAACGCTATACTCACTGAGCCAAACCGGCTAGGGCAAGCCTACTATTTCCCTAAGAATTCATCACCCTATACAGTTAAGTCAGAAGTAATATTCCCAACACGGCAACAGAACTTAAAGAAGCAAAGGTCACAGAGTCAGTTTTCCAGTGGGAACTGGCTCTGCTCCACTTGAGATAACACAGGAACTGGGTTGGCATTTATTATGGGTGTTTGGGGGAGTTCTTTAATTTCTGAATCTCTGTTTTCATAAGGACCAATCAGTTTGAGTGCCTGGTATAAAGCCCGGTCCACATTACAGTCTCCCTCCTTCCTCTGGAGGAGTGACCGTGTCTGGGGAAAAGGAGTCAAACAGGCGGGACTGACACTTGGCAAATGCTCGCTCAAACCTCACAGCCACCGTCAGGGTGAGCCTCAGCATCTCGGCTTCAGGACTAACGACTCTGCCAAGGACTCGAAGGACAGGGATTCAAATTCAGATTCGTCCTTGAAGCTTTTTTTTTTCTTGCTAATCCTCACCCACGGGTATTTTCTCCATTGGTTTTAGAGTGGAAGGGAGGGGTAAAAACAGAGAGAGAAATCCATGTGAGAGACATATTGGTTGGTTGCCTCCCAAATGAGCCCAAAAGGTGCCAGGCATGGAGCCTGCAACCGAGGTATGTGGCCTTGACCTGAATCAAACCTGGGACCCTTCAGTCCACGGGCAATGCTCTACTCACTGAACCAAACTGGCTAGGGTTATCCTTTGATTGTAAATTTTAGCACAGTCACTTGATCATAGCAGATAACTGATGGAAAAAAAATTTTTTTTAAAGCCCTCCTTTACCCATAACCTATTTATCTCAATTATTGGGGAAAATTTAGAAAATTGAGATGTAAGATGTCTAAAATTAGAGTTTATCTTCTTTATAACAAAGCTTCTAGACCTCACTTAGAGCTAATTTGTTATGGGTTGTATTATTCTAAAAGTTAAAATTTCACAACAACCCTGGAAACAAATACTTTTATCCCTATTTTCTATGTGAGAAACTGGGATTAAGAGGTCTTTCCCTCCCTCTATGGAGAGCAATGTACAGGAAGCCAGGACAAGGCCTCTGTCGGGAGAGTGAGGACAGGAAAATTCACAGGGACCTGAGCAGAGCGCGAGGCTGGAGATGGGAGGAAGGACAGCGAGTCTTCTGAAGCGCTCACCGCCGGCCTCGGGCTTCCTCCTGGAGGCGGCTGGAAGGCTGGTGGTCCTCCTAGGGCCCAGCCAGCCTCTCTAGGGAGGACTGCGACTCGGGCCAAAGACTCAGTGAGAGAGAACGCCCAGCACTTACTGAGCAGCATCTAGTGCTAGTGTTTTACAAATGTTTTCAAAAATAGTTATACCTATCCACCACTTTGTAGACAGGGAAAGTGAGGCTCAGAAAGGATGACTTGTCCGAGGTCATACTAAGCCAGGATTCAAACAGAGGCCTGTAACCCCTTCGCTAACCTAGTGGTTCCCAAGCAAGCATCCCTGTCAGATTCATGTAGGAATTTAACATAATTACTAAGCCACCACTCCATACCCAGATGAAGGTCTGGGAACCTGTTTTTTTGTTGTGTTTTTTTTCCTTTCTTTGTTGACTAAGGTATTACATATGTGTCCTTTTTCCCCCATTACCCCTCCCTCCCCACACTCATGTCCTCACTCCCCTAGTATCTGTGTCCAGTGGTTATGCTTATATGCATGCATACAGGTCCTTCAGTTGATCTCTCCCCTAAGCCCCCCCCCCCCCCCCCCACACACACACACACCTTCCTTAGGCTCCCCAGTGGCCAGTCTGAGGACTGACTGCCCAAGGCTGCCAGGCCTTGTAACTGCAGCGCCTCCTCCATCACAGCTTGTTTCCTCACAACCTCAAACAGCTGCGGCCAAAGGGTAATGAGTGTGATTCCTGGTCAAGGGCACACTTGGGTTGCAGGTTCAATCACCAGCCCCAGTCAGGGAGCACATGTGGAAAGCAACAAATCCACATCTCTCTCTTTACATCGATGTTTTTCTCTCTCTCCTCTTCCCTCCGTTCCACTCTCTAAAAATCAATGGGGAAAATATCCTTGGGTGAGGACTATTAAAAAAAGATTCTGTTATCATGCCAATGTTTAAACACAGTACAAATGGGGGGAGGAAACATTTTAAAAAGAGTCTGAACCCAACCCCTGGCAGTTGCTCCAAGACGGTGACAACAAGGACATTCTTGCCTGGTGGGGCGGGGCCATGAAGAAGAGGAGACGCCGCAGGAGCACGGACAGGTTGGTGAGCTGATAGCACTCTCCAGGGCAGGACTTTATCTGGGGAAAGACAGGAGACTGGCCTAAAATCATAGCTTTTACACGCTTTTATATGCTAAGTGTTAACAGTAACTCTTTCTGAGAGAAGATTATAGGTAATTTTAATTTTTTTCCATGAACCAATATTACTTTTATAATGAAAGAACTATTTTGACGTTATATTTGAAACACCACTTTGGAACCTTGGTTTCGAATTATCATTTTCATGACAACCTCCTACTCAAAAACAATTCATGGAATATTTTCAGACCTAAGCTCTACAGTGCAGAAGTGGGTATAATTCTGGTAAGATGGAACTATAATTAAAAGATTTTATAAACTCAATTTCCTGGAAATCAATTCCTTGCATAATACACTAAGGCCAGGGACAAAAGAACAAAAACGAATAGATCATCATGACCATCTTAAATGGAATGCATCAAATATCTCAAAATTAAAGGTAAAAAAGATCAATATGAAAAGATTAAATCATCACTAAATCATTCTCTATATACCCATCCACAAAGCATTACTGCTTTTCCCCAAAGGCATTAATCACTATCACATTTAGTCCCTCTTGACTAAAAGAGATACAACAATTCAAGAGTCAGCCTGTCTAAGTCATATTAGAGAGAGAGAGAAGGAGGGAGAACACTCTTGGTCATCAACATTAAGCTCTTCTCTCCTGATTTTCTATTTTGCATCAATTTTAAATTAATTCTCAACCTAGTCTTTATTTCCCAGAACAATTAATGGAACTAGATAAAATTTTGAAAATATGAGACAATTTCCCCAGTTTTACACTGTTTCTAGTCTATCTCAATAGTATCAACAAACTGTCAAAATAATTTGGCTGCCATGTATTCCTCCGTTCGATATTCACTCTGTAGATGAGCATGTCTCCAAAGGAACCTCATGGGCAATTCTACTCACCAGGTGAGCCACTATGGAGACATGGTGCGCACAGAGCTCAGCGGTCCCGTATCTGCAATGCACATGGAGGAGGGAGTCTTTATACAATTATTTACACAATTCCCCAGAAAAGCAAGGACACCAACTTCCATACGGCACTAAGTATTCTAAACCCAGTTATCCCCAGGATCAAGGAATATCACGGCATACAAAGCCACCTAAGCACTAGTTGTCTATGACTCCAAACAAAGAAAGAAAAGAGGAACCCTAATTGAGTGCTGTGATAGGAAACCAAAGAGTTACTGAGCAGAACTTTTATATAAACGTACAAATCTAAAATAATTCACTGTTGGTCACTACTATAAACCAACCGAAAACAAAGCAGTACACGTACCGAGCAAGGAAGCACCAGGCGTCCATCGCTAACAAGGAGGAGATCATGTTGGCACTGAGCACTGCGCTCAGCAGAGCGGCATCCTGAGGAGAAACACAGTTCACGTTCCACTTCCCCATGAAACAAAACACCGCACCACACACACGGCAACAGGCCTCGGGGAAAGGCTCTGCCTCCTGGAATCTGAAGGAGCCCATGCTGCCTGCCATGTTCAGCACCTGCGACGTGGAGCACGGTGCTGAGCCACCGGGACTCAAACTGGTTTTAATTGTGGAAATCAATCACTGGGGCTCACCAGAATTCTCCCAGTAGCTCACGTTGTTAAAACAACATAGTGACATAGAAGCCTGTACTTTTGTTTCTGCTTTAACCATCCAAATACAGTATTTAATATGACTGATGCTACCCACTGTATAATATCTTAAATGATACGGATGCGTAAATAAGCTCTAAAAACTTTTCCCAAGAATTTCAACACCTTTTCTAATCCAATTTCACTTAAAAAAATATCTTTATTATAACAAAGACCTACAGGCGACTTAATGCTGCATACAACTCTTCACTTCTTTTCTTTATGAAACTGCGGGAGATAAATTCACCTATTTTCCTCTCCTTGCAGTCTTTCTATACCTTCCCACCAAAAATGTTTCTTCAAATGTCTTAGCAAAATACTACATCTGAATACTGTTGGGCTCTAGGATTACATTTCCTAGGACACAGCTGAGTTAAAGGATAAAATGTGTAAGTTGAGAAAACGGCGGTCTAAAAGAACATCCACTTTTTCTGTATGTAAACCACAATTTCAGTGAAACAAAAAATGCAAAAGAGCAGCCTCAGCTTAGCCAAACAAGTCACAAACTCACCAGTTCGGGAAACAGGGAGGGATGGAAGGAAGTGATAAATGTGCACAGATGAACACAGACATGCTGATACAAGGGGACGGCAACCTCCACTTGCCCTTTCCCCTTCACTCCCTGTAAATGAACAGGGAGAGAGAGTTCACCAGAACACTGCTCAAAACTGCTGAAAATGGCTGTGAGTAGAGATACCCTGCAGGGAAATTGAGAATATGGAACCCAACATTATTAACATTTAATAATTAGTAGTAAAATAATATAACATATCATGGGGTTTTTTTAGCAAAGCAAAATGTCTCAAGAGGTATACATTTCCAATATGTGAACATGTATAATAAAAACAAAATACAATCATTATTAGAGAAAGTCCTTAAAGGATAAGAATTTGCCTGGACATTTTGTATCACTGACCCAGTGTTTATCACATAACTAAACTATTCAAAGACAAAATTCATGAAGAAACTTCATTTTTAAATAGCTAGATAGCATATATAAACTAGAATATTACAGTTCTGATGGGGAGAGGGCATTTTATGATTGAAATGGTTTCGGAAATCTTTGTAGAGGACTTAAATTAAAAATACAAAAAGATATAAACAGGTAAAGACAAAAAAAGCATGAGTACAAGGTAAACATGACAGAAAACAAGTGAAAGGATGAGGAGCAAAAGCAGAAATTAGCAACAGAATGGGATGACCTTTCAACCCAAAGCTAAGAAGTCTGACAAATTGGCTTTAGTTTTGAGCACAGAATTTTGGTTTTGAGAACAGGGAGTCAGAGCTGGGCTTCAGGGAGACTGAATGGGCTAAAAAAGGGTGAAAAATCCAAGCACAGCAATAATCCAAGGGAGGAGTATGAATACAAGTGAAAATTCCCAAGTGGTAAAGTACAGTGTCTACCATTCTCTTCATCAGAGCTCATTTTCATGTTACTAATTACATCTAACCCATTACACTCAATGTTTATAATACTATTAGGCAATACCTTCTAAAACACTAAACAAAATTAAAATAGCTTTAGTGTCTATAGATTCATATGTTTTATATGTATACTTTTATAAAATAGCAACATATGAATGAGGTCTACAGTAATTATTAACTAGAATATCTGACACAACAAAAACGTAATTTCAAGATCTTTCCAAGGGCACTGTAAACCATGGTAACGTGACGGGTAGAAACAGCACATCTGCTACCTGGACGCGGGTCCCGACGCCTGGCTCCCGGTGCACCACAGGGTCTGCACGTCCAGGGGCTGAGCGGGCAGCTTATCCATGATGACAACCAGCAGGAGACACTGCGGGAACTGTAGTTCGCATGGCAGCTCTTAGAAGCAATAAAAACACATTCATGGTGTTACAAATTGGTAAAAACGTATTCTACATCTTCTCGGCAGAAACCTGATGTGATATGTAAAGAAATTAGAGACATAATTTATTTCAATGAGAAATATGTTCCAAGAAGAAAAACGTAAGAGATTTTAAATAAAAAGTTTGCAACTTAAAAAGATGATTGCATAGGGAAGGGAAAGCCGTCTCTAACATGTTATCCGATATAATAAAAGCCCAGCAACCATTAATGGCACAACGACCAGAACGACCGCTCGGCCAGTCACTATGAGGTGCACTGACCACCTCTTAGTCCTGTTCCCGGTCAGCAGGCTCCGACTGCCAATGGCGAACAGGGACCAGGAGTGGGTGGCAGGGGATGCGGGTGGTGCCAGGCCAAGGCCCCTGCCCCACCAGTCGCCCCAAATACAGAGGGCAACCTGCAGCGGGGGTAGGGCTGGCGAGCAGGCAGCAATGGCTGACTTCTCAGTCCCTCCCCCAGTCGTCAGGCTCCCATTGCTGGATGGTGAACGGGGAACCAGGGTGGGTGATGGCCCTGATCACAGACTTGGGACCAGACCTGCGGGGCCTCTAGTAATTAATGAGACATTTTAACATTAATTCTGTTTTGAAGCTTTACCTAATTTACTGTCCAAAACCACGTGCACAAAAGGCTGGAAGGTGAGCAGCTGAGTGATGAGTGGATCCAGGGTGACTAGGAAAGTGCCAGCTATCTCCTCCTGCTGGGCATGAGAGATCCCGGAAGCATACAGGCTGGGAGGAAACTTGCTGGAAAGGGAGGAAAACAATGTTATGAGCAGCTACCTTCTAATTTTAGGAAGAGGTAAATACTGCAAACTGATGTTCTTCTAGCAGTGAGAATACATAAGTAGCATCTGTTTTATTAAACAAAATTCAGATTACGAAAATGACACCATTTATGAAGAACCTCAGAACTAAATAACAAAACTCTAACAAGAAATTTAGAATCTTAGTGAAATCTCTGGATTGTTTTAATTCATTTTAATACCTATTTTGACAATGATATCTTTTAAAAATACTGCAAAAATATGAATTTAAATAACTAATAAAAACATTAATGTAAAAACAAAACAAAACACTTTCTGATAAATTCTGGCATAACCACTTCTATTAAACATTGTTTTAAAATAGATAGAATGTGCCCAAACCGTTTGGCTGGGAAGATAGAGGATCGGCCTGTAGACTGAAAGGTCCCAAGTTCGATTCTGGTCAAGGGCATGTACCTTGGTTGCAGGCACATCCCCAGTACAGGGTGTGCAGGAGGCAGCTGATTGCAGTTTCTCCCTCATCGATGTTTCTAACTCTATCCCTCTCCCTTCCACTCTGTAAAAAATCAATAAAATATATTTTTAAATAAATAAAATAGATAGAATGCTGAATATACTATGAATTAATGCTCAGTTTCTCAGGAGCAAGAGCTTTATAATTACTAAACTGAAGATATGTATTCAGTATTTTTTGCCACATTATTTTAATTGTGTCACACTTTAAATGTGGGAACACCCTGCCTTGCAGAGGGTAAATAACAACATTTAAAAGGGTGCAGTTAAACCCTGGACGGGTGGGTGGAATGTTGGTTGGAACATTGTCCCATACACCAAAAGGTTATGAGTTCGATTTCCACTCAGGGCACATATGGAAGGCAACTGATTGATGTTCTCATCAATGTCTCTGTCTCTCTTCTCCTCTGTCTAAAATCAATGAGCATATCCTCCGTGAGGATTAAAAATAAATAAAAGGATGGGCTTAAGATAAACAGTAGAGCCTCTGTAATATGATGGAGAAAGCACCATCTGTCAGTGGCTTTCGATCATTCATTTGACCCCCCTGAGCCTCTCAGTTTCTTCACTTGTGACACTGATCTGGAATTGTGAGGATTAAATTATAAGTAAGGTGAAAGACATATATAAATAGCCAAAACTGGTTTTGTCTCAGTGGATAGAGCGTCGGCCTGCGGGCTGCAAGGTTCGATTCCAGACAAGGGCATGTTCTCTGGTTGCAGGCACATCCCCAGTAGGGGGTGTGCAAGAGGCAGCTGATTGATGATTCTCTCTCATCGATGTTTCTAACTCTCTATCCCTCTCTCTTCCTCTCTGTAAACAATCAATAAAATATATTAAAAAGAAAGAACGGGTGAAGCACTGCTGACAGGTTAATAAGGAAAGGCCTAACACTGACACTGGATGCAGCAACATAAGAGTCACAGGTGACCTGACCTTGTCAGGAGTTGTTTTGGTGAATAGGTAGAATAGAAGGTCTCACTGGAATAGGATTAAGAAAGGAAGTACAGTTGACCCTTCAACAATGCAGGGGTTAGGGGCACAAATTCCCTACAATGTCAAATCTGTGTATAAGTTCTGACTCCCCAGAAACTTGACTAACAGCCTGCTGTTGACTGGAAGCATTACCAAAAATATGAACAATTAACACATATTTTGTATGTTATATGTATTACATACTATATTCTTATAATGAAGTAAGCTAGAGAAAAGAAAATGTTAAGAAAATCATGAGAAATTGCATTTACAGCGTTTATTGAAAAAAATCCACATAGAAGTATACCTGTGCAGTTCAAACCTTTGTTGTTTAAGGGTCAACTGTAGACACAGTGGTGTAGACAAAGTTTTCTGGTTTTGTTGTAAACATTTTACAAGGAAGAGAAATGGGAAGGAATTTGGTGGATATAGTTGGAGATTTTGTTTTGTATTATTCTTAAGGTGGGGAAAATAACAGCACGTTGGTTATTAAGGTGGGAATGATACCATAGGGAAGAGAGGCTGATGATGTGCGGGAGAAAGGGGATAATTGCTTAGAGTGAGGTCCCTGAGCCTGTGAGAGGATGGAATCCAATGCACAAATGGGAGCTAGCTTCACAGAGTTCCTCCACGGGAACAAGGCCTACATCTATGGGCTAACTGCAGGGAGAGTGGTGGTATTGGAGGCAGTGATGAAAACTGTTCCACGTGCTTCTTTTTCTCAGTGACAAACAAACTGAGGATGCTGACTGACAATGAGCAATAGGTTGAAGGTGCTGGAAACGGGAAGTTTGAAGAGGGAGTGGTATGAAAAAGGTTTCTAGGAGACCAGATGGATCAGCAGAGCTAAGAGGACCTGGATAAGTGAGCTGAAAGATTATCTTAGTGTCAAATTAGGGGCTCTTCTGAGGTAACTGTCAATTTCAAATGTCACTTAGCCCCTATCTAACGAAATTCCTTCCTGTAATTCACAGATGTGTATGAATAATCTCTTTTTTTTTTTACCTTTGGTATTTATCAACACACTAGTGATTCACCACTTAATATAATGTACTAGTTAAGAATATAAAGATATGCAAAACTCACATGGAATCTATTTTTTTAAAAGCTCTTATCTCCAATTATTTTAAGCAAGCAGATAAAAATTTACCAAACATTAAGAAAAATGACTGATATTTCATTTTAAAATTATATATACTTAATTTTTGCCTGGTTCAAATGTCACTGTTACATTTTAATAATTACATGGCATTCTTCTTACCTGTGTATCTGCAGATAAAGCTGGTGCAATGTACAGCAAGAATCAGAGAGGAAAGGTAGAAATTCCTAAAATAAAACAACTATATTCATTCTTTATATACAAGGTACCTTTCTAATACACATCTCTCACAAGGATGCAAAATATAGAATAATATCCTGCGCAGACAATAGTGTGGTGAAGGCCTGGGAGGAGGGGGAGATGGAGGGACGCGAAGGAAAGGCAGACAGGATGGAGGGGTAAATGAGAGGGAGGGGGAAGGGGAACATCTGTAATTCTTTCAACAACAAAGATAAATTCTTAAAAAATAAAATAAATTTGCAAAATAAACAATAATGATAATATCCTGGATGTGCCACATTAAAATAAATTCTTGCATGAGAATATATAGGATGATTAGGCTAAGCATCTAAAATTCTTTACTGTGCCCTAGCTGTTTATCTCAGTAGATAGAGCGTTGGCCTGCGGACTGAAGGGTCCTGGATTCGACTCTGATCAAGGGCACATGTCCAGGTTGTAGGCTCACTCCCCAGGAGAGGGCATATAGGAGGCAGCCGAGATCAATGATTCTCATCACTAATGCTTCTATTTCTCCCTCTCTCTTTCTCTGAAATCAATAAAAATATATTTTAAAAAATAAATAAAATAAAATTCTTTACTGTTAAGACTATCACCAAAATGACAGTTAGCAACTATCACACATAGAACACCGACTAAGTGCTCAGCAGACATGTTGCAAAAGACTTTATGTACGTCAGTTTACTTAGTGTCACTGTCCCCAGAACACAAAGCTGAAGCTGAGGTATCAGTAATGTGATCAAGTACTCTGTTAAAAGCCAGCAAGGCTGGGCTTTAGGTACAGTTGTGGCTAGCTCTTAGAAAGTTAAGAAACTATTTCTTACTGTTATAGAACATAGAAAAACAGCTGATACTTAAATTTTTAAAATTAAAAAATTTCTACACATGCATATAAGTACAACCAATGGACATAAAACTCTGGGAAGGGAGGGGATGTGTGGGAAGGAGGGAGGGAGGTAAAAAAAAAAATCAATAAAATATGTTAAAATAAATAAATAAATAAATAAATAAATAAATAAATAAAAATAAAGTTCTAGGCTCCTTCAAGTAAAATAAATAAATAAATAAATAAATAAATAAATAAATAAATAAAAATTAAAAAATTTCCCCTGACGGAAAAGGATTAAAAAATGGCATAACAAGGACTTCTGGTCAAGATGGTGGAGTAGGTAAATGCTGTGCTCACCCCCTCCCACAACCACATCAAAATTACAACTAAAGTAGAGATAATCATCATTGAGAACCACCCAGAGACTAGCTAGTCTCCTACAAGTAAGGATATAAAGAAGCCATGAGGAGATTGGTAGGGCTCGAGTGCCAATAGTATAGTTTGCCATCAAATTAAACAACCTGTAAGAAATGGATAAATTTCTAGATACATAGAAAGGCTGAACCGGGAAGAAATGGAAAATCTAAACAGACTAATAACTGCTAACAAAATCAAATCAGTAATAAAAATACTCTCAAAAAACAAAGCTGTGGACCAGATGTCTTCACAGGTGAATTTTACCAAGCATTCAAAAAAGAATTAATACTTATCCTTCTCAAAATATTCCAAAAAAATGAAGAGGAAGGAAGGTTCACAAATTCATTTTACATGGCCAGCATTACCCTGATACCAAAACCAGATAAAGACACTACAAAAAAAAAAAAAAAAATAGGCCAATACCCCTAAAGAACATAGATGCAAAAATTCTCACCAAAAAATCAGCAAATCAAATTTAGTGATACACCAAAAAGATTACTAGTATACAAATGGGTTTTATTCCTAGGATGCAAGGTTGGTTCAAAATCTGCAAATCAATTAATGTGACATGCCACATAAACAAAATGAATAAAAAATATCATATGATCATATCAATAAATGCAGAAAAAGTATTTGACAAAAATCCAGCATCCATTTATGATAAACACTCTCAACAAAGCAGGGAGAGAATATACCACAACACAAAAACCATGTATGACAAATCCAGTTAACATCATACTCAAGAATTTCCACTTTCACCACTTTTATACAAGACAACTAGTGACACAAAATCGAGCACAGTAGGTCGCCCACCACGGGAACCAGGGGAGTCACGGCATGCCCCCAGGAGGGAGGCAGGACTCAGAGTCAAGCCCCCTCCCTCCTGCACACGCCTCACCGTGCACGCAACCCCGCACAACGCGCACTCCATGCACCTCCTGGTGACTGGTTATGGTCGTGACGCCGTTATGGCACCATGACCACAGGCCTTTTATGATATAGATAGGATGGAGCAAAAATAGGTTTACAGTTGCAACTGTGTGAAATTGTTTATTCTTGCATTATTTATTAATTATTGTATGATTTTCCATATCAATACAAACAACTATAAACCTACTTTTGCCCAACCCTATAGAATTGGAAATCTCAGCCACAGCAATAAGACAAAAAAAAAGGCACAAGTCATTCAAATTGGAAAGGAAAAGGTAAAACTAGCATTATTTGCAGATGACAGAATACTATAGAAAACTCTAAAAATTCCACCAAAAAACATATTAAAACTTATAAATTCAGTAAAGTAACAGATACAAAATTAACATTCAGAAATTGGTTGCATTTTTATATACCAAAAACAAACTATCAGGAAGAGTAATTTAAGAAAACATCCTATTTATAGTTGCATTACAAAAAATAAAATACCTTCCATTTGACCCAGTGATCCCACTTCCAGGAATATATCCCAAGAAGCTAGAAACACCAATCAGAAAAGATATATGCACCGCTATGTTCATAGCAGCACAATTTACCATAGCTAAGATTTGGAAACAGCCTAAGTGCCCATCAGCAGGTAAGTGGATTAAAAACTGTGGACATCCACACAATGGAATACAACGCTGTGATAAAAAAAAAAAAAAAAGGAATTCCTACCATTTGCAACTTATTTCCCTTAGTTGGAACTGGAGAGCATTTTGCTAAGGGAAATAAGTCAGTCAGAGAAAGATAAATATCACAGGATCTCATTCATCTATGGGACATAATGAACAACATAAACTGATGAACAAAAACAGATCCAAAGACAAGGAAGCATCAATCAGACTGTCAAACCTCAGAGGGAAGGTAGGGGAGGGTAGGTGTAAGGGGGAGAGATCAACCAAAGGACTTGTATGAATGCATATAAGCCTAACCAATGGACACAGACAACAGGGAGATAAGGGCATGAGAGGGAGAGGGGGTTGGGAAGGTAATGGAGGGATGAGAACACATATGTAATACCTTAATCAATAAAGGAACTAAAATGCAAAAAATAAAATAAATAAAAATACCTGGAAACAAATTTAACCAAGGAGCTAAAAGACCTGTACTCAAAATGTAAGGCATTAAAGGAAGAAACTGAAGAAGATGCAAATAAACAGAAGCATATACCATGCTCATGTATAGCAAAAATTAACATTCATAAAATATCCATATAACCCAAAGCAATCTCCAGATCCACACCACAATCCCTATCATAATACTAATGGCATTTTTCACAGAACTAGAACAAATAATCACAAAATTCATATGTAACCACGTAATATCATGAATACCCAAAGCAATCTTGAGAAAGAAAAACAAAGTTGGAGGTATCATACAACTTCATTACAAAGCTATAGTAACCAACACAGCAAGATACTGGCATAAAAACACACACAGTTCAATATAAAGCCTAGGAATAAATTGATGCATATACGTTCAATTAAACTATGACAAAGGAGGAAACAATATACAAAGGGATAAAGACAATCGCTTCAATAAGAGAACTGGGCCGAAACTGGTTTGGCTCAGTGGATAGAGCGTAGGCCTGCGGACTGAGAGGTTCCAGGTTCGATTCCGGTCAAGGGCTTGTACATTGGTTGCGGGCACATCCCCAGTGGGGGGTGTGCAGGAGGCAGCTGGTCGATGTTCCTCTCTCATCGATGTTTCTAACTCTCTATCCCTCTCCCTTCCTCTCTGTAAAAAATCAATAAAATATCTTTTTTTAAAAAGAAAAAAAAAAGAGAACTGGGAAAACTGGACAGACTAAGGGAAAAATAACTAAAACTAGAACACTTTCTTACACTACACAAATGGAGTGAACACTTAAATGTAAGACCTGAAATCATAAAACTCCTATAAGCAAACATAGGCATGAAACTCTCTGACATCGTTCTTGGCAGTATTTTATGGTTATGTCTCCTTGGGCAAAGGAAATGAAAAAAAATAAAGAAATGGATTATATAAACTAAGAAATTTTTGCCCAGTGAAAGAAACCATAACAAAAAATAAAAAACAACCTACTGAATATAACAGGATATTTGCTAATAACACATCCATTAAGAGATTTATATCCAAAATATATAAATAAAAAACTCATATAACACCAAAAAAAACAATTCAATAAAAAATGGGCAGACATTTCAAATCCCAAGAGTACAGATGACCAACAGATATACAAAAAATGCTCAACATCGCTAATCACCAGGGAAATGCAAATTAAAATGGCTATCATCAATAAATCAATAAAGTGTTGAAGAGAACATGTAGAAAAGGGAAACTTGTGCACTGTTAGAATTATAAACTGATGAAACTTGTATGGAAAACAGTATGGCAGTCCCTCCAAAATTACAAATAGAACTACCAGATGACCCAGGAATTCTATGGCTGGATATTTATCCAAAGAAACCCAATACGTGAATTCAAAAGGACATGTTCATTGAAGCATTATTTACAATAGCCAAAATATGGAAGCAATCTAAGCATCCATCAATATACAAATGCATAAAAAATTATTGTGTATATATACAATGGACTATTACTCAGCCACAAAAATGAATGAGATCTTGCCATTTGTAGACAACATGGATGACTTAGAGGGTATTATGCTAAGTAAAATGAGTCAGAAAAAGACAAATACCATATGAATTCACTTATATGTGGAATAAAAACAAAATTAAAAAAACATAAAATAGAAAAAACTCACAGATACCAAGAACATTTTGATGACTGTCAGATGGGAGTGAGGCTGGTTACTGGCACTTACAAAAGTAGTCTTGGGGATACAAAGTATAGCATACTAGCCAAGTACAGCTAGTACGGCAGCAGATGGGGCTACACTTATCAGGGTGATCACTTCATAAGTTACATAAATGTCTAATCACTAGGTTGTATCCCTGATCTCTGTTTATTTTATTTTAATCTACTACTACTATTTCTTTAACTGGCTGCCGTAAGCACTCCCTGCTCATCTCTCCCAACAAATAATCTCCCTGAACAACTACTCTATTCTATCCACATATCTTCAACTATCACTGCTCTCCTGATAACTCCCAAATATGCAGGTCTTCTTAAAATCATTATACAGTTTTAAAGATATTAACATTTAAACTCTAAAAACCTAATTTAGATGTTAAAAATAATATTTAAACCATATTTGAAGACAAAGTGAATTATTTTCTGAAAATTGATTTGAGATTACAGAAATAATTTATTTGTTTATATTAAACTAGAAGCCCGGTTCTCGAAATTCATGCACAGGGGAGGGGAGGGTCTCTCAGCCCAGCCTCAGTCTGACATCCCTCTCACAATCCTAGACCACTGGCTCCTAATCGCTGGCTCCTAATCACTCATCTGCCTGCTTGCCTGCTCACCCTTAACTGATCCCCCCACCAGCCTAATCGTCCCTCACTGCCTCTATGTGTCAGCCTGATCGCCCCTAACTGTCCTCCTGCTGCCAGCCAGGTCATCCCCAACTGCCCCCCTACCATCCTGGTAACCCCTTACTGGCCCCTCCTGCTGGCCTGGTCACCACCAACTGACCCCTCTGCCGGCCTGGTTGCTAATTGCCCCCTCCCGCCAGCCTGATCACCCCCACTGCCTCCCCGCTGACCTAGTTGCCCCTCACTGCCCCCCCTGCCATCCTAATTGAACCCAACTGCCCCCCCTGCTGGACTGGTCACCCCCCTACTGGCCTGGTCACCCCTAACTGCCCTCCTCGCCCCGCCAGCCTGGTAGCCCCCAACTGGGCCCCTGCTGGCCTGATCACCCCACACAGCCTGCTTTTTCAGTTTTTTGGTTATCCCTCACTAACCCCCCTGCCAGCCTGGTTGTAGGCAGCCATTTTGAGGGCATGAAGGTCAATTTGCATAGTACCTCTTTATTATATAGGAGGGTAATTTCTCAGATAATTAAAGAACAATGATGGTGGCCACTTAAATAATTTCACAGATGCGCAATATTTCACAATTAACAATACTAAATAAACAAAAACTCAAAAACTATACTCTAGACAAAATAAACTTCCAAAGATTGCTCTTGACAGGAATGATAAAAATATGCTAACTTAAAATTTATTTTAAAAAATAAGTCTTACCTTAGTATAGTGTAGAAGAGAGTTGGCAAGGAAACGACACAATTTGAGTGTTTTCTGAAATAACCTGTTGTCAGTAGTATCCTGTTTCAAAAAAGGAAATAAGAAAGCATATAAATAAGAATAGAATATGAAACTAGCTTAACTTATAAATGAGACAGTTTTTTCTGAAAAGGTCCCTTTATAAACACTTAGAATAAAAACATTTTTCAAGAAAACATAATTCCTATTTTTACATTTTAGCAAAGGTATGCAATGCAACATTTTTTACCTAGTGAAAATTGATATGAACCAAATATGCCTCAACTGGAAAATGGTTAAATAAAGTCAAGGTATGTATATAAACTGTTATTAAAAAGTTATTAAAAAGAATAAGATAGCCCTGACCCGTGTTCCAAGAGGTTAGAGCATTGACCGCCCACCAAAGGGTCTCTGGTTTGATTCCCAATCAAGGGCATAGACCTGGTTGCAGGTTATGTTTCTTTTCAGAATACAAATTTCTATAAGCAATGTATAAGTAAAAGTAGGAATTACAGCTCAGCCACCATGGCTCCATGGTTAGTCATCAACCTATGAACGTGGAGGTCATAGTTCAATTCCCAGTAAGGGCACATGCCTGGGTTGCAGGCTTGATCTCTAGTATAAGGTATGCAGGAGGCAGCCAATCGATGCCATCACTAATGTTTCTATCTCTCTCTCCCTCTCCCTTCCTCTCTGAAATCAATAAAAATATGTATTTTTTAAAGTAGGAATTACAGAAAAAATTAAATTTGTATCAAAGAAGCTTATAGCCTGGCTGGTGTGGCTCAGTGGTTGAGTACTGACCCAAGGAACCAAGAGGTCACCAGTTCAATTCCTGGTCAGGGCACATGCCTGGATTGCCAGTTCAATCCCCATTATGGGGCATATAGGAGGCGGCCAATCGATGTTTCTCTCTCACCAATTTCCTATATCTTTATCTCTTTCCCTTCCTCTCTCTCAAATCAATAAAAACATATATTTTTAAAAAGAGCCTAATAAATTTCTCTATCTTTATAGAAAAACTAAATTATTGGTGGATAAAAAACTATATGCTAGAGGTAAGGGGGAGCAAAAGAAAAAAGGAAAAAAAAAAGACTATGCTAAAAAGTCTAACACAATAGTCTCATTTTGAAAACGAATTCAAGACTTACTAGAAAATGAGTATCTTGTCAGTTTTAGCGGCTATTATGGAATGAACAACATCCCCCAAAATGATATGCTGAAGTCCTAACACAGAATGTAACTTTATTTGGAAATAAAGTCACTGCAGATGTAATTAGTTGAAGTAATACAGAAATAGGATGTGCCCTTAATCCAGCTGACTGGGTCCTATATAAAGATGTGAAGACACAGGAAGACAGCACCATGTGATGGTGGAGGAAGAGATCAGTGTTACACAGAATGCCAGCCACACCAGAAGCCTGAGTGTTCTCTCTCTCCCATGTCTTTGAGAGAACAAGGCCCTGCTGACACATTTCAGATTTTTACCCTCTAGCACTGAAAGAGAATAAAAGTCGTTTTTATTTAAGCCACCTAGTTTGTGGCAATTTGCTACTGCAGCCTGGAAAACAAATACAGGAACTGATATATCAATAATCCCTCCATTAATAGCACACAACAAATTAACTCTAGTGTTTTTAGCTAGACATTTTTTTAAAACATTACCTGGAAAACTTTAATAGTTTGATTCTTGAATAAATATTAATAGTGAACAGGAGAGGGTGCTGCTGATTAGAATTTAAGAGTAAAAAATGCAGAAACTCTATAGGCCATGGCAAAGCTCCATTTCAGCCAATGACTAGTATAGGGATAGTCAATCCCAAATGTTCACAAATAAGGAAACATTAAAATATGCTTGGACGTTAGGAGAATTTACAATTTAAACTCCCTGATTTTCACCTGCAGACAGTTGATATGAGCTGAACTTGTATAATTTAGTACAAATAGCCACCAGGTTAAGCACCCTTTGGTCTTCTCTTTTCTCTTCCACTATAGACTATCCCAGTGGTCGGCAAACTCATTGGTCAACAGAGCAGCAAACCATGGCTATGAGCCACATGTGGCTAGTGAGCCGCAGTTTGCTGACCACTGGACTATCCTGTTGCATGCACTTTAGTCTATAGGTCTAAAGAATTAGACTTTGTTTTAGGGTACAAAAGAATGAAAGAATGGTGAGGAGAATGACCAACCAAAGAGGAGGGACAGGTGGAATCTAGAGAGAATGAGAGCAGACAGGAGCCTAATGCAATGTTCTAGATGAAAAGTGATTATGAGCTATAATTTTATCCAATAAACTGAAAAATAAGCAAACACAAATGAAACAAATTAAAACCCTTGGAAGTAAAGTGATCCATAGGTTCAAATTCGGTTCAGTAACTGCCAAAGGAAGTAAGAACCACCATCTAAGTGCTGTGAGCATGCGTACCTGTGCCTTTGACTGGGCCATCTGCTCTGCTAACTGTAAACAAGACTGGAAGGAGCACAGAATGTCTTCACACAAGCTGGTGATGATTTCTTTGTGTCTCAGCTGACTCTTTATAACGGACTGGTGCTTAAGGCTCTGCCTAAATGAGTAAAAAGAGCAGTCACCATGAGTAACTTAGGACCATGAAAATACGATGAAGAAATATGTAAAAAAAAAAAAAAATCAGTGCACACCTATGAGACATAACTAAGATGTGCCAACTTTACCTATTAAGCAGTTATGTCAATTTATGTTACTACAGATTTCTTTTATTTCTCCATGCAAAATATTAATTGAAGTCTTACTCTGTGCCAGTCACTCTGTTAGGCTCTGGGGATACAGAGGCGAACAAAAACACAACCTCTGCCCTGTCTGTACAGAGCATGTGGGCCAGCCCAAGGGAGACCATTAATAATTAACTATGGCTGTGATCCCTGTGAAGATGGAAAAGGCCAGTGTGCTACTAGAGAGGTCTAACTTCTTAGGATGTGAAAATCAAAGAGTGCTACCATGAAGACATAGCACCTAAGCTGAGAAATGAAAAATAGGCAGGGGTTAGCAAGGTGTAGAGAACACGGAGGAGCATTCCCGCAGAGGAAGAAGCCATTACAAGGTGCCAGGATAGGAGAGTCCAGTATGTCTGAGGACCTAAGAGCAGAGAGAAGGCAGCAGAGACGGGTGGTGAAGAAGGCAGAGCAGAGAGGATTGGGTGGTTACTCTTAGTAAAATGGGGAGTGATCTGATTACATTGGTGAGAGATCGGTCTGAATTCTAGGTAGAAAGTGAATTGAAGGGGTTAAGAGTGGAAGATATTTGATAATGGTGTTGATGATGATAAACCTCATTCATTGAGCACTATGTTCTATGCACCCATTCTAACCATTCACCCTTATAAACTCAACTCTACTACACCCACCAAAAAAGTGCCACTGATACTACTCCTATTGTAGGTTAACAAACTAAGGTTCAGAGAAGTTAACCAAATTTCTCAAATGTCCAGGAAGAATAAGTTACTTCAGTAGAGACTCAAGCAAAATGCAGCAGGAATCTGAGCTAACACTTCTTACCTCTGCTGTTACTTGGTAAATTAATGGCCTGGGAGGCAAAAGCACCTAAGACCTGAAAGCACTACACTGTCCTTTAATACAAAGTATTATGCCTGTGTGTAAAGTAGAGGTTCTTAACCATTTTTACATCTCAACTGTATCTCATCCGGCACCTAAGAAACTGATGAACACTGTGGGAACTCTCCCTAGTAACCCTTTGTAATGCTCTACTTAAAATTACTTTATAAATGGAATTCAAGTTGAACAACTCAAAAGCCTCTAATGAAGGGATTATATGTATAATTATATTTACTAATTTATCTCAGCCTGAAAATAGGATACTTAATAGTCTGTTAAACAGTAGCAGCAGCAGACAAGTGGTTAAGGATTAGTCTGACCATGGTCCATTATTTCAGAATTACAAGCTAACTAGGGAGAATTTTTTTAACTGTAGAGGCAGCAGGATAAAGTCCAATTTGGTTTGGGAGCTAGTAGTTTATGTAGGATTATCTGGATTACCACACAGAAGGGTCAGTGAACATTATACACTTAGAGGAACTGTTTCAAATGCAATCTAATATGAATAATTAAGATTTAAGATATGGAAAATTACAAAAAGTAAAAAGAAAATAGCTTACTTAATTATAAATTTCCAAGTATTTGCATGAAATGCATGGTCCATACTGGAAATAACAGAGCAGATGTCCAACAATGAATGAATAACTACAAAGAAAGAGAACAGAACTCTTAAGACATTCAAATGCCATGAGTATCGTCTATATTTAAAATTATCTACTGAACAATTTGACATTTGTTAAAATAGGTAATGCAGTTTGCAAAAATTGTGTCAAAATAGTTATTGAAAACAAGAGGCCCGGCGCACGGAATCCATGTGCGAGTACGGTCCCTAGACCTGGCCTGCAGTCAGGGCCGTCCTCCTGGCTGCTGAAGCCGGCCCCCCTCCATCCACCGCCCACCCGATTCGCTAGCAAATGACTAGGGCCTGCCAGCTGGGGGCAGGGGCGGGGCTGAAGGGACTGGGAGGGGACTGAGAAGTCAGCCTTTCCCGCATGCTCACCAGCCCCGCTCCTGCCCCTGCCAATGGTCATCCTCTCTCCATGTGTAGACAGAACCACTAGGCTCCCATCACCCAATTGCAAATGGGAAACCGGGGGTGGGTGGTGGGGGATGATGGCCTGGCACCGCCTGTATCCCCCCCCTCCACTCCCAGTTCCCCATTCGCCATCAGGCGATGGGAGCCTGCAGGCCAAGGAATAGAACCAAGAGGTGGTCAGTGTGCCTCATAGTAACTGGTCAAGTGGTTGTTCTGGTCGTTCTGCCGTTAGGGTCAATTTGCACAATATCCTTTTTTTTTTTTTTTAATGTTTTATTGACTTTTTACAGAGAGGTAGAGAGAAGGATAGAGAAATAAGAACATCGATGAGAGAGAAACACCGATCAGATGCCTCCTGCACACTCCCTACTGGGGATGTGCCCACAACCAAGTGTGTACATGCCCTTGACCAAATTCGAACCCGGGACACTTCAGTCCGCAGGCCAATGCTCTATCCACTGAGCCAAACCGGTTTCGGCTGCACAATATCCTTTTATTATATAGGATAAGTGTCACATTTTTAAGGTTGTTAGAAATTAGGGAAAATTAATTTTTGAAGTTTACACCTACCCTATGACCTAAATAAAACTAAAATGTTTAATGGAATAAAGTTGTACCCTGTTATAAGTGAAATATTTTAGATATACCTTTTTTTTGTTAATCACTGTGAGGAAATTACCTATGAACATTAACTGATTATATAAATCTAATGTTAAGGCATCAAATCTCAATTTTAAATTCTAAAATTTAAAAGATTAAAAATTTATCTGGTAGGATTTTTTTACATGTAAGATATCATAAATCATTAAAACAGTAAGTTCAATAATTTAACTGATATACAGTGTCCAGTCAGTACACAACATATATGGGTAATAAGTCTCTTCACTCACCAAGTACCATATTCAAAATGTCATCATTCTCATCAACTCCAGGGTCCATGCAGACCATATCCAGCAGTTCCATTAGCTGCTTCTGAAGAGAATAGGCCTCCTTGAAGAGAGCCTGGAGAAGGTCTGAAACGAGGTGCAAGCGCCCAGAATAGACAGATTCACTATTCTGATCAAATAAATAAAAATGAGAGAAAAGGCAAATCAGAAAAAGCTCAAAAGTCAAATTTCCTTTCACTCATACTATCAGAGACCATTATTAATGCCTTTCACTGAATCACATATTCATTCATTAAGCAAATGTTTAGTGAACATCCATTGTATGTATAAATACTACTGTACTCAGCCCTTTTGCCCATGGATTCTAGACCACTGAAAGTGTACCTGGACCCGTTTACTCACCTTACAATGTACAAAGGTACTTCTGATCACATGTAGGACTGAGGAGGGGAGGCTCTGAATATTTTCTAGAACGATGGACTCCTGTGTGGCACAGACATGCTGAACACATCCTGCAAGAGCTCCTAAAAGCTGCACCATTGTCTGGGAATAGGAAAGACATTTAATTCAGAATATATTTTTTGTGTATCTAAAAACTATCAGACTAAATGCTAGGGGTAGAGCAGTGAACAAAATGGACACTCTGTACCTCCATTCATAGAACTTCAGTCTGTCAGAATTACAAATACTGGAACATTTAACTAGCCATTTGTCTAAAAAAGTTGGAATCCTAACCCATATGCTTTGAAATTACAGGTAAGGCATGCTATCTCAATTATTTGTCTTTCTTTACAAGTTTAGATGTTTATTCAGCATGAAAATTTTCAGAACTTATGTTTCTGCATTCATATCTTTAATTCTATAAACATAATTCCAGTACTGGGCCATCACATAAAGAACACAAGGCTAACTAATATCAGTATAAAAATTCTCACGCTCTTTGAGCTCTGTCTCTCCTTTTCTAATAAATTTGACATACCTGTAAAATATTCCTTAGAGTGGACTGGATTTCTAAGTTTTGGCTTGTTAGTTCTCTGGCTTGATTGGTTAACTCATACATCATATCATCAAATAATTTCACCGTCTGTAAAAACAAAGCATGTTATTACTATAACAGAAGTCACTAGAAAAGGAAAGCTATCTTTAAAAAAAATAAGATGATTTATTTTTGTATCAGTTAACACCCTTGGGATATTCTCTAGCTTAACAATTGCACCTAATTAAGTTTAGAATATATGTTATACATACATGGTGGGGCAAAAGTAAGCTTACAATTGCATGTGAAACAGCATTTATTCTTGTATTACTTATTATTGTACTATTTTCCATGTGGACAACTTAAAACTACGGTATAATATACAGCGGGTCCTTGGGTTTCGCTGAATTTCCGTCCCTACGGCACGACGTAAAGTGATTTTCGCCATTAAGTCAGAACCCACCTACATAAGCACCTACGTCACTCACAAGGAGCACATACACAGCAGTAATGAAGTGAAACAGTAAAAGAAAGATAACAATTCCTGACCTTTACTTGTGATAAATAATAAAAAACATAAAGCACATATGTACATACATCGAAATGATGGAACTTTTTTTTTTAATAAACAAACGGGATAGGGCATTTATTTATAAAAACCACGAAAGGACATTCATCAAGTCCAATGTAACCCGAGGACTGTACAGTCGCTTAAAAAAGACTTCAGACAGAAATTGACTTATTTTTCATTTCTGTGGTTTGAATCTAATAATTAAAAAATAATTAATAGTTCATTTTTTGGTGACGTAACAAATGTAAGTGCTACTCTTTTCATAATACAAGATGATGGTCTTAACCTACTGTATAATATATTCATGTGGGCATTTATAAGGATAATTCCTGGCAAAGTAATGAATTTGTGCTGAATCTCTTATTACTTGTATTCTAACCAGTTTCCCTTTTCAACCAACTCAAAATATAGTTCCCAGGTTAGAGGCATAGTATGTGACCTCAGAACTAAGTATTTTGTCTGTGAAAAGTTAACCACCCAAAAATCTTAATACTAAGATCTTTCTAAACTATTTAAATGACCTACACAGTGCAGGAATAAGCACATCAGCAACAAGACCAGGTAATTAAAGAGGATGGTTTCCCACTGCTTCCCACAGGCCTGTTGATGCTCATCCTGCTTTCACGTACACAGCAACTGACCTTTCCTGCTGGTCAAGAACAAATCCTAAGAATCTTCTCAGATACAGAATAACTAAGTGAATACGAGTAAGAGGAATTCTGATGGTTATCTGCCTCAAAGCTAAACTCAGAACTCCATTCTAATAAGAGAATAAGTTATCATAAATATATTTCATTTTGGTGCCAAACTACCTTCAATTCTCTCAATCAAAAAAAAAAAAAGATGTCTTTTCAGAGAAAAAGTATATCATATATCAAAAAGTAATAATATATTCTTAGTTACTTGATTTTACCAGTATACCAGCCTTTTTTAATCCTAAGACTTCTTTATTAAACTTTGGGTCCATTTCTTCAGACAGTGCTATTTAATAATTACTAATAAACCCTACAGAGAAGATACAACAAGGAACTCACTACCTTTATCACATATCCCAAATTTTCATTTAATAGCATTAAAATACAAAAGCATTTAAAACTAAATGCAAATAATTTAAATTCAGTTAGAAAGGATCCCTATTAACTGAAAATAGGTTTGTTCTTTTTGTTTTTTATTGATTTTGTACAGAGAGAAAGGGAGAGAGATAGAGAGTTAGATACATCAATGAGAGAAAGTCATCGATCAGCTGCCTCTTGCACACCCCCTACTGGGGATATGCCCACAACCAAGGTACATGCCCTTGACCGGAATCGAACCTGGGACCCTTCAGTCCCCAAGCCAACACTCTATCCATTGAGCTAAACTGGTCTCGGCTGAAAATAGTTTTTAATGGCCTACTCTAACTCAAAGTGGGGAAGCTTTTTTCTGCCAAGGGCCATTTGGATATTTATAACATCATTCTCAGGTTATACAAAATTATCAATTTAAAAATTAGCCTGCTTTATTTGGCCAAAATATTTAATTTAATTAATTTAATTAATTAATACAGTGAGATAAAATTTAATAATGCCCTGACAGGGGCAAACCAAATGATTTTGAAGTCATTATGTGGCCCTCAAGCCAGACATTCCCCACCACCATATTCTCACATGAGATCTCTTTAAATACTTGATCTGTATGACAAATATGTTTGATATATTTTTTAAAAAGACACAATTAAGAATGCTCTAAAACGGAGTTTAGATTTTAATGCCTTTGTTTTGTATCTTGCACATTGATTAATAGCACCGTACCTTTGGCAGCACTTGTGAAAAGAAAGTCTGTTCCAATGTCAGGTGGTTCATATGAGGTAAAAACATCTGTACAATGGTTTTCAGAATTTCTATAAAGCAAAATAGTAACACATTTTGTAGGAATATTAATCATGTCAGCCAACAAAGATCACTGCTCTTTCCAAATGGGAAAATATGTAAGCACAACCAACAGAAAGCACTGTACAGTTTCAAATGCCATAATCTGTGAAGAGAAACTATTAAGTGAAATAATAACCAAAAAAAGGGAAAATATGTCCAGCAACTGAGGCCCACTGAATAGGATCTGTAAATAATTCTTAAAAGATTTATTTTAAAAATGTTTACAGAACTGGCCCGGTCAGTGTGGCTCAGTGCTTGAGATCACAGTTCAATTCCCAGTGAGGACATACCCGGGATGTGGCCTCGTACAGGAGGCAGCCAATCAATGATTCTCTTTCATCATTGATGTTTCTATCTCTCTTTCCCTTCCTCTCTGAAATCAATAAAAATATTTTTTTTAAATGTTTAGTTTTAAAATTAAGCATAAAGGTCTCAAAATAGTATCCCAAATTTAATATATGTAAACATGAACATACAAAGAATAATAGGTAATATGGCAGGAATGTACAGAAATGGGATGAGAATATTCTCTATTAAAATCTTAACCATTTTAGATCCATGAGTGTCTTGTTTTTTTCTGTGAACTTCATATTTTCTACAATGAATATGTATAACTTATACTCAGTATAAAAAATAATTCTTTTCCTAACAAAGATTCAAAATTATAAACAAATATTCCACAACCATTCTAACTCAAAATAAATGTAAACTATTGTCTAGTCATTACTCTTCACCACCTCTCCTGGCTAAATAAGTAAATCACATCAAATAAGGGTGATGAAGACAGATAAAGATGAGAAAGTCAACCTTTTCCAAATGACAAATGTGTCATCACTTAAATAATCAGCTTTCTGTAACCTAGAAACTATTTTTTAAAGCTACTTCACATGTTAAGAGGCTGAAAGCAATAGTCTGCAAGTTGTTTCATAGAGGTTAACCATGGTTTAACAACTAACATTTAAAGTTTGCATTGTGCTTACACACCACATTATTAAACAGGATATGTTTGCTATCTATCAAAAATGGAATTTAAAACTATAAGTCCTGTAATTAGAAGAAATTTGGGCATTTTAATTGAAAGTTACAGAGACTGTAGCAGGACAATAGGAAGATTCAATTTGAAGGGGATACAATACTCTATTGATAAATATGATTCACATCTTAACATCAAAATAAATCATAAAATAATCTGACTTACGAATATGCTCAATCCAACTGTCAGAATGTTGATACATGGAGTAAAATAATTAAGGAAAACCATACTATTAGGATGTTCACTACTAAAAACAAATATAAAGGAACCATTCTTGAAGTTTAAGCATTAATCAGTAAGAGATTGAAACTAGACTCAAATTACTGGCATAATTTTGCTTTTAAATAGTTAAAACTTGCCATGGCCAGGTTGGCTCAGGGGATAAAGCAACGGCCTGTGGACTGAAGGGTCCGGGTTTGATTCTGGTTAAGGACACATACCTGAATTGCAGGCTCCCAGCCCTGGTCGGGGGTATTATGTGGGAGGGAACCAATCAATGTGTCTCTCTCACATGGGTGTTTCTCTCTGTCTCTCCCTCTCCCTTCCACTCTCTCTAAAAATCAATTGCGGGGGAGAGGGAAGGAAATGTCCTCAGGTGATGATAAAAAATAAATAAATAAAAAATTAAAGCCTTTAGATTAAAAAAATATATATTATGAAAATATTTTCAAAATCACTCCAGGGATATTCTTGCCTAAGCTATTAGATAAAATATCTTTGACAGCTGACCAACAGTGCTCCAATAAGCCATGGATTTCTGGTTTCTCAGGCAGGAAAGCAATTTCTCTCTCCTCAGCATTTCTACAGTACTTTATCTGTAGCTGTCTTAAGTCACTTACCATTTTCTATCTTCTTTTCATATTATTTTCACATCTTTCTTACCAGACTGAAACTCTTCTGCACATAACAGGAGCTTAGAAAAATTGTCACAGTAAGTTATCCTAACAGTAATCAAATTATAAAACATATACTTATAGCCCAGCCAGTGTGGCTCAGTGGATTGCACATCATCCTGTGCATCAAGAGGTCACTGGTTCAACTGCCAGTCAGGGCATGTGCCCGGATTGCAGGCTTGATCTCCATTGGGGGATGTGCAGAAGACAGCTGATCAATGATTCTCTCTCATCATTGATGTTTCTATCTTCCTCTCCCTTCCTCTCTGAAAGCAATAAACATTTTTTTAAATAAACAAAACAAGACGATTTCTGTTAATGCTAAAGTACTCTATAGAAAACAGTACAAAGTAATAAAAATGTTGCAGATTGGGTTTGTGAGAACTACCTAAAGTTGAGGGCTCTGAAAAAGGCCCAGTGAGGTGGAATTTGAGCCAAGACCCAAATGATGAGCTGCACTAAAGGCTGAAGGACAAAGGAGGCTGAGGGAGTAGCAAGCATGCAGACCTAGCGGTGGGGGAACGTCATGCCGTAGTGAGCTAGGCAGGAAGAAAAGGCAAGGCTTAGATTACATGAGGCCTTAGGTAAATCTGGGGTGGAGGGGAGGGTTAAAATGGAAATGACAGGTCTTTCACCCAGAACTATTTTTGGAGAATGGATTATAAGAGGACATAAGGAAACTATTAACAGACCAGGTGAGAGGTGATGGAAGTTTAGAATGAAGTGATAGCAACTGGGGGTGGAGATAAGTGAATGCATTCAAGATACAGCTTGAAGTCAGAGACAAAAGAACTTGCTGATTAGATGTGAGGATTCAAGATTTGTGAAACCATTTACAGGTGAGTCCTCACTTAATTTATCAATAGATTCTGTGATTTAAAGCAACACGATGTATATATAACAAAACCACTTTTTCCATAGGCCAACTGATCTAAACAAAAGTTCCTATTTTATAATGAAATGACTTTGAAAGAAATTAGTTATCCTAGGACCTGCCGTATTTCAATGAAGAAAACTGGGAGAACATTTTTCCTCTTTCTAAATGTTGTGTTAGATGCAAAACCAGGTGGGAATGTTGACTTTCAATTATTGAGGTTCCCCTATAAGTTCGAGGGGAAGAGGAACCATGTTCCTCATGTGTTACTGCAAAGCCTGCCAGCCTGCCTGCTACATATTAGGGACCCAGAACACGTCTTTGAGAAGGATATCGATTTCGTTTCTCAAATCAAAATCCTTCTTTTTTTTTTTTTTCCCCCAAGTCCAAAAATCCTTGAGGTTGGGGATTCCTTATCTTCACAACGACTAACACCAGGCTTTGGTACCTAGTGGGAGTGTGCTAATGCCTAGCCAATGGTCGGCAAACTGTGGCTCGCGAGCGGCTGTTTGTCGCTCTGTTGACTAATGAGTTTGCGACCGAGACGAATGACGCCTAAGGGATGGCAACATTGGTATTTGGCTTTGACTGTGGAAGTTATTTATGCAGTGTTGGGACTCTCAAATAAAGGTCATTTTTCCTCTTCCGTGTAGTTTTATGTTGAAGGCGAGCGCAAAAGCATGAAAAAATATATATTACCAAAATAACAGGAAAGGCCAATACCCGAGGCACAGTTACAACCACAAAGGCATGAGACTATTAATACTAAAGAGCGGTCAGCACCTGGACAACTGAGGCGTTGTCCAGGTACTGAACCCCAACAGATGGAGCCAATAACAAAAGTTAGCAACTCCTCCTGGTCAGCAATGCAGGAAAGGAGGTGGGAGAGGGGAGAGGGGAGCCCTTCAGCATCTCTAGTTCTCACAATACTGGGGACCCACCACGCATCTTAGGATAGCTCAGAGCGACTTCTGCCTCACCCAGCTTAGCGGCAGGTCTCTGTTACTGGATAAGCCACTGAAGAGAAGGTGACCCTTACAGCTCAGGTCCGAGTCCTCGCTTCTCCCACGCTCCTGTCCAAAAGCTGTGATGAGCACAGGAGAGAAAAAAGAAAAAAGAAAAAAAAACACCTCCACGGCACAGAGCAATGGACGAAAATGCCACTCCCACCTCCACCACCGAGGGACAGGGGACACCTCTGCGAGCCCGAGCAGTCCCAAAGCCAGGCATGCCCTGGCTCTCGGGCACACGGCCCCCGCTCGCCCTCCGTCCCCTCGCGTCTCCGTCTCTCTCACAACAAAGAACCGGAGATTCCAGGCCGCGGGAACGCCACACGGCCTGGCGGCGGCGGTGTGCCCCGGCTGAGGAGAAAGACGCGACACTGGCCGCACACTCCTCTCTGGGGGCAAAGCGACAGCGAAGGATATGAGGAGCCGAGGCAGGACGGTCGGCAGCTCCCGGCGGCACAGCTCCGCGGGCCAGCTGCCTAACTCCTCCAGGGGGACGGCGCTCGCCGAGGCGGCGCGCTCCTGAGACATGCTTTTCCCCCCGCAACCAGCTTCCAAACTGTCCCGCCACCGCCGGGACCGGAAACGCCGCCGTCCCGGCAGGCCTTGCGAGCGCTCCGACGGCGACAATACCATAGAGAGGGGGCGGGCCGCGTTCCTTGATGAGCCCGGGGCCCGGCGCGGCAGAGGAAAAACCGGGCTTCTCTGGCCCCCGCGGAGGACTCGACTCACTGGTGAGCGCTTTCAGCCCAGAGCATCTGTGGGGACACGAGGTTTCTACACGCGGCGGTGAGCTGGGAACTTGCGGAGCTGTGAGCGTCCCAAGGTCTAGATTTCTCTTGTTACATTGAGGCGCTTTGGGGAGATGAAAGCCGGGAAGTCCCCAGATTTGCTACCGTCGATCCCAGGGGGCTTTGAGATTGCAGGTCTGCTGGGGTTGGATCCGGTTCCTGTCCACTTCGCCGTGTGGCCCTACTCTGTACGTCTCGTTGAATGGGAATAGAGACCCCACACTGCCAGAAATGTGCGATCTGAAGCAGGACTAGTACCGTGAGGGCCTCGGTAAAGTTGCTTCCATTTTCCACAGGCCTCTCCAACCGTTCAGTGTCCTTATTTTGTGTTTGTTCTGCCGCCAAACTAACCTTTACTGATGACTCCAAAACTCACCCCACTCCCATACACTTAGGGCTGCTGATATCCACTAAAGCTCATCTGGATGAACTTGCACCAAGTAGAGCCGTGCAAGTTCTTACAGGGCTACACATTTACCAAAATAAACTCTTGAATTCTTGTTACTTGGAACAGGAACAGACTGAGTGAAGAGATTCTGTTAGTTTAGTAGGTAAATATGTTTGGACAGGCTCATGACAGGTGACAGACACCAAATAGCTAAGCTTGTCAGTTCCTTCCCAAAAACTTGGGACTTTTGTTTTTTGCTAGTTGTTGCTGCTGCTGTTCTATTATTTGTTTTTACTCTTCATTCTCTAATCCAGCTTTTGACCCCTAATGGGTTGTGTGTTTCCAAATCTCTTTATCTCCCTCTAAACTTGTACAGAAAAAGCAGCTAGCGGAGGGGGTTGGGGTGATTACTTGTTTTAATATCATATTTTAAGGAAATATGTCATTTTGCTTTTTACTAACAATTTTTTTTTCCTCCAGAGTTAAACGGAAAAGCAAAAGCCTCTAAAAAGTGATTTGGAGACAACTCTAAATATCTGTAACTGTATAAGCTACTAAAGAGAAAGTGACCCAAACAAAACTACTTGAATAACTGAAACAGGTTCACGTTCTGTGTCATCAATTCTATCCAGAAGCTGAGGATTCTCCCTTTGAACTGAAGGATTGTCCGAGGATGGCCTTCCAATTTAATTTCACTATCGAGGACCATTTGGAAAATGAACTAACGCCCCCTGGAGATGGAACTTTGACCCCAAGTTCCTCAAAAGAGTCTTCAGTCTCAGAAAGTCAAAAAGGTAAACACAGAGACACAAAATGTTCTACAGAACAGTCTATCTTGCCTCCGAGTCACTCGTGGGGACCTAAGTCAGTGGGACACGCAGCTCCCTCCCAAGACACATGCAACTCACCCAATGCAGCTCCCAGTTCAGGGAACTTAGAGCCTCATGAAAATCAGCCTTGCCTGAGACTCGCCAAAGAGCATGCTGTGCCTGAAGATCTAAAGAAAGTGTTGGAAAATAAAGTCATAGAAACATTACCAGGTCTCCAGCACGTTAACTTATCGGTAGTGAAAACCATCCTGTTGAAAGAGAACTTCCCTGGAGAAAACATCCTTTCAGAAACCTTTTCGTCTCACTCTGATCTGATTACCGGAGTTTACGAGGGAGGTTTAAAAATCTGGGAATGTACCTTTGACCTCCTGGCTTATTTCACAAAGGCCCAAGTGAAATTTACTGGGGGGAGAGTGTTGGATCTTGGCTGTGGATCAGGATTGCTGGGTTTAATGGCGCTCAAGGGAGGGGCCAAAGAAGTTCATTTTCAAGATTATAACAGTTTGGTGATCGACGAAGTAACTTTACCTAACGTGGCGGCTAACTCTGCTTTGGAAGATGAAGAAAATGATGGAAACGAGCTGGACGTGAAAAGATGCAGGAAATCAAAAGTAGCACAAAATCTAGGTCAATGCCGGTTCTTTTCTGGGGAGTGGTCTAAGTTTTGTAAGCTCGTAACCAGTGAAAAACACTTTGAAAAATATGACCTCATTCTCACCTCAGAAACTATTTACAATCCGTATTACTATGATACTTTGCACCAAACATTCCTTCAATTGTTAAGTCAGAATGGGCGGGTGCTTTTGGCCAGCAAAGCACATTATTTTGGTGTAGGTGGAGGTGTTCATCTCTTTCAGAAGTTTGTGGAAGAAAAAAATGTATTTAAGACTAGAACACTTGAAATAATTGATGAAGGACTAAAAAGATACCTAATTGAAATGACTTTTAAGTATCCTAGTTAATATCCATGGAGTGTCCTATGTAAAATAAACAGAATTAACTAAAAACTTGTTTAGAATGTTTAATTTCTGCTTTGCTATTTTTTATAATAAAATTAGCAAGGGTCTGATTATTTTTTTTATTATTATTGTTGATGGTATTACAGCTGTCTCCCATTTTCTCTCCCTTTACCCCGCTCCTCCCAAGCCCTACCCAACCCCCCTCAGGCCTTCACCATCCTATTGCCCATGTCCATGGGCTATGCATATAAGTTATTTGGATTATCTCCTCTCATCCCCCCCAACCCCACATCAAAGTATGTCAGTCTGTTCCATGCCTCCATGCTCGGGTCTTATTTTGTGAAATTAGAATTCAATAAAATAAGTTTACTGGCCATTTGTTAACTAGGTACTTTGTATAGCACCTTGCTAAATATTTATAACCTTATGAAGCATATAGCATCCTCATTTTAATAATGATCATAATAGCTAACAGTCCTCAGTGTTTACTATGTGCAGGGCAGAAGAGCTTTACATATGCTAACACTTAATAACAGCCCTGAATTAGGTTATGATTCAGGTTATAATATCTCCATTTTAAAAAAATATTGAGAGTCAAGGAATTAATTAAATCCCCATCACATTTCTCCTTGAACCAAAATCTGAAATGATGTCTATTTAAAAGTTTTTCTTACTAGCCCAGTGGTTTCAACCTTACCACTGCCTATTTTTCATCACAAATATTTCTTAGCACCCTTGTATTATTCTGAAATGGAAGTCACAAAGAATCTTGCCGAAACTGATTTGATTCAGTAGATAGAGCATCGACCTGTGGACTGAAAGGTCCCAGGTTCGATTCCGGCCAAGGGCATGTACCTTAGTTGCGGGCATATCCCCAGCAGGAGTGATGCAAGAGGCAGCTGATCGATGACTCTCTCTCATCGATGTTTCTAACTCTCTGTCCCTCTCTCTTCCTCTCTGTAAAAAATCAATAAAATATATATTTTTTTTAAAAAGAGAATCTCAATTAAAAATTGTATATATTATACATAAATCCCTAATGTGAGTTTATATAGTCATATTATAAACATATCATGTATATAAGCTTATTATCCACTATCTCATATGGATACAAAAAAACTAAGAGAAAAAGAAAAAAATGGTTTTTTTTCCTTCTGAAGGAAACTTTTAGGATGTTCTTTAATAAATTCTATATATACCAGGGGTGGGGAACCTTTTTTTGGCCAAGAGCCATTTGGATATTTATAACATCATTCTTGTCCTATACAAAATTATCAACTTGAAAATTAGCCTGCTATATGTGGTCAAATATTTAATTAACTTACCCCTAATGTCTTGGTACAGCCAGACCAAATGATTTTATCTTCCCCCTCCCCCTCCAATGATTAGATAGCTGTCTTAACCCCATCTAGGTGTATCCTTCCTTTGCCCATTTCTGTACAAGTATTAAACTGTTTTAATCAGTGTACTATATAATGTAATTTTATCTGTCAGGCAAGACTTTCCCTTCCCATTTCAAATGTTTCTTCTTATTGAAGGTATAGTATATGTTATTTACTATTTATATATGTTTATTTTTCCCAGGTAAACTCTACAATCAATCTGACAATTTAAACAATTCCTTTGGTATTTTGGTTGATATTATATTAAATATATAGCTTAAATTGGTGGTAATTAGAACACTTAGACTATTAAATATTCTAATCCAGTCTGACAAAGGGAAAGAAATCCAAATTGGGGGAAGAAAGCAATGAAAACATTAGAGATAGACATTTTATTATTATTCAAATAGCTATGCCAACTGGGGCCCTGAGAAGCTGCCAAAGGACTTTCCATTCTAACTTATACATCCCTGTATTACAGGTACCAATCAGAGCAACACATCCGGAACAAAATTAGAATTCAGAGTATCTCAGAAGCCCACCTTTCAGATCTCAATTTCTTTCAAAATATTCTTTACAGTAGTTCTGAGCAAAACCCTTTGCTAGCTGCTGAAGGCTGGGACTGAGCCGGGGCTGGTTCTCAGGGCGGCAGCTGTCCTGAGGAGGAAGATGAGTACTGTGAGTGAGGGATGGCAGCCTTGTTTCTGGGAAAGTAATATCTGATAAGGACAGTCAAGGAAGATACATTTCACCACTTTAAAATCAACTTTACTAGAACTACTAGTTGTCTAGTTTAGTCCTTGTTAAGATAACGACTTCAGAAGTAGAATATCTTTAATTCCCTTTCACCATATTGTAAATCCTTCAGATACTGATAGTACTTGTTACTGCTATTGCTGATGTACTAGAATGTTTTTGATACTGCTTAAATTATGCAAGGGTACAAAACATGACTCCTCTACTAAGTTTTTATAGTAATTTAAATACCTTGAAAACCAACACTGAGTGAATTAATTTCAGTAAGTAAAAAAAGATGAGTTTCTATATGATTATTACATTTGGACTTCTTGTAATAGTTCAAACAATTCTAACTTATACAACAAAAAGGTCATTAGAAGAAAATATTAGTCTAGATCAGGGAAGCGGCGAAAATGCCAAGACAACGAAATAGATCACAAACAAAAGAAATGGAGGACAAAAAGCGATTGGATATAGAGTTCAAAACCACACTTATAAGGTTGTTCAAGAATCTCCTAGAAAAGGCCAATAAAATAAACGAGACCTATGAGGATATGAAAAGGGATCAACTAGAAATAATAAGGGATCAACAAAAAATAATAAGGGATCAACAAGAAACAAAGAATACATTGTCTGAAATAAAAAATATTATACAGAGTCCTAAAAACAGAATGGAAGACCACAAGAATCAAGTCAAAGATTTGGAACATAAAGAGCCAGAAGACACTACTCTGCAGAAGCTAGAAGGCAAGAGAATCCAGAAAATTGAAGATAATGTAAGAAACCTCTGGGACAACCTCAAGCGAACCAACATCAGAATTATGGGGTCCCTTGCCGAAACCGGTTTGGCTTAGTGGTAGAGCGTTGGTCTGCGGACTGAAAGGTCCCGGGTTTGATTCCGGTCAGAGGCATGTATGTTGGTTGCGGGCACATCACCGGTAGGGGGTGTGCAAGAGGCAGCTGGTCGATGTTTCTCTCTCATCGACATTTCTAGCTCTCTATCTCTCTCCTTTCCTCTCTGTAAAAAATCAATAAAATATATTAAAAAAAAAAAAAAAAAAAAGAATTATGGGGTCCCAGAAGATGAGAGAGAGCAAGATATCGAAAACATACTGAAAGAAATAGTGACAGAAAACTTCCCCCACCTGATGAAAGATTTAGACTTACAAGTCCAGGAAGCGGACAGAACTCCAAATAAAAGGAATCCAAATAAGACCACACCAAGACAAATCATAATTAAAATTCCAAGAGTAAAAGACAAAGAGAAAATATTAAAAGCAGCAAGAGCAAAGCAGGTAGTTACCTATAAAGGAGCACCTATATGATTGTCAGCTGATTTCTCAACAGAAACCATGCAGGCAAGACGGGAATGGCAAGAAATAGTCAAGGTGATGAATAGTAAGAACCTACAGCCAAAAATAATCTATCCTGCAAAGCTATCACTCAGAATCGAAGGCCAGATAAAGAGCACTAATAAAAAAAAAAAAAGCTAACGGAGTTCAACACCACCAAACCAGAATTATATGAATTGCTGAATGGGGTTCTTTCGGAAGAGAAAGTAAATAAAGATAAAAATTATGAACAACAAATACGTAACTATCAACAAATGAATCTAAAAACCAAGGAAATTAAAAAAAAATCTGATGAACAATATTAACTGTTGAATATAACAGAATCAGAGGTATGGAAGGGGAGTGAACTGACGATTCTTGGGGAAAAGGGGAGGGGGATGTGGGAAAAGACTGAACATAAACTGTGCATCTATGGATGAGGACAATGGGGAGTGGGGAAAGGGCAGAGGGTGGGGTGGGAACCTGGTGGAGGAGAGCAATGGGGGGGGAAGAAGAACATTTGTAATAATATGAATAATAAAGATTTATTAAAAAGAAAAAAGAAAAAGAAAATACTAGTCTACAAAACTAGATTATATCAGAGGAATGGTGGCGTGACAGACCTCTTAGTCTCTCCCATGGAAGTTTCAACAACCTGAACACCCATATTTCAACCAAAGATTCCCTGCTCAAGCACAAATATGCCTGAGAGACCCACGCAATGAAACATCTAAAGATGGGCAGGTGGAGCAAAAGGGGAGGCAAAAGGGAGTGGGGCTGATATGAGTCAGGAACACAGGCCCTTTAGCAGCAGCCAGAGCACACAGCCAGACTCAGCTAGGAGAGGGGAGAAATCTGGTTGTTGTGGACACGCCCTTCTGTCCAGTGAAACAGATAGACTCTGGTTGAATGGTGTGCAAAAGCACAGACCCTTCTGGGGCCAGACAGAAGGGAGGAAGCGGGAGGGGCCTGCACAGAACTAAGTTCTATCAGGGTTCCTCCCAGGACCACAGGGTCCCAGTGGGCAAGGGTAAGAAGGGCCAATCAGCTTCTTCAGGAAGGCCTCCAGCTGTTCCTCACCCTTGATGCCCACAAATTTGTCCATCACGTCCCCATTCTTGATGGCCAGCATGATGGATACAGCGAACGCCTCATACCCTATGGCGAGGTCTGTGTGGCCATCAATATCCACCTTGGCCATCACCACCTTCCCATGCTGCTTGGCCACCACCTTCTCTAACCTTGGCCCCAGGATCTTGCAGAGGCCACGCCACTGTCCATGAAAATCCACAACCACTGGTGTCTCACTGTTGACAACTCAATCTTGGAAGTCAGGTCCATCCTGGATGTTAAAGATTGTTGGATAGACTGGTGGTATATAATGACCAGGCATCGCTGGATGTTACTGTCAGGTCACCAGGACATTGTGGGTTCTATAGAGCCCACAGACCTTGACATTTTCTGGAGATGGCAGGTACCTCCTCAGGAGAAGTCACTGAACTATCAGAGACCCTGGCTCTCTGGAGGACAGGCCCTCCCACCCTAGGCCTCTGCCCACTCGGCTGCTGGACCCCATGGGAAGGTGCCCGCAGAGTGCCTCGGCCAAGACACCACCTCCAGCCACCCACCTGGGTCTCCTCTCATGTATCTTTTAGCTCTTGGCACCCAGAAAGGCTTGGATGTACTTGTCTTCTTCGATAAAAGTTAGAAAGTGCTTCTTAGATTTTCTTTCATTAAAGAGGGGCAAAGTGAAAAATGTGGCAGAGGAGGCTTTGGTGTTGGGTGAAATAGTGATATCAGAAAACGTAAGCCATTTTCCCTTTTGAAGTGGGAGGAGACACTAGTAGAGTAACAAAAGGATACATGTAAGTTGGGATGCCTTTTGCAGCCAAGTGTTTCCGTATAAGTCGCTCAGTACCATACCAGTTGAAACCTTTCGTAGCATGCCCAATGCGTGGGAGATGGACACTTGCTGTTGAAAAGAAGAAAGAATAGATTATGATGTCTTCCTTCATCAAAAATGGACTGATGATGCCAAAACCAGTTTGGCTCAATGGATAGAGCGTCGGCCTGGGGACTGAAAGGTCCCGGGTTTGATTCCAGTCAAGGGCATGTACCTTGGTTACAGGCACATCCCCAGTAGGGTGTGTGCAAGAGACAGCTGATTGATGATTCTCTCTCATCGATGTTTCTAACTCTATCCCTCTCTCTTCCTCTCTGTAAAAAAAAATCAATAAAATATATATTTTTTAAATGGATTGATGGATATATATATATATATCATACACACACACACACACACACACACACACACACACACAAAGGAAAAAATAATCTTTACTCTTAGTCACTCTGTAGTTTCCAATGGACCATCCCACTCAAAGCAAACAATTATAACCTCACGAATATTCTGGGGAGGGATGTAATATGGAAAAATAATTCCGTTGAAGACAAGGACTGGCCTACAGGTAGGCCCTGGAAAGAAATAGGTACAATGGGAACAGAATATATGATCAATAGTCGAGATGTAATTAAAATTAAGCAAAGATACATTAATAAGTCAAAAAGTTCAACCTCTGAGACATAGAAGTTTTGGAAACAACACTAAACTATAGTTTTTGACAGAGAACTGTCTGCTGATGTGGACTGTGACTCTCCAAGAAAGGACACGATAGAGGGCATTTCCCAACTGCATGTGACCAGTTTCCTTCATCTCTGGTGCCTCCTTCCTCATCTGTGAAATCATGGTACAAGTCCCCCAGTGGATGCAGATGATACACAGATCACAGATACAGGGATACAGAAGTAATTTGAAAAGAAAAAGGACTTTACAAATACAAGATGACAAGGTGGTTACTTCTCTCGCCACTCACATCGGGACTTACCTTTACTATGCATACTGAACAGGTTCTTGACATTTCTCACTCCTTAGAAACCAAATTACAGAAACCCATCTACTCCTAAGGACAAATGGAGGAGCTTACCTTTCTTTTTCTTTGCTGCTAAAAAAATCTTCTTCAGGCCCTCTTCTAGGGCTGTCATCTTAATGCCAGACAGGACATTGGAGCGATCACGGTGCTGAGCCACAATCAAGGCCAACTAAGAGAAACCATCATTAATAGCTGACACGGCATGAGGTGGCTACCCAGCCAACTAAGTGACCTGCCATTGGGGGGGTGTGAGTGGTCCCCCTTTATGAATCACTGGGGTTAGCTCCACCTCTTTTGAATGCTCTGCCTGAATAGCCATGTACTACCAAATCTATGATTTCACACCCACTGTAATTGTTTTATCTTATTTTGTGGCAACTTTATATAAGCTTTCCTTACTCTTTTTAAAATATGTTAAAACCTGCCGGGACCGGTTTGGCTCAATGGATAGAGCGTCGGCTTGGGGACTGAAGGGACCCGGGTTCGATTCCGGTCAAGGGCATGTACCTTGGTTGCGGGCACATCCCCAGTAGGGGGTGTGCAAGAGGCAGCTGATCGATGACTCTTATCGATGTTTCTAGCTTTCTATCTCTCTCCCTTCCTCTCTGTACAAAATCAATAAAATATATTTAAAAAAAAAAAAAAAGATATGTTAAAACCTGATGCCCACCTAGCATGGCTCAATGGTTGAGCATCAACCTATGAACCAGGTGGTCACGGTCCAATTTCCAGTCAGGGCACATGCCAGGGTTGTGGGCTCGATTCCCAGTGGGGGGCATGCAGAAGGCAGCCAAACAAGGATTCTCTCTCATCATCGATGTTTCTATCTGTCTCCCCCTCTCCCTTCCGCTCCAAAATAAATAAAAATATATTTAAAAATTAGGGGGAAAAAATCCAGAGTCCAAGACATGTTGGCCTTTCTAAATGCTCTCAAGGATAAAGAAGGAATTTTTCAGTCTTTGGAGCAGAAAGGCCTTTTGAGGTTCTTATACTCCAGCCCACTAGTTGATGCTCAGGTAAGCTTTGCAAACATCAGGATAAGCTGTCATTCTTCTCTGTTCAAAATGCCAACTATCTCCACCCTCCTAATCGAAGAGGAGTGGAGCTGGAGAGAGTGTCAAGGCCGTATCTGGGACGTACACCAGTAGTCACATCATAGTCTTGGTTATACTCACTGTAAACAGTTTTTTTTAGTCACTGGCTTCTGAGCCTTTTATGCACAACCACTGTGTCATTCTCATTTCTCAGCATTTTGGAACAATCAGAAACAAGCAGGAACCACTTTATTGTTAGGCACATAGGCCATTAACCTCAAGAAAAGGTCCTCTCAGCCTAGTTTCTAAATATCTTGTTTAAGTCAGTGAAATTGTTTTTTCAATTTTTTAATCCTCACCGAGGACAGGTTCATGGATTTCTAGGGAGAGAAACATTGATGTCAGGGGAAAATCAATTGGTTTCCTCCCACATGTGCCCCAACTGGTGACTGAACCCGTGACCTTTCAGTGTATGGGACAAGGCTCCTACCAGCTGAGCCCCACCAGTCAGGGCTAAGTCAGTTTGGCCCAAAATTTGAATATGAATTCAGGCCCTGGAGAAAGCTAAGTTAGTGGTAAATAAAACATTTTACAATAATTCCAAATGACAGGCAAGTGGGAGGCACTTAAGATACAAAAGAAGAATTTTAATGCAGGCAGAGGAAATGTGGATTGCTTCTTCTTGGCTTATGGTTGGCTAGAAAGCAAGGTCTTTTACAGAATTTTTCATGTAACAAATGACGAAACTGTCAGTTTTTAGTCATGCTTCCTTATTCATTCAGTAAATGTTTATTGAGCATTTCCTATAAGCCATACTGCATGCAATATTGATGATATAGATTAAACTCTGCAATTAGGAGGGGCCTGTCTTCTAAATCAGTGGGGAGAACAAGAAAGTAGGGAACAGTACTCCAGAAGCTGAGATGAACAGAAGCACGGGGGATGGCAGAGTGCATCGGAAAGTGAGGTTCAACCTGGTTATGGGCTGAACTGTGTCCCCCCCAAATTCATATGTTGAAGTCCTGACCCTCAGTACTTCAAAATGTGATTGGATCTGGAGATAAGACCTTCAAAAAGGTAATCCGATTGAAAAGGCCTTCTGGGTGGGGCCTAACCCAATCTGACTGACCTCCTTACAGGAAGGAGGAATTTGGGCACAGAGGAAAGACCATGTCCTCACAGGGCATGGAACCAATCACCTGCAAGCCGAGGAGAGGCCGCGGAGGAAACCAGCCTTGCCAGCACCTTCACCTTAGACTTGTGGCCTCCAGAACTGTGAGGAAGTAAACTTCAGTTTTTGAAGTCACCCAGCCTGTGGTATTTTATGGCAGCCCCAGCAAACTAATATACAGTGACAGAGGTCAGTGGGAGCAGGAGGTGTTTCAAAGGGGAGGTGATAGGAGCCATATTTTAGCTCTGATGTGAGATGTGGTTTTTTTCACTTACCAAATCTTGCCCTTTGTTTCTTGACTCTTTATCATCAATAGGAAATAAAAGGACACTTCCCAAACTCAAGTCTGCAATACAAGAAAAAGGAGCAACAGAAAGAACATTAAGTTCACTGCAGACTGAGTTCAATCAGGTTTCAAATTTGCCTTATCTCACTCTCCTGGACCCAGTCGCTGTCTCAGCTAGGTACTCCTTTTTCCCCTCAAAATCGTTTTCTCTACTTTATATTTATTTTACAAAAGTTTACTATTGACATTATTGAACACCCTACTATCCAGGCATTGTGCGCTAACCCTGGGGATTCAGAGATGAAATGACGACATTCTCTGTAAGTGCCCTAACTTCTGTGTCTTTAAAGAGCTCTGTCCTCGAAGTAGCTTCCTGCTCTCCGTTCAGTAGCAGCAGGGCCTTTTGGAAGCTGAGCCATTTTTGCCTGATATTTATGTTTACCACTGTCATAAAGGTATGGCTTAGTTCCCCCCAAAAAGCTCAATTTTTACAAAAAATTGAGAATGTGTATAGTACTTAAAAGGAGATGCCCTTATCCCTTCTCTATGCTATTCAGACTTCCAAATCCCCTTGGCACCAAACAGCTTTATCCCCACCTGTGCTAACATTATGCTACAGCCTTCTTCCCTTCGGCACCCAGCTTTTGTTAGACTTTAATGGTGTGTCTGATTTCTCTCCCATAGGCTCTCAAATTTTCATGAGAGATTCCCTTATGAAGATGGAGTGAGTTGGGTAAGCAATGAAACCCAAATACATGCAGGGATCAACATTATCAAAGCAGTTGCACATTCATTATCCTCATTATAGTCCATAATTCACAAATTACAATAGAGAAAAAAGGCAGAGGGAGGTGAAGGGACTGTCTCAAAGTCACACTACAACTAGCTAATCGATGACAGAATTCAGACTCCAACCAGCTCTTCTGACTCCTTATCTACTGCTTTTTAAATCCACATGATGCTACCCCTAAGAGTCCTCTCTTATTCCATCCCTAACCCTTCTCTCTGCTTGCTCCTTACCGTTCATTTTCCCAGCCAGTTCATATATTTTTCTTGGCTCAGTGGATCTGTTTTCCAGAGCTGTGAATAAACCACCTCTGCCCCAGTGGCCAGAGTCATCTGACAGAAGAAAGAAAATTTTCTTCTTATAGGAGGCAAAGTTCAGTCCACAATTAAAAACAACAGCAATAACAAAGTTATACCAAATAGACTTGTAGAAGGAAATTTTTTTTTCTTCCCTTTGAAAAAAATCAATCTAATCTAGGAATACCATAGGTTGGATTTCTCAAATACATTTAAGATTTTCTCTAATATATCCAGCCATCATAACAGGAAAGCACTGAAAAAATTAGTGTTCTGAAAGAGCAAAATCTCTGTAGAACTTCTGTAATTCCTGGGAAATGATGGAGGAGGAACGGTGGAGAGTTGACGTAACAAAACAGAGTTGTAACACTGGTACTTAACAAATATACTTGACTCCCATTTTTTCTACAGGTAAGGAAGAGGAAAGGTTAAATGATTTATTCTGGTGTTAACAGAGTTGGTTAGTACCTTGTTTTTAGAGTCATTCATTCATATTACAAATATTTGTTAGCATGTATTATGTGTCAGGCATTGTTCTAAGCACTAGGGTTATAGCAGTGGACAACAAACCCTGCCCCCATAAAGCTTTTTTTCTAGTGCAAAACAGTAAAATACGTAAGGTCAGATGGTGATATGTGTCATCAAATAAAATAAGGTAGGAAAGGGGATAGAGAAATGGAGGCGTGAGGATGGGATCTATTCTGTATGAGGCAAGCAGGGGAGATCTCTCTGACACACAGACATTTGAACAATGCTTGAAGGTGGCTAACTGGGGAAAGTGGGTTCCAGGCAGAGGAAGTAAAAAATGAAAAGTGCAACGATTGTGAGAGGGAAACATGCTTGGAATTTTGCTTTTTCTCAAAGGATTCATTTGTCTTGTGAACGTTGCCTCTTTCCACTCTCCTAAAAACCTTGTGAAGAGAATAATGTAGATGGTACCATCCCATTATATGGATAAGGAAGTTGAGGCCTAGGGAGGTTGGGTTACTCAACCAGGTAAAGGAAAGACAACAGTCCAATCCAAGTCTCCTGATGCTAAAATTCACACTTTTTTTTTTACCACACACGACTGCACTAGGTCAGGGTTCTGCTTCATCCTCCCCAGTTCTTAGCACCATAAAGACTGAGGCCCCCGCCCTGAGCCCATACCACTTCTCCTACCTACGCAGTGCACGATCACAGCATCCTCCGCGCTGGCCTGGGGGTGGGTGACATCGCCACTAACATACTTGATGAAGGTTGAGTCTGAATCTTCATAATCCAGTTGGGTTGAGCTCTCACCTTCCTCCTCCTCTAGACTCTCGGGTTCACTCTCCTCGGAAGGCAGGCAGAAGGACTGGTAATTATTGGACTCCCACCAGGCCATCCTTCAACAGGCCAGAGAGAAAAGGAATTTAATCAGGTGAATCACCATTTCCCGTGGACCACATTTTGCACTGCTATTCACAGACCTGGAGTGCCACGTGAAAGCAATTAGAAACTCACCCTACATTTTTGCCAATTTGCAAATAAGAAAGTAGGCTTACCAATTAGCTTGACTGCTTCATGTCTATACTCAGTAATGAGCAGCCACCAGATATCCCTGTTCTTAAGAACATGACTAGAAGGGACTGTGAGTAAACTACTTTTTGTTAACTACAATAAAACCTTAGATTTTCTTGCCTCAACTGAATGTATCTTCTTTGCCTAGGCACTCAGGAATTTTCACCTCAGTAAATGTTTAGGTTAATTGTTATAATAATATTGTTATCAACAGGAGCTATCAGCCTTATAAAAGTTTTCTGCTGCTGAAACCTGTTTGGCTCAATGGATAGAGTGTCGGTCTGCGGACTGAAAGGTCCCAGGTTCAATTCGGGTCAAGGGCATGTACATTGGTTGCGGGCACATCCCCAGTAGGGGGAGGGGGGTTGCAAGAGGCAGCTGGTCGATGTTTCTCTCTCATCGATGTTTCTAGCTTTCTATCCCTCTCCCTTCCTCTCTGTAAAAAATCAATAATATACATATATTTTTTAAAGTTTTCTGCAATTTTAAAATGATGTTCTATTCAGTTGATTAGAGCGTCATCTCAATACACCAAAGTTGCTGATTCAATCCCTAGTCAGGGCACATACAAGAATCAAGCAGTAAATGCGTAAGATAGAACAACAAATGATATCTCTTTCTCTCCTCTCTCTCAAATCAATCAATGCTTTTTTTTTTAAAATGATGTTCAACTGTAGAGTCAGTATACAATAGTGATTCTTTTATCAACTGTGATCCTCAGCTTTATTAATAATGCAATCAAATAATGCCCACATACTTTTTCTTATGTTCCTCCTCTTCCTTTCTTCTCTGCTTCTCTTCCATTAGCTTCTTTCTCTTGGCTGCTGCTTCTTGTCTTTTCTTCCTTCTCTCCTCCAGCTCTTCTGGACTTAGAATCCGCTTCCTCTTGGTAGACCCCTCCACAAGGCCTGGCATGAGAACCTGTCAGAAGAACAAGATGTATAACCAAGAAGTTTGGAGGCTGCCTGTTCCTTCATGAGTTTCCTTCATCCCTAGAACACACTCTGTATGCCAGCAACATGCTTAGTATTTCCCAAAACACTGAATCTCCATGCCACTTCAATTCACACTTCCATCACACATCTCACCGGCATGGCGACCAGGACATTGTGCTCTAAACTCAACCAAAGGACTGGCGTGGTTGGTAAAGCTATACGTCATTTTGATTAATTTCATTAATAAGAAAGCACTTCAGAAAAATCACTTTTTAAAAATGGAAAGCACACCTTGCAGGATGCCATTTTATGTTTAACCATTTTTTAAATGAAAAACTTCATACAATGTATTCTATTTCTTTCTTAAGCAGAATATTTCAACATCATGATTATCTTAATTATAGCTAGCATTCAAAGAGTACATATTAAGTGCCAAATAATATGGACATTAGAGCTATAGTGTGGTTGTGATCCTCTCTGAACGACATGGAGTCATGATCAAGAGCAGGGTATGTATATTGCAGTGATCCCAGGGGTGGCTTAAGTGGACAAGCTGCTTTCACCTGCATTAAGTGGCAAAATAAATTCTTCTAATGATTTTTATGTCAACTTTTTACATAGTTTTTATATTACAGTACAGTTAATTATACTTATGTTTCTTGTTTTTAGTGATTATGTATATATATATTATTGCTACATTAGAAATAAGCTGAAAGAAGCTGCAAAAGTATGTCACTTTGTGAAGATTAGAGAGCAACGGAAGCATCCATCCTAGAAGGTTACACAGGGGGTGCAAGGCCTACACACACAAAGGTCATCAATGGTGAGATTATCAACACACCTGCCAGCTGGAATTTATGCACCAATGAGAAGTTTAAAAAAGTAGGTAAGAGAATATTGGTTACCCCTGACCTCTTAGCCAGGGAGTCTGAGTGAGAAGACATCAGAAGATGCCTAAAGTCTCTACAACACAAAACAAGCCCAAATCCAAGACACTCAGGCAATGTTGAAATTTCTTCTTCAGACAAGATTGTTTCACAATATTTGAACACACTCTTCCTCTGCAGGATAGTTTCCTTTGGGGAGAGAATAATTTTTTCTTCGGTATTAGTTCTTCATTTTGACCTGTCAAACTTCACTTCAGACGAGTCAGGCTTACCACTCATCTTAACTAAAAGAAAGACCGAAGGCTTGAAGGATGGAGGAAGGCAGCGAGGGGGAGACCACTCCACACACTGGCCGAGATAATTATACTTCATTTCAACAAATGCTTACAATTTATTTCTTAATAAATAGCATCTAGCCCAGCCGGTGTTACTCAGTAGTTGTTAGGGTTCGTGAACCAGGATGTTAGGATTCAATTCCCAGCCAGGGCACATGCCTGGGTTGTGGGCTCCATCCCCAGTAGGGGCATGCAAGAGGCAGCCAATGGATGATTCTCATCATTGATGTTTCTCTCTCCCTCTCTCTTCCTCTCTCTGAAATCAATAAAAATATTGAAATCAATAAAAATAATCACACCCAACATAATTTTTTATCCTCTTAGAATGAAAAATTGGAAGAACTTATTCCTTTATATAAATTAACTAGAGGCCCGATGCAATTTATGCAAGGAGCTCAGCCCTCACAGCCCTGGCTTCATCCAGAAGCTCATCCGGCTGTCCGTCTAATTAGCATATTATGCTTTTATTATTATAGATAGTTCTTACACTGCCTTTATTTCGGAGTAACCGGCCCTCTTGACTAGTTTTCTCCAAAAGGGTTTTCTGAAGATTCACCAGTTGCTCAAATGATTTTCTGTCTTCTTTGCTGGGCTCCTTGGAATAGTCTTTCCCTTCAAATAAGTACATGTGATTTTCTAAGAACAGAAAACAAAAAGAGAAATGTTAGATATTTATAGAAAAATAGATTAATTCTATTCAAAGCAATAACCAGGGGGAACAAAAGACCAGCCTGAATTCTAGATGGGTGAAGACTAGCTTGTGATGAAGGTATTGCATTTCCCATCCCACTGACACTGATGGGTGTGGGACCCAAATGGAGATCTCACACATTTATTTTTCAAAGGAGAGCGCAGGCTAAAGCCCTTTTGGTCATCTCTACATGGTCGGTGAGTACCTCCATCCTGTTGAGTTTTGAATCACTCATAACTCACTCATGCTACACTATTCCTCAGCATAAATCTCCTGACATTAGTAACTAAGAACATAATCCTCCCTTTTCTATAATATTAAAAGAGCAAGTGGCAAACTGATGAGAAAAACGAGGAATCATAAATATAAACCCTTAGATTTACAGTAGTCTTTCCAGATCTCAGAAAGTATTTTCATGAGCCTCACCACAATCATGGAATAATTAACCTCTTCAGTTAAGAAAGGGAAAACCGCCGAAACCGGTTTAGCTCAGTGGATAGAGTGTCGGCCTGTGGACTGAAAGGTCCCAGGTTCGATTCCGGTCAAGAGGCAGCTGATCGGTGTTTCTCTCTCATCGATGTTTCTAACTTTCTATCCCTCTCTCTTCCTCTCTGTAAAAAAAATCAATAAAATGTATTAAAAAGAAAGAAAGAAAGAAAGAAAGAAAGAAAGAAAGAAAGAAAGAAAGAAAGAAGGAAAGGAAGGGAAGGAAGGGAAGGAAGGGAAGGAAGGGAAGGAAGGGAAGGAAGGGAAGGAAGGGAAGGAAGGGGGGAAGGAAGGGAGGAAGGAAGGGAGGAAGGAAGGGAGGAAGGAAGGGAGGAAGGAAGGGAGGAAGGAAGGGAGGAAGGAAGGGAGGAAGGAAGGGAGGAAGGAAGGGAGGAAGGAAGGGAGGAAGGAAGGGAGGAAGGAAGGGAGGAAGGAAGGGAGGAAGGAAGGGAGGAAGGAAGGGAGGAAGGAAGGGAGGAAGGAAGGGAGGAAGGAAGGGAGGAAGGAAGGGAGGAAGGAAGGGAGGAAGGAAGGGAGGAAGGAAGGGAGGAAGGAAGGGAGGAAGGAAGGGAGGAAGGAAGGGAGGAAGGAAGGGAGGAAGGAAGGGAGGAAGGAAGGGAGGAAGGAAGGGAGGAAGGAAGGGAGGAAGGAAGGGAGGAAGGAAGGGAGGAAGGAAGGGAGGAAGGAAGGGAGGAAGGAAGGGAGGAAGGAAGGGAGGAAGGAAGGGAGGAAGGAAGGGAGGAAGGAAGGGAGGAAGGAAGGGAGGAAGGAAGGGAGGAAGGAAGGGAGGAAGGAAGGGAGGAAGGAAGGGAGGAAGGAAGGGAGGAAGGAAGGGAGGAAGGAAGGGAGGAAGAAGGGAGGAAGAAAGGGAGGAAGAAAGGGAGGAAGAAAGGGAGGAAGAAAGGGAGGAAGAAAGGGAGGAAGAAAGGGAGGAAGAAAGGGAGGAAGAAAGGGAGGAAGAAAGGGAGGAAGAAAGGGAGGAAGAAAGGGAGGAAGAAAGGGAGGAAGAAAGGGAGGAAGAAAGGGAGGAAGAAAGGGAGGAAGAAAGGGAGGAAGAAAGGGAGGAAGAAAGGGAGGAAGAAAGGGAGGAAGAAAGGGAGGAAGAAAGGGAGGAAGAAAGGGAGGAAGAAAGGGAGGAAGAAAGGGAGGAAGAAAGGGAGGAAGAAAGGGAGGAAGAAAGGGAGGAAGAAAGGGAGGAAGAAAGGGAGGAAGAAAGGGAGGAAGAAAGGGAGGAAGAAAGGGAGGAAGAAAGGGAGGAAGAAAGGGAGGAAGAAAGGGAGGAAGAAAGGGAGGAAGAAAGGGAGGAAGAAAGGGAGGAAGAAAGGGAGGAAGAAAGGGAGGAAGAAAGGGAGGAAGAAAGGGAGGAAGAAAGGGAGGAAGAAAGGGAGGAAGAAAGGGAGGAAGAAAGGGAGGAAGAAAGGGAGGAAGAAAGGGAGGAAGAAAGGGAGGAAGAAAGGGAGGAAGAAAGGGAGGAAGAAAGGGAGGAAGAAAGGGAGGAAGAAAGGGAGGAAGAAAGGGAGGAAGAAAGGGAGGAAGAAAGGGAGGAAGAAAGGGAGGAAGAAAGGGAGGAAGAAAGGGAGGAAGAAAGGGAGGAAGAAAGGGAGGAAGAAAGGGAGGAAGAAAGGGAGGAAGAAAGGGAGGAAGAAAGGGAGGAAGAAAGGGAGGAAGAAAGGGAGGAAGAAAGGGAGGAAGAAAGGGAGGAAGAAAGGGAGGAAGAAAGGGAGGAAGAAAGGGAGGAAGAAAGGGAGGAAGAAAGGGAGGAAGAAAGGGAGGAAGAAAGGGAGGAAGAAAGGGAGGAAGAAAGGGAGGAAGAAAGGGAGGAAGAAAGGGAGGAAGAAAGGGAGGAAGAAAGGGAGGAAGAAAGGGAGGAAGAAAGGGAGGAAGAAAGGGAGGAAGAAAGGGAGGAAGAAAGGGAGGAAGAAAGGGAGGAAGAAAGGGAGGAAGAAAGGGAGGAAGAAAGGGAGGAAGAAAGGGAGGAAGAAAGGGAGGAAGAAAGGGAGGAAGAAAGGGAGGAAGAAAGGGAGGAAGAAAGGGAGGAAGAAAGGGAGGAAGAAAGGGAGGAAGAAAGAAAGAAAGAAAGAAAGAAAGAAAGAAAGAAAGAAAGAAAGAAAGAAAGAAAGAAAGAAAGAAAGAAAGAAAGAAAGAAAGAAAGAAAGAAAGAAAGAAAGAAAGAAAGAAAGAAAGAAAGAAAGAAAGAAAGAAAGAAAGAAAGAAAAGAAAGAAAGAAAGAAAAGAAAGAAAGAAAAGGGAAAACCGAGACTAAGACAAGGATTATTACTGCTAATAAACAGTGGGGAGTCCCTTAACCCGTCTTTACATGGGGACTCATCTCATGTCCTAACTTAGGGGGGCTGTGCCCTTGGGGCTGCTCTCACTCCTACTTACTTCCTTCCTCTTGCTCTCTGCTTCCTTCTTCTGCGGTAGGCAAGGCATCAGAGACCCACTCGCCATCTTTTGTTTCTCCCAGGATAGACTCCAGGTCTATTTCATCGATGGTGCTCCCCTCAGAGGACAACAGTTTATCCAAACCGAATTTGAGTATCTCATCCAACTTGAATGGAGAAAACAAAGTCCAGTCAGTTCTTGTGAAAACAAACCCTGGATATCAGGGATTTGCTAAGTGACACCAGGTATATTCCTTCCCTGATGGTGGGCCTTTTCCTTTCTCCCCATGATAAGAAACCATTAGAGCCGTTTAATAATTGGATGATGACTAAACAGAAAATATGATAAATGATTGCCAGAGATGTTGGTTTTGACAATTCTCATACTAAAAACAAATTATGAGCCTCCAATTTTTTTTTAAGAGTAATAGTAATTTCTTACATTACCATTGCCCTCCTGACCCAATCTTTTTCATAGGCAATTCTCAACAGCCACAGAGAAGTCAGAAACCCTGTTAGAGCTAAGAGGTTAAGATATCTGCTCAGAGCCACAGAGTCAACAAGTGACAAAGCTCGGATTTGAATCCAAGTCAGATGGACCCAAAGCTCATCATTATTCTTTATTCTGCTGCCTTTCTATACATATTCATTTCTAGCTCCTACAGCAGCCTGCATGCAATAGGTACTAGAGGAGGAAGTGTTTGGCCAGAGACCAAATGTGTAGTTGAGGAGAATGGGTGGTTAATGCTAGTCTCTCTTTTTTAATATTTTTGTTGATTTATAGAGAGAGAGCAATGGAGAGGGTGTGAGAAAGAAAAACATCTATGTAAGAAACATCAATAGGCTGCCTCCAAATGTCCCTACTGGGGATTGAGCCTGCAACCCAGACATGTGTCCTGACCAGGAATTGAACCAGCAACCTTCTGGTCCATGGGACAATGCCCCACTCACTGAGCCATACTGGCCAGGGCAATGCTAGTTCTTCTCCCTTCCATTCTCATCCACAGAGAGCACTGTCTACAAATCCTGGCATGTTCTGAAGTGAAGAACAAACTACCATACCTGGAGGTCAGCATCAACTCCAGGCTTCTGGGCTCCCAGGGTAAAATGACCTCCCTCCATGACTGCGCTGGTGAGCTGCAGCTTGGAGGCGGCTTTCCTGCAAACTATTTCTTCCACGGTGTCTCTGCCAATCAGCCGGATAACCTTAACAGACCTGTACAGAAGGCAAAGGAGAGGAGTGTGCTATCGGAGTCCACAAAGATGGACGCAAGCATACAAGGTTGATGCACCTAAAAGGAAATAAACCCAAAAAGCCATGTTTGGGGCACAGCTAAAGGGAGACTGTTAGCCGTGGACAGAGCCACTGTTCAGAGAGATCTGACCTCACACGGGTTCTCACTAAACCTTTCCACAAGAGTTAAGGAAGGGATGGCGAGGTGGTCAGAATTGGGATTCCTTATCTGTGGCAGAAGAAAATCTCGGCTGAACCTACCTTATCTTCAGGGCAAAGGGTAAGACCCATCTTTTCAGCTTAGTTCCGTTACACCACAAATTTCTTAACTGAGTTTGACCTTAACTCAGGAAAGATGCGTTAATTAACTTCTGGAAGTTCCTTCTAGTCCTTTCACAATTTGATTTTGCTCTTTTTAACAAAGCAAGTCTTGAGTGAGACTGTGCCCTGCCCAGTCAGCAGCAAACCTGGGCTAACACATAGCACTCTCTCAGCCTCCAGTCCGGGACTAACACCAGGATTACCACCTTCCTCCCCGAACCAGAAATGCCGAGTAGCTGAGAAGTGGAAACATGCTGCTGCTTAAATCTCTTACTTGTTCTGGCCTATTCGGTGAGCCCTGGAGGCTGCTTGCAAGTCATTCTGAGGATTGAAATCACTGTCAACAAAAATAACGGTATCTGCCGCCGTTAGGTTCATGCCAACTCCACCTGGAAACAATGCACGAAGGAGAATGATCAACAGTATGCAGACTAGAGACTAGAAAAGAAAGACACGGGCTACGGAGGTCAGACTGATAAACTGAATTGGCAAAATATCGGGCTTCTTCCTTCAAACTCACCCCAATATCCAACCCCAGAAACTTGTAGTGGATAAAACTGCTCCCTGAGCTCAGATTGCCTGACTTGAGAAAATTGAACCACTGAAAGTAACAGAATGAGGGAAGCAGGGGGAAGCAGCAAAAGTGGATACCTAAGTAATGGACAGACTCCTATTTCATTTCACAAATTCATGGCTGGGGAAGAGAGCTATCTCTATTAATTATGAATAAAACTTTCCACAAAATTATTGACCCCAGGTTTCAGCCTTACTTCTCTGATGAGATGACAGCTAAGAAAGGCTGGAGACAATAGAAACCCATGCCAGAGGTCCAGGACCTTGGTAAACTTATGGCAACGACCTAAAAGTCCCATTTTTCTTATTTTAATACTCAATACTGACCTCAAGTTTCAGAGAAGTAAGGAAAAACACACTAAGTGCTGGGATGTAAAAGTCCTGTATCATCCCTCATTTGCCTTTGTCAATGCCAATGTCACTTACCTGCCCTGGTACTCAGAAGAAATACAAAAATGGGCTGCTGTCCAAAGTTCTTAATGGCCAGGTATCGCTCCTCTCCTCTCACGGAACCATCCACACGCTCGTAACTGTAGCCTTCACATACAGGAAGAAAACAAACACTAATCCTTTTCAGATACTCGATGAGGAATAAAGCATTGTCAGCTCAAAACCAAACGCTAATTTTGTCCCCTTCCCTATACGAGCATACCCCTATTTTAAGCAAATCCCACAGGCAAAATTTAAAACGTAGGAACCACTTTATTGTCTTACCAAAGAACTTTCCATAATGTACTCTTCTAGTTGTTTTAAATACATGCAGTTTTAAATACATCCACGGTTGGATTCCTGGACTTAATTTTCAATCTTGAGCAACCCTAAAGCACACTGCGGACCATGCTAAGACGTAACTCTCACTTATGCAAGCAGTAAGACAAGCACTTGGGAGCTGGTGAGTGAGCCTGCCAGATGGCTTCAGGCTTCACTACAGACCCATGTTGGAGAGGGGGAACTATGTGCTCAAGCCATGTTTACAAATCTGGGGATTCCTCAATGTGCCAATGGCATTTCCTGCAAGAGTCCACTGGACCGGTTTACAGTACCTGGGGGGCATCAAGTGGCTCTGAGACTGTCTATGAGTTCTTTTCCTTTTTTCTTAAATACTTATTTTTCAATTAGAGTTGATATTCATTATATTAGTTTAAGTGTACGCCCCAGTGATTGGACATTACATAATTTACTAAGTGATCATCCCAAATAAATCTTATATCCAATGACACCATACAGTTATTAGAATACTGTTGACTATATTCCCTATGGTGTACTTTACATCTCCATGACTACTGTGTAACAATCAATTTGTACTTCTTGATCCCTTCACCTTTTTCACCCATCTCCCCACCCCTTCCCATTTTGCAATTGTCAGAACTATCTCTGTGTCTATGAGTCTGTATCTGTTCTACTTGTTCGTTTGTTTTTTAGATTCAACTGCTGACAGATAAGTATCTGTTGCCATTTTATTGTTCATATTTTTATCCCTTTCTCCTCCTCCTCCTTACTCCCACTTCTCCTTTTTTTTTTTCAAGACCCTGTAACGTTATATAATGACTAGAGGCCTGGTGCACGGATTCACGTGGGGGGAGGGGTCCCTAGGCCTGGCCTGTGCCCTCTTGCAATCCGGGACCCCTCAGGAGATGTAGCAGTGCGCCAAGAGGCAGGTAACCACACTGCTCACACTCATCCCGACCCACTGCACCTGCCACCACAACTGCTCAATAGCACTGTCTCGGAGTTGGGAGAGGCTCTCCTGGCTCCTTCCACTGTAGCTGAGCTCACCAGCCATGAGTCCAGCTTCTGGCTGAGTGGTGCTCCCCCTGTGGAAGCACACTGACCATCATGGGGCAGCTCCTGTGTTGAGCGTCTTGCTCCCTGGTGGTCAGTGCACATCATAGCAACTGGTCATTCCAGTTGTTCATAATGGTTGGTTAGGCTTTTGTATATATCGATAGTTTGGTGGTGATGAACTCCTTTAGCTTCTTCTTGTCTGGGAAGCTCTTTTAATGGCCTTTGATTCTAAATAATCGCTTTGCTGGGTAAAGTAATCTTGGTTGTAGGTCCTTGCTTTTCATCACTGAATATTTCTTGCTACTCCTTTCTGCAAAATTTTTGTTAAGAAATCAGTTGACAGTTTTATAGGTAACTAGCTATAGGAGATGGCTTGTAGGTAATTAACCGCTTTTCTCTTGCTGCTTTTAAGATTCTTTGTCTTGCCTGGCTGGTGTGGCTCAGTGGTTGAGCGTTGACCTATGAACCAGGAGGTCACAGTTTGATTCCAAGTTGGGGCATATGTGTGCAAGAGGCAGCTAATCAATGATTCTCTTTCATCATTGATGCTTCTCTCTCTCTCTCCTTCTCTCTGAAATCAATAAAAATATATGGTGTTTTTTTAATTTCATTTACCTCTTTCTTGGTTGATATGTAGGATCTCTATAATTTCAGTATTATCTCTTCTATTGATCTTGAACTCAACTGTTGAGTTGAATGTTGCAGGATACTGATAGCTCTTTTCACTAAAACTATTTATCATACATTGCAAAAATTCTCAACATTTCTGCAATACACATTTTCTCCAGGAACCATATTTTTAAATCACATCACCGATGGGAAAAGTGTTTATTTCTGCCCACATGTCTCTATCCTGATGTCAATCCTTGCGTCACACACTTTTCTCTTTACTTTTAATTTGCCTTTGGTCTGAGTAATGTTCTTCTGTGCTTTCCTCTGTAACATCCCCACGCCCCAGATTACTCTTTAGGACCCTATCTGGACTGTTAAGTCTGAAAAAAGCTGGAGAAATGTAGTGGCCATGGGATGTCACCTCTATAATCCATGTAGTCTTGGAGAATATCCAACATCCGGGTCATTTGGGAGAAAATTAAAACTCGATGGCCCCTGGCAAGAAAAAGAAAAGTTTCAAGTGAAATTTACCAAAGGATGCAAGTTTATAAATAAATGAAATGCTGAAGCATTAGTATAAATGACCTAATCATTTACAGAGATTTCCTCTGAAATGCCAAATGCCTTATTTAAGATGTAGCCGTATCCTTCATAGCAGTTCTCAAAGCAGAGAGAGAATAACCCCAGGGGCATGTGCTAATGCGCCAGGGAGTGTATGAAGCCCTAGAATAACCAAGGTGCCTCTCTGTAAAATCAACTTACCAAGTGGGAAGAAAATTTCAGTTTAACAGCAAATAAAGACAATAGAAGAGTAAAATGCAAAATGCAAATGCACCAAAAAAACTAAAAACACTGAAGAGTTTGTGGTCAGCCATCTACATCTACTTGAGGGTGTTAAAGTCACTATCCTTTCTTCTAGAGCTCTGCTGGTTGAAGTCTATGAAGCATTAGAGAAGCAAGGGGCAGGTGATATCCCATAAAATACAGAGAAAACTTATGTATAGAAAGAGGAGTAGAGAGAGGAAGAGGCAAAAGGGGTTAAGCCAAGAATGAAGTCAAGCCTAGAGCCCCATGATGTCAGTGATTTTAAGCTATCAGACACAAGGAAGTATGGCACTGTCAAACAGTCTTTTCATTTATCCTGAGCTTGCAATGGGTACAACAGGAAGAATTATGAATAGACTCTAGCCCCAAATAGGAAAAGGCATTAAACCTGAAGCTGAGGACCTCAATTCTAATCCCATCTCTACCAACTGTTGACTGGCTGACCTTAGACAAGTCACACAACCACTCTGGGTCGGTTTCAACACCTATAAAATAAAATGGTTAGAGAGAAGATATTTATGGATCCTCTCCAACTCTAACACACTTACTACATAACACAGTAGATATATCAGAGCCAATAGAATATAATAAGATATGCAATCATTTGACTAGCACATTCCTAATGGTGGGGGCTTTTGTAAAATCTGAGGTTTTAGGTTGGTTCAGGCCCACTAGGGGAAATAGTTCCAAGAACTTTTAAATACTTTGGAAGCTAGGACTTCTTTAGACTATTCTGTCCCTTGGGGACTAGGAGGATCAGGTACTGGCTGAACATCAGGCTACTGAACACTTAGCTGAACTTTTAGAGTCTCCCAAGGCCCAATTCATGTCTCTAAGATAGAATCTCCCAAGTTTTTCCTGAGTTAAAACCAAAACATCACAGGCCCAGCTGGCTTGGCCCAGTGGTTGAGTGTCGACCTATAAACCAGGGAGTCACAGTTCAATTCCCAGTCAGGGCACGTGCGCCACTTGCAAGCTCAAACCCCCAGTGCAGGGTGTGCAGGAAGCAGCCGATCAATGATTCTCTCTCATCATTGATATTTCTATCTCTTTCTTTCTCTCCTTTCTTCTCTGAAATCAATTATTAAAAAAAATTTTTTTAAATAATATAACATCACAGGTTTAACAAAGACAAACATTTATTAAGTCTTACTATGTGCCAATTCAATACAAGCTACCAGCAGGCAATTAAAAAGAAATGCTTGATGTTATCACTGTCCCTGTGGAACTAAACAGCACAGCTTCAGTGATTTGGTTAATATACACCAATTAAGGCAGTGCGTGGCCACGTACTATTTTAGGACATTAAGTGGAAAGGATGATTATGGAGCTGATGGGGAAGGAATCAGGCAGGAGGTGTAGCTGCATAGGTAGAGCCTAAATCAGGGTCTTGAAAACTGCAAAACTGAAATTAATCTCAAGAAATCGGTAAGTTCCTGGTTATACTGGTTTTAACAGTCACCAGCTCATAGCACAAAATATGAGCCAGATGAGGAGAGGAGGAAAATAAGATTTTGGGGGGGTTGGGGGGGGGGGGGAAACCAGCAGCCTTACTCTACCTAATCAGTACATTCCTGTCAGCCTATAGCCTAGTCACTGCCCCTTCCTTAATTATCTGGTCTTGCAACACCTATTTACCCAAATACTCACATTTTACAGAAGCCAGAAGCCATGAACAATACACAACCCAGGCCAGGCCGTTAGGTATGGTCTCATGTCCCCCATCCCAACACACATTGGGGGCTTTTTGCAAAGCCCGAGAAAAGATCCGGAAGTCTGATCCATATTTGGGGGACAAAGAAACCAAAGGGTGTAAAGAGAAAGCTCCCTCCATACTGGCTTACTCGGGATTTGGAGAACTGACCCCCTGAGTCACTGTACTAGTACATGTGAAACATCTGAAAATAAACGGGGTTTTCCTATATCCCCGGGTACTCCTGTGTATTTTTCGGTCACCTGTTAAATTCTGTACCACAACCACCTACCTAGAATATAGGTATGCCAGCAGCTTATCCAGCAGGTGAAGTTTCCCACTGGCCTCAATCAGGTGGTCTCCAATCTCAAAAGGCTCTGGTTCCACACCTGGACAAGAGAGAATCCACTCTCAATAGTGTCTCCTCAGCCAGGCCAGACTCCGTGAATGGTGGAACCCCTGGCCAGGCTACAGCAAGAGGCCCAGCTCCTTACAGCTGATAATGGGCCCACATCTTGTCTCTCTTTGAGGCAATTTGTAATTGTTTGTTTGCAATGATAATCTCGGTTCTGCTTACCATCTATCACGGAGCCTGGCACACCCAATATGCCTAACAAATGTTTATCCAAGGAACAAACTGACGCTAGGATACTGAGGCACAGGGAGACGCTAAAGGCCAAAGAGACCCAACGTTAATATCTTGAGGCTTTAACTCTAGAAAACAAACTAAGAAATAGGCTTAGTTGTATACTTTAGTGAGTCTCAAGTTGGGGATGGCAGTCAGGGTAACCTGGAGGGCTGCTTTCAAAATGTACATGTTCCCAACACCCCCTTCTCCTTGGAAAATAAAGTTCTGATGTGCACCTAATTAAGATGCTGTCACGTTTTTAAACAATTCATCGTGCTACTTGGCAAAGACTCCCTTAAAATTACTGCAGCAAACCTTCTGCATTGTCCCTATCCCTATTAGAGCCCCCACAGCCACAGAAGTCCGAGAACTGTCCCCAAGACTACCAGTTAGATGAATTACAAAACCACAACAGTTTGAATGAAAATGAAAACATTACGTATCAGAATGCACATAATGAACAGCACTTAGAGGGAACTGATAGACATCTGTAAAATGAAGAGGGACGCAGCAAAGGAGGCGACGAAGGCATAGACGTAACAGAGGTGGGAAAGAGAAAGTGCTGCCCCAAAACCCATGTGAAGAACACGAGAGATGTGATCAACGGTGTCACAGTTTTGAGATGTTAATTAAAATGTAAACTGACAATCATTGGTTGGGCAACATGGAGATCACTGGTAAACTAGGAATAACAGTGGAGAAAGGCTGAGTGGGTTCCAGACAAAGGGACATCTTATATAAAAATTATCGGATGAATCCAGATTATAAGATATCCCCGAAAATAAATGGCCTTGATTCCTTTATTGCCAATTTCATGAAAGACAAAAATGGCAACAACAAAAAAGTGAGAAATTTCTAAATTACAGGAGAATAGAGACATGACAAATGCAAGCAGATCTATGACTGAATCTTGAACTTAAAAAAAAAAACAAAATAGCCGAAACCGGTTTTGCTCAATGGATAGAGCGTCGGCTTGGGGACTGAAGGGACCCGGGTTCGATTCCGGTCAAGGGCATGTACCTTGGTTGCGGGCATATCCCCAGTAGGGGGTGTGCAAGAGGCAGCTGATGGATGACTCTCTCTCATCGATGTTTCTAGCTCTATATCTCTCTGTACAAAATCAATAAAATATATTTTTTTTAAAAATAGCCATCAGGGATATCATAGAGGACAACTGAAGAAATTTGTATAGGATCAATATGTTAGATAACATCAACATAAAAATATTAATAAAATGGAGGAAAAATAGATAATAAATACAGGCAATTCATTTGAAAAATTCTGCTATCATGTTGGTCACAGAAATGTTAACATGAAGAGAAAAAGCACTGCCTTACCATCAAACAAATATGGGTGATCCACACACTTTCGAAGCTGGGATAAGACATTCTGAAGTTTAACTTTCTTAGCCATCTCATTTTCAAATGCATCTGGAGTTTTTAAAGAGAGAGAGAGAAATAGAGATGAATTACTGAACAACAATAACAACAAAAAAGAAACCTTCTATGTTTTCATAAATAATTTTACTCGTTTTAATAATATATCTTTCAAACCTATATTAACCTCCCGAATCGCATTAAAAATTAACAGCACATCCATAGGAAGTCTCCTTAACCATCATTTTATTTTAAGAAGGACAAATAACGATGAATTGAACCAGAAGAAATTTGTTATCCTTTTGTAAATTCTAAATTTCCTTCTTTAACTAATGCTCTGGAGCCAAGGGATGAAAAAAATACAATCTGGGAGGTTGTTCCTATTTCTCCTATTTCTCCCTTTCACTCCCAATTCCTCCCAGTGAACATGATTCAACAAAAACGTTCTGAAATGTATCTAAGAGGTTGGGAAAGTTAAAGGCATGACAGGAACACCTACAAGTGTTACTTCTCCCACTCAGTTTGCAATAAGGAACACTGAGTGTGGGAGAGGTGAGGGAGGAAATATCACAACTGCAACAGCCAATCGAGTCTGAGGTATACTGAAGATACTCAGCCAGTTTCACCGTAGCTGACTTGAATATACTCCAGCCCATAGCCTTGCTGTACAAAGTGAGTGTGATTATAAAGTATTTCCCTGCGTGAAGGCCAAACAGATAAGTGCCCTCTGATTACCGAGGTCTTTCATCAAAATGGCCTTGTAGTATTTTTTCTGCAGTGCCGACATGCCATGGTATATCACTACTTCTGTCTTCTTGGGAAGATCCGTAGCTACCTCAGATTTCACTCGTCTCAGCAGAAATGGCTGCAGGAGTTTGTGTAGTTCATTTGCTGTGTAAGAAAAAACACACACAAGAATTGTGGGATAGAAGTAAGACAATTACTAGAGAACACACAGCAATTTATTTTTCTTATTTTCAGGCCAATTCTGCATTTAAGCCAACATGGTAATTTTTCAGTGTTTCTTCCTTCATTGGGTTCTTTCCAATTCCTTCTGAAATCAGTATTAGCTCTTAACTCAAGAACTAGGAATACCCAACGAAGTTGATTCTTACTGATAATCTCATTGATCAGCACAACATCTGAGAAATGTACAGACCAACTAAGTAATATTCCCCCGTTTTTAGAATGAAGTGAGGCTCAGAAAAATTAAGCATCTTATCCAAAGTCACATAGCTAGATGCTACTGTTGCTTACTTATTCTGACGTCAACTCCCTTGTTCTTCCCCTAAGAGTGCTAAACTTCAAAATTAGCCAAACTTGGCATTACACTGTATGTATCCTCTGGTCATTGATTCTTTTCCATCTATAACCTATTTGCACGAGGCCAGTTTCTGGGCCCAGACCTCTGGGGAACAATTTATGAGAAGGGCACTTGCCTGACTCAGACTCTTTCTCAATATTCTGGTAACGCCGAACAAAATCTTCCGCCTGCTCCTGGGAAAAGAGATCAGGCTCCACAAAGCTGAGGAGGGAGTAGAGCTCTTGGAGGCTGTTCTGGATGGGAGTACCGGTCAGCAGGAGGTTGAAGACTACTGAGAACTCAAATACATAAAGAAATAAAGTAAAAAATCTGTAACATTGGCAGGCAAGGCGGAGTTAGCCATCACAACCTGTACCCCTATAAACAGAGATAGGATTTAATGGAATGGCCACAGGGACATGAAGTCAAAGGCTCAGGTTCTAGTTGCATACTATCTGTTGGACGTAGGAAATAACACCTCTTCGGTTTCAACTATTAAAAGGGGATAATGATTGTGATGGAGATACCACTGTAAGGATGTAAATAAAATCACTTTGTGAACTCTGAAGTACTACATGAGTATTCGACATGGTCATTATTATTCTATGTACGTGGGGATTCAAGCTATCTTATCACCTGTGTGGGGGAGTCCACTGAGGCATCAGAGGTATACAGCATATATTCATTCAGTCTGAGAAGCCCAAAGTTACAGCAGCAGGCCCCATTGCAATAAGCACAAACAAAATCTATTATATACTAAAAGAATGTCCTTTTTTAATATATATTTTTATTGATTTCATAGAGGAAGGGAGAGGGAGAGATAGAAACATCAATGATGAGAGAGCATCATCGACTGGCTGCCTTCTGCACAACCCACAATGGGATCAAGCCCACAATCCGGGCATGTGCCCTTGACCGGAATCGAACCTGGGACCCCTCAGTCCACAGGCCAACACTCTATCCACTGAGCCAAACCGGCTGAGGCTAAAAGAATCCTATATAATAAAAGGGTAACATGCAAATTGACCTTAATTGCAGAACTACCTGGAATGACTGGTCGCTATGACGTGCACTGAACCACCAGGGGGCAGACGCTCAATGCAGGAGCTGCCCCCTGGTGGTCAGTGTGCTTCCACAGGGGGAGCACTGCTTGGCCAGAAGCCAGCTCATGGTTGCCAGTGCAGGGGTGGTGGCGGGAACCTCTTCCGCCTCCACTGCAGCATTAAGGATGTTCGACTAATGGCTTAGGCCTGCTCCCCCAAGGGCTCCTGGACTGCCAGAGGGATGTCTGACGGCCAGGTTAGGCCCGATTCCCCGGGGAGTGGGCCTAAGCTAGTAGGTGGACATCCTGAGGAGTCTTGGACTCTGAGAGGGCACAGGCTGGGCTGAGGGGCACCCCCAAGTGCATGAATTTTCCTCTAATGTCCTTTTATGAAACTTTACAGTACATCACATGTAACACATCAAGACTTCCGGACATTTCTAGACACAGGACCATATACAGCCCAAAATGCAAAAAAAGTCCATTTTGAGCAAAGATGATAACACCAAGAATAAGTGACTAATGAAGTAAAAGTTTAGGTAAAACAGCAACAATAGACCTGATGGTCAAGCAAAAAACACCCTTGGACCTCACATTACCAAAAACATACATTGTTTAAATTAGATAGTACAGCAAAATGGGATAGCCATATCCTATGCATGTGTATTGTTTTAATTTTTTAAATAGGTTATTATGTAAATATGTTTGGAGATATATATGTATATGTATCAAAGGATATAGTAGTAATAAATACCAAATGTTAATAAATACAGAGGAGTAGAACAGTAGAATATTTGGGGGGGGGGGGGGTTTACTTTCATCTTGTCTTCATACATTTTGATTTGGGAGAAAGTCATAAGAAAATACTGTTTTGTCATAAGAAAAGGTAATAGATGAATTAACACAATCAATTAAAACTGACTTGAATATGTTTTGCTTTTTTTGGTAATCTTTTTGTGTGTGTGTGTTTTTCTGAAAACAGCACCCTAGAAAGGGAGGAGTTACAATAGTGCCCTCTTATGGACAGTCTAAGAACAGCACCCCGGTAAGGAATTCTGCTGGTCTGAGAAGAAATTACTATTGATGGACCTAGAAAGCTCTCTTCTTGCAGGAAAAAGTTACAATACTGCTGTCTTGTGGACATTCTTAGAACAGCACCCTAGTCATGAATTCTACCAATCTGAAAACATAACACTATTTTAATTTATTTTTTTTAATATATTTTTATTGATTTCAGAGAGAAAGAACGAGGGGATGAGAGATAGAAACATCAATAATGAGAGAGACTCATTGATCTGCTGCCTCCTGCACGACCCTGGGGATGGAGTCTGCAACCTGGGCATGTGCCCTTGACTGGAATCAAACCCAGGACCCTTCAGTCCACAGGTCGACGGCAAAGGACAACAAAGCAGAAAGGGACTCACCACAGGACAGCAACTTGTGATTGAGCTTATAATGGATAGTGGCCACAATTGCATGAAAATGCTAAAAATTGTAACTTTTAGCCAATAAATATAAAATCCTGACTTCTCTTCAAATGACCTCTAAACGTATTAACTGATTACAGGACAGGGACCAAACCTCAATGATGGTCACAGAAATTCACACATGTGGTCTCATGAAAGAACAAGCCTTTACTTGATTAAGGAGAAGGGCGCTTCATATGTACAAGCTGTTCCACTGGATCCTCAAGAGAGATGGCAAACCTCGGGCTGTAATAACATTTCTTATCTACTTTGCCAAAATGATGTCAGCGATCAAGAGAAGGAAATGAGACCAAGGGTGTCATACTCAGAAGTATAACTAAGATAAGGAAGACATGAAATCAGTCTCTTGGTGACTCTATGTGAACTGCTCAATTTTTTATCAGGTATATGGGGAAGGGAGTACAATATATCAGATATATTTGCTTTTGCAGACACAAGAAATTATAATAAACTTTTTTAAAGAAATTGCCCCTGTAAAGAGAGAGTTGAAATATTTCCAAAAATACAATGTATTTTATTGGTGTAGAAACTTATTCACTGGATAACCAAATTTTTGAAAACATCTCCTTTGTAAAAGACTAGAGGAAAAAGTTAGGCCATATTAAATACCTGCTTGTCTCCTACAGAATGTTCATTCAGCTCTCCAGGAATGTGACTGAAAACACGTTTCAACTTAATTAGCTCTACGCAAGCCTAAACTAATGTTTTTTATGAGGAAGTTATATTAAAAATGAAAACTATGCTGTGAGTTTACCTCTGAAAGTGTCTTATGCAGCAAGGAGCTTTGATTTTTCAACCTGTGAGCTTCATCCACAACAAGAACACTCCAATGGAAGCTGTGAGAGAAAAATCCAAGCTTTCAGTTTTGTGCAACTCAAACATGTATCTCACATTTAAAAGTCTTACTACACAACTGTGAGTATTGTTGGAAAGATGAATATTAATCCCATTCTATTAGAAACACACTCAAATTGCCTTCTTATCTGAGAGCCTACCATGTACATGTGACAATATCCAGATAAGGTACTTAAATAAAAGGAATTTTCCCAAAATAGGAAAGGGCCAGAGACAGAAAGTAAAATGAAACAGTTAGGACCATCTACTGTGTGCCAGACACTGAGCCTGGCTCTTTATGTATGTTATTTAATCTACCAGAATAGGATGAGTACAGCAAACCCTCGATTTTGCAGACCCTGATTTAATGAACTTCGGATTTAATGGACAAATTTCCAGTCCATAGGTCATATGTGAAAATTAACACCTTGTTAATTTTAAAATGCATTTGCTTATAATTAAATTAAAAGGGGTTTGGGGTTTTTTTTGTTTGTTTGTTTTGTTTTACTAGTTCACTGTTATTATATACATATCTTCTCACAAATGTATAAACCATTCAAAAGATAATAAAGCGTAAGTTACAATATTTTTTTAACTCCTTATTTTGTTTGTAAACATTTGGTAATTCCATTACATTAATTTATACTTAAAAAAAAAACTAAATGTATATACAAGTAAAATAGCATATTGGAAAGATAGTGGGCATGGTAATAAAAATCCCTAAAAAGTTAGAAAAAGATCTCAAGCAGAGGTTGGCCTTACAAAGAGGAAGCCCTTTTCCTCTGAGGCTACAGTAAAAAAAAAATCAAGAAAACGCACAGAAACAGACACCTAGCTCCATTCTTCTTTCTGAGAGTGGTCCAGGTGGAGAGAGACTGGGGTCCAATGAGAACACAGGAACTGGGATCATTCCCACTGGAAAGGATGAGCAAGGGATGCATTTAAGGATTACCAGGAACAAAGTCTAACTGCAGGTGGACAATGGCCATAGACAAGGTGTGAAAGTGGCCACACTATAAAGCTGTGTGCCTGACTGAATTAGCATTCAAAACAGATTAGGTCCTATTCCCTTGTGAAGAACCAGATATTTAGGTTTTCACACACAGCAAGCAGGCATCCGATAAAAGCTTGTTCAGTGCAACAGGCTACAGGGAGGTGGATTTGGGCTCAGTAAAAGGAAGTAGGTAAAGGCACTCATCAAAAGACACTCTGAACGATGCTCCGTGGAAAGGAAGAGGTGGGGGAAATTCTGGCACTCAAAGGTTGCATAAATCTGTTGCCTATCATTAAAAAAATAATTCCTATTTTTCTTATTAATTCCCCATAATAAACCTCGTTCGGGCAGAGATTACACTTCCGCGTATTCTCAGAGTGTGCAATATAGTGATACACAGTGTACTCTTGCCCAATTCAGGGTACGACAAATGTCAGTTTACAGTCGTTTGCATAGAAAATAATGAAATAATGAGTAAATAAGAATATAAGAATACACTGTGTTTCGTGTACCCACAACTGTAAACCTACCTTTGGCCACTCCTGTTATCCAAAGAACCTATCTGTGTTTTGGGGACTCATACGATGAGTCAACATTACAAATGCCCCTTCATTTACTTAGGTTCTTCAATCCACCTGGAAGGGACTCAAGACAGATAACCTGACGTAGAAAGCTTGTGTTTCTGCTGAACAATGAAATGCCAGCGAACCTGGATCCTTTGAGAAGCGCGCTTAAGAAGAAAGCTCCTCGGCACTAGTGCTGGGTGTGGGCGTCTAGCTCTTGTTTAATGTATATTGTAACTGTTAGCTGCTGTTTACTAGGGGACAGGTTACCTCATCTCATTTCCTCAGCTAGCCAATAGGTGGTAATATCCCTTTTAAGGCTGCCATGAGGACTAAATAGGATGATTTATATGAAGTTCTGAATAACATTTATGCCTCAATATCCGTCTTGTATTATGGATATCTATATATTTTTTTATCTCTCTCCTGGAGTTAATGTCCTCTTAAGGGAAGCTCTATGGCTTACCTTACCAGAGGAGAAATCTTCAACAAATATTAAGTTGGATATTAATAACTAAACAAAAGAGAGGCAAAGCATATCCTCTCATAAAGAAAAATAAGGTCATATGCTCAGTTAAATGAAAAGTGAAACAAAATACTGGATGGAAGTCATTTTAAATCTATGACTGAGCCTTTAGTATTTCAAAATAAGATGAAAAAAAAAATTCAATTCTAAAGAACCTGACTGAGAAATAATATTTAAAATATTGGTAAGCACTTTGAAAGCAAAAGTTTCAGAATATGAAAGATGCAAATCCCCACCTATGTCATAACTACACATGCAATGGAGAACGCGAAACTCTGTCAACATATATTCTTTTCTTATTTACTTAAAGTCTAGCTCTTGTTTAATTTATATTGTAACTGTTATCTTGACCCTATACTGCCTTATTATCAGGTGGTACTAAGAGTTAGATGTAAGTGTCCCATACTTCATGAGCACATATGAAGCATGAAAGCTAACGAATTAGAAGTCTTCTTAACACTCCCTTTCTAAAATGTTAATTTTGTAGGTTCAAATCAGTCACTCTTATATTATAGGAAAATCTCCAAACAGCAGTTCTGAGGTGTCTATGCAAGTTGCAATATAAAGAATCTAATATCTGTTAACCTACCAGGCACACCTCACTTCATTTAATCCTCACAACAGCCATGCAAGGTAAGAGAGTTAATCACCCCCATTTTACACATGAAGAGTCTGAGGTTCATGGAGATTAAGTAACTAACCCAAGGACATACAATCGAGGGAGCTAGACTGTAGGAATCCTGCAAGGCCTCCTATCTATAAAATAAAAGCATAGTATGCAAATTGTCCCCTCAAATGGGAGTTCTTCCAGGGACATGGGGCCAGCTGGGGGAAGGGAAGAAGGCCCTGGCCAGCAGCCGCTAGGGACCCTACCAGTGCATGAATTTCATGCACTGGGCCTCTACTTTGTAAATAAAACTCATGAAAGACAGACAGGAAAGAAGAAAAGACAAGAGTATCATGATACATTTAACACAATTTCTGAAGAATGCAACATACTCACGATCTTAGAAATGCGGCATCTTTCAAAGAAATCTGAAAATTTAAGGAAAATACATTATAAAGGCTGGTACTAATATAACTCTGAGATTAATAAGAGTTAGAATTAAGTCTTATTCATTCACTAAGTAAAATGAGCCATCAACATAATTTCTAAGCAGCACTATCTTAGACATGCAAAAGGAAGGCATGAGTAAGTCCTGCTTACAGTGACCTGGTCTTAGCATGAAGAACAAGGTCTTAAAAGAGACAGGAACTGAGTGTCCTCCATTCCCATCCTCAAGTAACAGAGACCATGCCTATGCCCACAAACCCTTTCCCTTGCCTGCCTGTCTGCCTCCTATTCATCAATCAAGAAGCAGCTCAAGTGCTGGCCGGTTTGGCTCAGTGGATGGAGCATCGGCCTAGAGACTGAAGGGTCCCAGATTCGATTCCAATCAAGGGCGTGTATCTTGGTTGCAGGCACATTCCCAATAGGGGGTGTGCAGGAGGCAGCTGATTGATGTTTCTAACTCTCTTATCCCTCTCCCTTCTTCTCTGTAAAGAAATCAATAATATATATATATATATATATATATAGAGAGAGAGAGAGAGAGAGAGAGAGAGAGAGAGAGAGAGAGCGCGCGCGCGCGCGCGCGCGCACACGTGCGCAGCAGCTCAAGTGCACCTCCCTGGGAAGCCTTCCCCTCACTTCTTTGGTCACACCCCGGCACTGAGAATCTAAGTGAAGTAGACTGTCCCAGAAAAATGTGTGTTCTCAAAAACCATTAAACATAATTCCAATGGGTTTTAAAACTTCTAGAGTCCCAAGTTAAGAGTTCTTGCTGTAGAGGAACAAATGGGTACCTCATAGGTAGTCAGCAACACATGAAAACATGGCTTCTGTTTTAGGTCTGGCTGTAGGTTGGCTCTCTCCTCTTTGTCACCTGTATATGTTACACAGGAAAGACCTGGAGCAAATCTGAATCCAAGAAAAGAAGTAGATGAACACAAACACAGAGCCGTGGGAAAGGGCACACCTATCTGGAAAAGTACATTTCATGGGAGGACTGCAGATGTGCAGGCCTCAGGATCAGAAAGAGGCCTGGGACTCTGCAATCCTATGCAGAGTAATGAATAAGTTCTCGTGTAAATAAGAGGGTCTTGTGCTAACTCTAAAGACAAAATATTTTTTTCCATATTGGTTCCTCCATCTGTCACTATGAAAAAAGATGGTTTCTCCTTTAGTTCAGCAAAATGTACTAAAGATGAGGACTGACCTTCAAATGGCCAAATAGTATCAATAACATGAGACCCTCCTCCCATCAGATCCTCAGTCTTTATCTACATTACCTCAGGTTAGAGTTTTCTGGAAAAAAATACACTCACTGTTTAGGGCAATTTTTTGTTGTTTCACCACACTTCACATATCACTCAGCGGGGAAAAAACCTTAGTCAATGCAAAATATAAAATTTCAGCTACATCTGCTCTGTACCTTTCGATCTCTTCTTTCCAGTTACTCAACACAGACAAGGGACAAAGAATCAGAAATGGTCCTTCATCATTTAATCTTCCTGCCAAGTAAATGAAGAGAGCAATAGTCTGAAACACAGAAAAAGAAGGCAGTTTTGATCACATTTCCATATGAGAAACGATCATGTGGTTTACAAAAAATAATGTACACATTAGGAGAGTCATCCATTCCTAGAGTGAAATCATGTAAGCTTCAAAATAATTGCCGAAGAAATCTATGGCACTCAATTATATCAACAGTTAACAAGCGATGGTGTCAATATTTATTCAATTGAACCTCTAATGCAAAGAAATTTAAAAATTGTGCATATATAATTTTTAAATTTCTTTGCATTAGAGGTTCAACTGAATAAATATTGATACCATTGCTTGTCATATATATATATATATATATATATATATATATATATATATATATATATATCAGGAAAGACCACAGAAATCAATGAAAACAATGCAAAGAATGTACAAGAGATCAGGAATACTCTGAAAACATACAGCAAGTGTTAAGATATGACTGTGAAAATGACCAACCACGTGGTAGCCTCTGCTGCTTACCAGGTTCTCTTTCCTCCCTACCTTGCTCCCTCTTCTCTGTATTGAAAGAGCGCCTTCTATTTGCTAGGTTACAGTGAACAAAATAGATAAAACTACTAGCTCTCCTGGAATAAACATTCTAGTGTAAAAAAAATAAAAAATAAGTAGTGCCTCATAAGCTTAAGCAGGAGTATAAAATGAAAATGTTTGTAAAGCCAAATAGGCCTACTAAAGGATATGGTTGTACACAATTTTGACTAGAAAAGTTTCTTTAGAAGAGTGCTGTAATATAGAGAAAATAATAAAACAAAAAGTCTGAGAAGCCTCCATCCCCAAATGCTAAACTGTTTCTGAAAAAAAATCTATGCCAAGGATTTAATCCAAAATACTGAGAAAGCAAATACCCAAAGGTGTTCACACTGAGGTAATTGAAGTAGCACACAAAAAAGGAACTCATCATTCCTCATCTCCAGGACATTTAAGTAAATTATGATCAATTCTCTTGAAGGAATATTTAGTAGCCAACAAAAATAATCATTAGGAAGAAATGGAAATGACAGTGTTCGATTACTAAAATACAAACTATAAGTGCACTATAATTTCAACCATTGTAAAACATGCACTATTATTTATGGTTATGATTGGAGTTTTGTGGTTATGGTTTGGTAGTTGGTTGTTTTTTTTAACTGAAATTACATTAATTTTGCCGAAACCGGTTTGGCTCAGTGGATAGTGTGTCAGCCTGCGGACTGAAAGGTCCCGGGTTCGATTCCTGTCAAGGGCATGTACCTGGGTTGCAGGCACATCCCCAGTAGGAGGTGTGCAAGAGACAGCTGATGGATGATTCTCTCTCATCGATGTTTCTAACTCTCTATCCCTCTCCTTTCCTCTCTGTAAAAATCAATAAAATATTTTTAATTACATTAATTTTATAATAGAAGTAATTTTCTTCTTTAATTACCTATCACTTTCCAATCCAGATTGTGCTCAGAAAAATCATCCAATAAGAAGGTACTTGTTGGATTAAAACCCCTCTTGCCTAGCTTTTGCTGAAGATACTACCTCTAGACTGTGTCCTGCCATTCCATGTCCAAGGTGCTTTGGGAAACATGGGCTATTTCTTCTGCACTTCTCTAACCCGCTAGGAAAATGACAAGTGGCCCTCTACACACTAAGGAAGGGAAATCAATATCAGAAGTGATCCAGCTAACTTAATTCGCTCGAGTACTGCTAAGGAAGGCAGAAACAATTTGACCCCTGAGACAGGTATACAAGAGAAAAACCTTGCCCAGAAACTAAAATAAGGGTAGTGATGAGGCATCCGTCTTACATAAAAACTGCTGTTTGAAATTTTAACCCTATTTTGGCTTCTGTAATGGCTTAAATAATGACAATAAGGCTACTCCCATTCCAGAGAGGCCGTGGACTATGCCCCAGACAGAGTTGTCAGTGCTGGCACCAGGCCAGGCCTTGAGATACGGTCTCATGGCCCCTTCCCAGCACGCAGGCCTTCTTTCCCAGAAGGCCCAAATTTGGGAGACAAAAAAGCTAGGAAAAGTATAAATAAAAAAGGTTTCCTCCATGTGGAGGGGCCCAGAATTTGAAAGGCATATTTCTCTCTGGCCTGCCCTTCATAAAATGTAACTCCTTTTCTCTATGCATGGCTTGGATTTTTTTTTTTTTTTTCTGGTCTTCTATAACAGTGACACAGTTCAAAACTGTCCCGATTAGAAAAGTCAGCTCCAACGTCAAATTAAAGGCTCAGGCGTTTCACCACCTAATATAAAAATGCATACTAGTCACTGAAGATAGTAATGAGTTGTAAGAAGGTATTTCAGAGAAGGTAAGACCACCCTACAGTGTCTGTGAGACCACGTGGGGAGCCAGTACTCTCACCCTCAACAGAGGTTAAGTGACATACCTGGCAGGTCTTACCCAGGCCCATCTCATCTCCCAGGATGCAGCCATTCTGACAATGGAAGCGCTGGGCTAGCCAGTTGACTCCCTCCAGTTGATAAGAGCGTAGGTTAATCCCTAGAAATAAAAAAAAAATCAATAAAATATATTTAAATATATGTAAGTCAACTCTGAAGACTTGGAGGTGAAAAAAACTAACCACCCAGAGATGCCTGGACTTCTACCCCCTAGGAGATCCTAACTTCCCTCTCCAATACCACCCTCAGAAGTGGTGTCACAGGAGGTCTGGTGGAGACTCGGTCCAGAGGGAATGAGACTACCCTACAGTGTCAGTGGAGGCCAACCGGGGAGCCATACGCTCACCCACATCAAGAGGTAAAGGGGCGCCCCCTCCCTGTGCAGAGGCTCAAAGGTGTGTTCTGCGTTGACTTTGGGGAAGGAAGGGCTAGGAAAAGAGGGACAGTTGAGTGCGGCGATGAGCTGATAAAAGCACATTTTAAAACACAGCCGGTGGGGAGGAGGAAGGAAGGGGAGGGGCTTGGCCGGGGGTGCTTCTCCAGGAACTGCGCATGCACAGTGAACCAAGGGACCTGGAGCCGGGAGCCGAGTCCTGATAGTTTCACGGAACTAACGACTGAAACCTCGAGCACAGGCCTGCAAACCCACCGGCACAGAACCTGCAAGCCCAGCCCGGGGGCGTCAGGGCCTCCGCCGCCGCCTTCTTCTGAGGACGGTCTTCCCTTTAGGACCGGGCCTCCCCGAGCTCGCCGCCCCTGGGCCCGCGGGAGCGCCGATCCCGCTCCAGCTGCGCCCGCGACCCCGCGGCCCGCACCGGCGGGGCAGGGCCACCCGGCCCGGAGGCTCCGGTCCCCCCGCCCCGCCGCAGGTGCGGGAGGGGAAGGGAAGGTCCTGGGGCCCGCAGGGAAACAGCCCACAGGACGGTCCCTCCGCGGCGCCCAGCAGCACCGGCCGCGGCGCGGGGTCCTGACCGCGGAGAAGCGAGTCCTGGCGAGCGGGCGGGCGGGCGGAAGTTCCCCCGGGGCCACTGACCTGTCAGGCCCCACTGCCTCAGCTCCTGCTCCTGCACACGCGCCCCCGCCCGCGCCGCCTCCGCTCGGCCCTGGAGGTTCCGTAAGAAGCCGGGCATGTCGCCCTGGCGGGTCGCGGCGTCCGCGCGCTTCTCCATCCGCCCGGAGAGTTCCGCCGCGCGTCGTCCCGCGCCGCCTCGCGCGCTTCCTTTCCCGACGCAAATGCGTCCCCCCGCCGCCAGGGGGCGCGTGCGGCGCCGAGTTCCGGGGGCGAGCGCGGCTCCGGCTCCGGCTCCGAGCGGGGTCCCCTGCAGCCCGGGGCACGCGGGGCCGCTGGGTGCGCGCTCCTGTGCTTCTGGTTGTGCTGACGCGCGCTCTGCACATCCATAATCAACGTCGGGCGGCCTGGAAACGCTCCCCCAGAGGTCAGCGTGTGCTGGTCATTCACTTACTAAGTACACTGCCCTCTGCCAGGTGCTCTGGGGCTGCAGAATTCAGGAAGACGTCGTCCCTGCCTGCTGCCCTCCAGCGATTCACCGCGAGATTGTCAAGGCTTGAGTGCTTTCAGTTCACGCTAATCATACATTCGTTTCGGCCCTGAAATCTTGTTTACTTCCTGCTGATGGTAGGCCAAAGTTAGGGACCCCTCAATGGTAGTAACGTCACCAAAGCTTGTGATACAATGGGTTTCTCAAGTGAATTGTGGGGAGCACACTGAAGCAATGTGTTGTTAGATGAGGGGTCACCAAGGCTCAAGGTTAGCTTTGGGTGCATTTGTGATGTAGTCATTTATGATTAGTAGTGTACCACCAATACAAATACTATAATAACTAAGTAGCTGTTAGAGGCTCTGCCCTAAGGCCTTAACATGTGTTTATTTTCTCATTTAACCTCAATTAAGCCCTATAATTGTCCCCACATGACAGATGAGGAAACAGTGAGTGGTAATAGGCAAAGCTGGAACAGGAACCATGTTAATTCTCTGGATAATGTCATTAGAATGCTATTCTCACTTACATTAAGCTTGATGCTTGTCTTCAGTAAACTGAGACTTAAGCTGCACTTCACCCCATCCTCACCCACCCTCAAAATAAAAGGGAGAAATTAGCTGTGAGCTACAAAAGAAATGACTTTGGGTTGATTTCTGAAACCTCAAAAACAAAGCACTGTTTTGTGAAGCTCATTTTGTGTCTTGAGTCATTTTGTAAATACTGATTGAGTACCTACTGTATGCCACGTGCTCTTTCAGCACTGGAGACAGAGGCCACTACTCACCAACTTAATTTAAGTAAATCAGGTTAAGCTTATATTTTAAAAAGGGGGGAGACAGGCAATAAATGAAAGCCAAGTACTGATCAATGTTAAGAAGAGAAACAGAGTCATATAATAGGCCCTATTATTTGATTTCCTACCTGGCTGTTTTCTCAAAATCTTAAGATAGATTTATATCCTTTGCTTCTCTTGAGGGGTTACTGTCCTAAGTGGCTGTTGTAAATGGACTATGAGTCCTGATGTCTGAACTGGACTTACTTTCTTCCCTCAAGACTTTGTGGGTAGACATCTACTAAAGCACCAATATTAACCACCTGCCACTCAAACAAATGGGTGTTTATTATTATCAACTTAACATACATTTGTTTTAGCATTATACTAGAGATGGGGGTCCTAGCTGTAAGCTAAGTGTTCTGTTGGTATATTGAGTCTGGCATCTAAAATTCAGCTAAGTGCCCAGCTTAGTGTTTGAGTGTAGACCCATGAACCTGGGGATCACGGTTCAATTCCCAGTCAGGGCGCATGCCTAGGTTGCAGGCTTGATCCCCCATAAGGAGCATGGAGGAGGCAGTTGATTGATGATTCTCTCTCATCATTGATGTATGTGTATCTCTCTCCCTCTCCCTTTCTCTCTCTAAAATCAATCAAAACATATTTTAAAAAATAAGTAAATAAAAATAAAATACAGCTAAGAGAAGTAGCTAAGAAACTCCAAGCCAGTTAGTGAGATGATGCCTCTAAGAGTTTATTTGGATGCTGTATGAAAAGAGTATATGGAAAGGGACAAGGTAAAAGCAGGGAGCCCTGTTGAAGACTACTGTGGGAGTCTGGGCAGGAGATGATAGTTGTTGGGCCAACATGGTGGAGTGGAGGTTTGAGTAGTGGTCAGATATTAGATATACTGCTAAGGAAGAACCTGTAAGATATCCTGATTGAGCATCTGGATAACTGGGTGGATACTGATATCATCACTGAGACAGAGAATAGAGGAGACAAAAGATAAGAATTTCACTGTTAGGAAAGGTTGAATTTGTACCTAAACAATGACTGGCACATAGTATACACTCAGTAAGTATTATTGAATGTTTGAATGAGGTGTCTGTTGAGCAATTCTGAAGTCCAAACCTGACTATTATAACCTCACTGTACAGAGAGGACATTTCAGGGATGGACAAACCAAGGCACCAAAAGTTTAGGCACTTGTCCAATTTTTTTCCAGTTAGCCAATGTTAACTGCCGGAAGAGTGTCTAACCCCAACTCCTTTCCATTCTTTGTCCAGGTTACATAATCCTGGTGTTAATATTAATTCTTTATTTTCTAACTTCACTGAGAGGGTAGACACCCTGGCAACTGAATAAGATTAACGGTAATCATTATCACCCTAATGATAGGCCTTTGTCTCTGCCAATCCCACCAAAGCAAGCATGAGGAAGCACAGATTGGCAAACAAGTGTGTTTGCTATCCATTATGTCCCTAACCTGGTGGGTAAAAGCAGGATGCCAGCTGGCAACATCTGCTAGTGGTAGGTTAGATATGGAGCTTGAGTAAAAGCTGTGGCCATGGGTGAAAATCTGTACAAACCTCTTTTTCAGTACATGAACTTAGACCTTTGGGTTCAGGTTAGGATTAGGTCACTGCCCTGTGGTGGAGAAATCACTGGAATGAAAGAGAGTTGAGTTTTTTTCTCCTAAGAAAAAAACTGTATTTTGACATTTGACATAATTATACATTTTTAGCATCAAATCACACATTAGTTTAAAATGTAGAAACCAGGGAAATATATTAAAAAAAAAAGAGTGCCCCTTTAAATATATCAACAAAGTAGGTCTGCTTTATAGGACTCTTACCGTACTCAATCTCATCAGAAAATTTCCACTCCCTCTTATGCCAAAGGTAATGCTTTAACACTAAGATATTATTAAGGAATCTTGGAGGACAAAATCCAGAGATTGCAAACTATCAGCTGTGCACCAAGTTTTGCCCACAGTTCTGTTTATTTTCTTTCACTAGTGCCTTTTGACTATCAATATGCCTTGCCACCAAGTTAGTGAGACCCAATTTTATTCTTTCTGTTTTTTGAAAATATATTTTTATTGATTTCAGAGAGAAAAGGAGAAGGAGAGACAGATAGAAACATCAATGATGAGACAGAATCATTGATCGGCTGCCTCCTGCACGCTCCACACTGGGCATAGAACAGGCAGCCTGGACATGTACCTTGACCGGGGATCAAATCCTGACCTCCTGGTTCATAGGTCAGCACTCATCCACTAAGCCACGCTTGCCAGGAATCCACCTAGTTAATCCCAAGCTTTTGAGTTTGCCAGTTAGTTTTGTGACATATTTCCACAGAAGGAGCAGGACATCTCAGTAATAAAACTAAATGAAGCTAAATGTTTCTATTGACTCAGTCTACAATGAAATGTTGTTAAACAATGTGATCTTGCTCACAGGGGCTCTGAACTTAAGATCTCTCTTCTTCTCTGGTTGGCAAGATCCCAAAGCCATATTAGCCTTTAATTATATATAGGATTCCCCAAAGGAAATGCTTAGCTATTTCCTATAGCTAGACATCTCTAGTACACTCATATATTCCAATTTACAAATAACTCATTTGTAAGTTAAAATTCTGATCTGTAAAATGATTATGTTAAGACACGCTCTTCAGAATTTCATTTTTAAAAGAGACTATTATAGTACAGGTTCACATGTGTAACTGAAAGTTTTTATGAAATATGCCAGTCTTTTAAAAGTTACAGGTCCAAAAAATAAACGTTACAGGTCCACTGTACCTATGAGTTTGTTTCTGTTTGTTCATTTATTTTATTTTTTAGATTCCACATATAGGTGAACCATATGGCATTTGCCTTTGTCTGACTTATTTCACTTAGCAAAAATCACCTAGATCCATTCATGTTTTCACAAATGGTTAGAGTTCATTCTTTTTTTTATAGCTAATCTGACAGGTGTGAGGTAATATCTCATTGTGTTTGTTTGTTTGTTTTTAATATATATATTAAATATATATATTATATATATAATATATAATATATATATATTATTTTTCAGAGAGGAAGGGAGAAGGATAGAGAGTTAGAAACATCGATGAGAAAGAAACATCAATCAGCTGCCTCCTGCACACTCCCCCCTGGGAATGTGCCTGCAACCAAGGTACAAGCCCTTGACCAGAATCGAACCTGGGACCTTTAAGTCTGCAGGCCGACGGCTCTATCCACTGAGCCAAACCAATTAGAGCTCATTGTGGTTTTGATTTACATTTCTCTGATTATTGACATTGAGCATCTTTTCATGTATCTATTGGAAATGTTTACTCAGGTCCTCTGCCAATCCTATCTAATAAAATAGTAATATACAAATTAACGCACCACACCCACCAGCCAATCAGTGAGTATGCAAATTAACCCAACCAAGATGGCTACAGCCTTAGAGCGAGCAGGAGGCTTGGGTTTCCCCAGCAATGGAGAAAGCCAAGTTTTCTGCACACCCTGGCTGGCCCAGGCCTCTACTTAAGGCTACAAAGTTTCAATTATAGAAGATAAATAAGTCCCAGATACCAGGGCCTCTGCTTGTGTCGCCAGGGGGTGTGGCTGGCCTGCAAACCACCATAGGACCCTCGCCCCACCCATGCTCCAATGGAACCCCCACCCTCATCCAGGACATCCTTCAGGACAAACCAGCTGGCCCCTACCCATGCACCAGTCCTCTATCCTATCTAATAAAAGAGTAATATGCAAATTGATCATCACTCCAACACACAAGATGGCTGCCCCCATGAAGACACAAGATGGCTGCCACAAGATGGCCAGCAGGGGAGGGCAGTTGGGAGGGACCAGGCCTGCAAGGGAAGTTGTGGACAATCAAGCCTGCAGGGGAGTGCAGTTAGGGGTAACCAGGCCTGCAGTGGAGGGTAGTTAGGGGCACAAGTTGACATGAGAGTGGTTAGGGGGTGATCAGGCTGGCAGGCAGAAGCAGTTAGGGGAATCAGAAAGGCAGGCAGATGAGTAGTTGGGAGTCAGCATTCCTGGATTATGAGAGGGGTCCCAGATTGGAGAGGGTGCAGGCTGGGCTGAGAGACACACACCCCTGTGCACAAATTTCGTGCATCGGGCCTCCAGTTTTTAAATAAGACTGATGATTGCCATATTGGAGGGAGTTGGAATTTGAAAAAGGTAAATGGATTAAGAGTAAAAATTAGCAGCATAGGAAATATAGTTAATATTGTAATAACTATGTATGGTACTAGACTTCTCAGGGATCACTTCATAAGTTGTATAACTGTCTAAACACTATGCTGAAAAAACAAATAAACACTATGTTGTATACCTGAAACAAATATAGTATTGAAATTGAAAGAAAAAATTTTTAAGTCCAAGAGTAGCCTGAACTAAGCAAAAAAAGTTACAGGTGCAAAGAATATTAAAATTACATAATATTAATACTTATTAGGGTTGGCAAATTGCTGTAAAAAGCAAAATCAAACACTGAATAGTACAAACAAAACAGCAGTTTATTTATCTCTTATGTAACAGTCTAAGATAAGTAGATCCAGATTAGAAAATCCAGTCATTTAAGGACCCAATATGTGATTTCCAAAGTTATCTCTGGATATCAGCATTTCAGATTACAGGAAAAGAGAAAGAGTAGAACTCTAGGATAAACCATTACCTTTAAACCAGTTAGGTAGGACTTGCCTATGTCAGCTCTTCTTACATTCCTCAATGAGCATTTAATCATATGGGCATACATGGCTACAAGGGGAACTGGGAAATATAGTTCCTATTGGGCAGTCCCATCCCTGCAACAACCCTTTTGTGCTGTATAAGGAGAACAGATTTTAGTGAACAACTAGCAGTGTCTGCCACTCCTCTAACCATGAAAATTCTATGTTCATCTTTTTCTTGATATGCTCATCCCACCCATCCAGTTACTACACCGAGCTCAAGTTTGGGGATCTCTAGTGACTTGCAATTATCTGCCTCCCATTCAAATGAGGCTCCTTATGGTTCAGCAATTCATTAACTGAAAGGAAATCATGAACCTTCTCTAGCAACCAATAAACCATGTACTAATTAATAGAAGCAGGATAGTTGTATTAGATGTGGTTGTTCTTAAGTGGTTCTTGGCCCTTCTACTACCATAAATCTTGTAGAGGGATAGAATGAGAAGCTAACTTTTCTGAAATCTCAAGGAAGAGACTTCATAAGGGACCAATCAAAAAATGGGCAAAGGACCTAAACAGATACTTTTCTAAAGAGGACATACAGAAGGCTGAGAGACCTATGAAAACATGTTCAAAGTCATTAATCATCCAAGAGATGCAAATCAAAACTACAATGAGGTGCCATCTCACACCTGTCAGAACGGCTATCATCAACAAATCAACAAACGGTAAGTGTTGGCGAGGAAGCAGAGAAAAAGGAACTCTCCTTCAGTGCTGGTGGGAACGCAGACTGGTGCAGCCACTGTGGGAAACAATGTGGCGTTTCCCAAAAAATTAAAAAACTGCCATTTGACCCAGTAGTACCACTTCTAGGACTATACCCCAATCAAACAGAAATATCAATCAGAAAGGATATATGCACCCCTATGTTCAGAGCAGCACAATTTACTATAGCTAAGATTTGGAAACAGCCTAAGTGCCCAATAGCAAATGAGTGGATCAGAAAACTGTGGTACATCTACACAATGGAATACTAATACTATGCTGCTATAAGAAAGAAGGAATTCTTACCATTTGCAACAGCATGGATGGAACTGGAGAACCTTATGCTAAGTGAAATAAGCCAGTCAGTGAAAGATAAATACCGCATGATCTCACTCATTTGTGGAATATAAAGAACATTATAAATTGATGAACAAAAATAGATACAGAGGCAAAGGGCATGTTCCTCCCTTGTAGGCTCCTCCTTGGCCTGGGCCCTGGTTAAGGCTGGTGCAGGAGGCAACCAATCGATGTGTTTCTCTCACATCGATATTTCTCTGTCTTTTAGTCCTCTCCCTTCCACTCTCTCTAAAAATATCCTTGGGTAAGGATTAAAAATATATCTATAATAATAAAAATGTAATATGCTAATTAGACTGGATGTCCTTCTGGGTGTCCTTCCAGACAACCTTCCAAACAAAGCCGAGGCTGCCAAGGAAGCCTGGGTCCCAGGTGCCAGGAGGAAGGTGGTACCGCCAACTGGGGGAAGGCCTACTCTTGCATGAATTTCGTACATCAGGTCTCTAAAATATATAGAGATAGAGATAGAGATAGAGATAGAGATAGAGAGAGAGAGAGAGAGAGAGAGAGAGAGAGAGAGAGAGAGAGAGATCCTCTTAAAGAGGCAGTATGCACAGTGATGGAAAGCTCAGGCTTATAGCAAGACTGCCTGGCTTGCATCCTTTCCCACTTACTTGTGAAATGGAGATAATGATAGTATTGCTTCACAGTAGTGCTGAGAAAATATTGCCCATTCCCATTTAGCCTTTTGAACCATACAGGTAAGCCCTTGAGAAATGATAAGGATTAACTCCACGAACAATACCTTGGAGGTGAAACCAGTAGGTCAACACCCAGGGCGGTCATTGGCATCCAACCATCTTGAGCAAAGTTGACTGGGAGTAGCAGACGGTGAGCGAAGGTGGGTTGCATCAGCCACAGCTTACCTCCCCAACAACCCACCAGGGCAGATTCCTGGGGTGGGCCCTGACGGTGGTGACCCAGTCAGTAAAATTATATTTTTTTTAAAATTAAGTTACATTTTAAAAAGCGGATATCTTGTGGGCTTTACGTCCACATGCAATGGCATAAAACACTTTTTTTTAATTTTATTTTTTTAAATATATTTCATTGATTTTTTACAGAGGAAGGGAGACAGGTAGAGAGTTAGAAACATCGATGAGAGAGAATTACCCATCAGCTGCCTCTTGCACACCCCCGACTGGGGATATGACCACAACCAAGGTACATGCCCTTGACCGGAATCGAACCCGGGACCTTTCAGTCCCCAAGCCGACGCTCTATCCATTGAGCCAAACCGGTTTCGGCAAACACTTTTTTTTTTTTTTTAATAATGTATTTTTATTTTATGGAAGTTTTCAGCCTGTGTTTTTGGTCTTCTCCACCCAACTATTATATAAGCTCCCCTTAAGTAGGAACCATAATCCACTCTGCCTGGGCATTGTGGAGTAAATGTCTCTCAGGACACAGAACCAAAGACCCCATCTGTGGAGTGGGGGTTAGGGTGCTGGGGCGGACCTGTCTGAACAGATCGGAAAGATTGGGGTTCTCCCCTTCAGCTGCTGGAGCATGACTTGCCCTGGGGTGGGTGACAGTTCCCCTTCACCAGGAGGAGTTTGTCCCTTTAAGGTGGAAACCAGGAAGTTCGCGGTGGGTGCAGAGGGGCGGGGAGGATGGAGTTAGGTCTCTCCAGACGAGTGCAGGCAGCCGCGCTGAAAAATGGAGAAGTCTGGAGGACTCACTCTTGTCTGCCCAAAGCAGTTCCGCCACGTTTAATTTCCCTGCCCACCCCCACGTCCTCACCCCGAGAGGCGGCGGGGCGGCCAGCGGGCGGGGTGCTGGCTGAGAGGGGTGGTGCTGCCCGGCCCCGCCCAGTTGGCTGTTGCTGTTGTTTGCGCTTTGTTGCTTTATATTTCTGTGAAAACAGTCTAAAGTGCAGTGGAGCCTCCAGACTTGCAGCTGACGGACCTGCCCGGGGCTACGGGAAGGGCAGGTAGTGAGATCGCGTCTGACAGCTGCCCTCGCAGCGCATCGCTGAGCCTCCGCTCGGAGGCCTGGGGCTCCCGGTCCCGCCAGTAAAGCCAGTCCCAGTGGCTAAGGAGTCAGCAGGCTCTGGCTTTCCCAGAGACACCTGTTGTTGCGAGTTTTGTCTGGATGCCTTGGCCAAGGTCTCTTCTTGAAAGGTGTTCAGTTCACTGACGTGCGCTTTCTTGTCTTTTGCCATCCATTCTCCAGGGCACAGTGGGCAGACCCAGCCCTGGGAAGTCCTCGGGAGACCATGACCAGCAAGAGAATCGCCGTGATTGGGGCGGGCGTGAGCGGGCTCACATCCATCAAGTGCTGCCTGGACGAAGGCCTGGAGCCCGTCTGCTTTGAAAGGTCCGATGACATCGGAGGGCTCTGGAGGTTCCAGGTACGAATCTCCTAGGGTTCATAGTGTTTGGGACCCTCCCGATAAGTTGGTACCTGAGATATTTTATCTTAGACATTTTATCTGGTGTCAGGAGATAGGATGGCCTTGGCAGTGATTTCAATCTGCTGCAGTTCCGCCTGCTGACCTCTTGGTAGCAGCCATCACCTCTGTGTGGGCTCCTCTTTCCCTAGGCTGGCAGCAGAGGAGAGCGTGGGTATCATTTGTGTTTGTTTGTTTGTTTGTTTCTTTACTGATGTCCGGAACAATGGCACAGGGATCATTTTCAATGATTGAGTTGTGCTGCTATCCAGAAGAGGGTGGTGTGAGGGGAGAACAGAATAACAAAATGTGAAGTGATGAGAAAATGTAGAGTGGTTGCTCCTAGTCCATGTTAACAGGTGATTGTAGATTACCTGCTTACAGCAACTCTTCCTCCTCCTTCTCTTCCTCCTTCTCCCCCTTTTCCTCCTTCCTCTTCCCCTCCTCCTTCTCCCTCTCCCCCTCTTCCTTTTCCCTCTCCCTTTCTTCCTCCTTCCTCTCCCCCCCTCCTCCCTCTCCCCCTCCTCCTCTCCTTCCTCTTTCTCCTCCTCCTCCTCCTCTTCACTCTCTCTTTTGAATCCCGGTTCACTTTAGATCATTCTCTCAAAATCCTAGTCCTTCAGTAGAATATAAAATCTGGCCTCCTTCTATCCTTTGAACTTTTACTTCATTGGAGAAATCAAACCAGTGGGTCAAAGTCCTTGTCTCCAGAAAAAGGCAGAGGACTTCTGCCACTGGACTTTGTCTTTGCAAATATTCAGTTTTAAAGTTGAATGGCTTTAATACGCACACCCAGCCCTGCAACTTGTTACCAAAAATTATCACCTACTTAAAAATGATAGTTAAGCTTATTCTATGCCAAAGAATATTAACTGCCTCTGCCGAAACCGGTTTGGCTCAGTGGTAGAGCGTCGGTCTGCGGACTGAAAGGCCCCGGGTTCGATTCCAGTCAGGGGCATGTACGTTGGTTGCGGGAACATCCCCGGAGGGGGGTGTGCAAGAGGCAGCTGGTCGATGTTTCTCTCTCATCAACGTTTCTGGCTCTCTATCTCTCTCCCTTCCTCTCTGTAAAAAAAAAAAAAAAAAAAAAAAAAAATCAATAAAATATATTAAAAAAAAATATTAACTGCCTCTCCTGATCTCCAAAGTAACACACATTGGGTTTGTTTTTAAACTCACTTTCTAAACCATTGAATGGTATTGGGGTATCCAAATATGTTTCCCATTTCATAAAAACTAATAGTGTTGATTATATTTAAAAAAAAAAAAAAAAAAGTGGCTTCAGAGAGAAGGTAGGTGATACTGGAAGCAGAGGTCAGAGTGATGCCATTGCTGGAAGGGGCCATGAGCCCAAGGAAGGCAGCCAGCCTCTGGAAGGTGCAAAAGTAAGGTGACCAGACGTCCCGCTTTTTAACAATTTGTCCTGGGTCCCGCGGTGTTTTAAGAAAGTCCTGATTTTTTGCCGAAACCGGTTTGGCTCAGTGGTAGAGCGTCGGTCTGCGGACTGAAAGGTCCCGAGTTCGATTCCGGTCAAGGGCATGTACGTTGGTTGCGGGCACATCCCCAGTGGGGCCTGTGCAAGAGGCAGCTGGTCGATGTTTCTCTCTCATTGACGTTTCTGGCTCTCTAGCTCTCTCCCTTCCTTTCTATAAAATATCAATAAAATATTAAAAAAAAAAAAAAGTCCTGATTGTTGGAAATAATGCACGACAAGCTAGGGAACGGCAGGAGAACGGGAAGGGAATATACGGTTTTCGGCGGCCATGTGGCTATTTAGCTAGGATATGAGTTTTATACTATTTTTGTTAATTTTATATTGTTAAACTTTAATAATAACAAATAATTGTTGAGAACTGATTATCGAAAACTGCTTATCAAAATTTGCATTGTCAATTGTTAGAATTCAACCACCATTGTTTGGACTTAATGTACAAGGGCTTTTTTGAGGATTGGCAACGATGAAAACATTTTGTAACTATTTCTCAGACAATACACATCTTATTGCATGCTAGTAAGCTAGTTAAACAAGTGATGTCATTACAAATCAGCTATTCAGATAATTTAGGTAAGTTATTTATTTCATAAATACATAAATTTTCTTGAATTTAGCAGACAGTACTCATATTATTTATATTTTATAGTGGCGGCAGAAAGTCTAGTGCCGGCCTTGAAAGTGACACGACTATACATAATTTTTATTTATTTATTTATTATATTTGTAAATTGTACTTATGTTGAAATTTTAAAAAAATATATTACAATACAATTTTTGTATTCTATGAAAATTTTTGTTGCTCCATATAGATCAAATTTTTAATCAAGAACCTCCCCTCCCCCAGTCAATGGTGTCCCGCTTTATCAATGTTAAAATCTGGTCACCTTATGCAAAAGGCAAGGGGAAGAGCCTAGCGGCTTCAGAGGCCTGATCTTCAGAACTAGTGAAGACTACATGTCAGGGGGAGTTCACACAGGAACTTTGTATTCATTAGTGAATGCATATGCCAGGAGCAAGTGGGAGCTCTTGAACATTTTGACTGTCATTCAAACCTTTCTAGAATGATGGAAGCTTTGAAGTCAGGGATTAATCACATCTTGAAACTATGCTATGAAAACCATGGGAAACTGGAGGGTATGTTGCAAAAAGAATAACAGGGCTGTAAGGATAATACGGTCTCGAAGCCCAAATGGGCCCATCACTCAGAAAAGAAAATACTTTTGGAGAGCAGACTAAAGGCAGGACATGCTTTGATTTGGTTGCTGTGCCTGGACCCTGACCTGCTCTGGGAGTTTGCTTCAGTTTTGACTATTCTCTGGTCCCTGGAGCAGGTTGAGATGTTTTTAACACCACACAAGATCAGCCACCTTGGTATTCAACTTCAAGCTCCCGGACGCAGACCCACAGACTGCAGACCCTAAACCGCCCCCTTACCCTGCTACACGGCACACAGATATTTCCCCTCACTCCTATGTAACCATCTAGCTGGCAGGAGAAGGGGAGAAGCAGTCCCCCCCTTCACCCCCCAGACGTGAAGCCCACCACTCACTCCATATTGCCAGCATTATTAAATACATGCTGTTCATTTGTGTGTTTTTTAAAGTGGCTTCATAGCATCCCTTAGTTGAAGAGCAGTACAATCCTCTGCATCTGGGCTCTGTCTTTGGGGACCAACTCTAATTAACAATAGTCCTTTTTTAGTTCATGAGTGGATACCCCTTGGAAAACCAGATCCCCACGCCTCTAACATAATCGGTCTGGGGCATGGGGCTGAAACGGCTGTTAATTAATATTTATAAATCAACAGAACATGCTACTTTTGAAATCCAGCCACAACTTAGTGTAGAGGTTAACAGCATAGTCTTGGTTCAACTCCTATATCGGCACCTACTAGCCGTGTGCTGTTGGGGAAAATCAGTAAATCTCTCTGTACCTCTGCTGCTTCATCTTTAACAAGGAGAAATTAAAAAAAAAAAAAAGAAATTATAATCATACCCACTTCATAGAGTTATTGTGGGGATTAAGTACATGAATAATTGTGTCATTCTTTAATAACAATGCCAGTTGTACAGTAAGTGCTGCATGCCAGTTATTATTCAGTAGGCCTGCAGTGGGGCCCAGGTAACTGATTTTTATCTCCAAAGTGGTTTAACCCTATTCTCTGTTAAAGACTTGGGATTTTTTCTGATTATCTTCTTGACAAAATTTCAATACCATATAAACTACTTCCTTGAAAATAAATAAGCTACATCTCATCATAACTTTCTTACATCAAGACAGACCACATATGTGTCTATTATAGATTATGTATCGTATTCATATTCAAATATCTGTTCTTTTGTGACAGGTCCCAGGGATTTAGTATGAATTTTTTTTTCTTCTCAAATACATCACTTGCGTTTTCTTTTCTCTAGTCCATCTGCCAAACAGAAGGAGGATTTGCCACTTGCCTCCTTCTTGTTATTGTTGAAGCTTTCTAGTAATAATTATCCCCTTACCCATCGAGAATACATTTCAGGATCCCCAGTGGATGCCTGAAACCACAGATAGTACCAAACCCTATATATAGTATGTTTTTTCCTATACATACATACCTCTGGTCAAGTTTAATTTATAAATTAGGCACAGAAGAGATTAACAATAATAAGAATAAAGTAGAGCAATTATACTGTAAAAAATTATATCAATGTGGTCTCTCTTTTAAAATATCTTATTGTATTGTACTCAGCTTTATACTTACAGGAATCACTTTATGGTTTCTCTTCAGCTTGTCAGAATTGCCAGCATCACTACTCCTGTACTTTGGGGCCATTATTAAGAAAAATAGGGTTTCTTGTGTCCTTGACACAAGCACTGTGATATTGCTGACAGTCGATCTGATAACTAGGATGACTTACCAGCGATTAACTTGTGGAGAGCAAATACAGCGTGGATATGCTAGACAAAGGGATGATTCATGCTGTCGGCAGATTAGAAAGGACAGAATGACATTGTATCATGCTGCTCAGAACAGCCCAAAATTTAGAACTTAAGAATTGTTTATTTCTGGAACTTACCATTTAATATTTTCAAACAACGAGTAACTAAAATCCCAGAAAGCCTATTGCATATATAAATTCTCAAAATATTAATTTCAATCAATTCTTGATCTCATCACTAATGTTAAGACTGATAGTGGAAAAGTACATTCTATTAACTTACACTTGCTCCAGTATAAGTTCCAATTTCATGTCATTTTTTTTTAAACTGAGTAATTGTCTTTTAAATGAATAAAAATGAGGTAAAATGGGGACATATACTGGACAGAATTTCAGTTAGTACAATGATTCCTGGAGAGCAGGCTCATTAGTATAATAAGGACTGTTGTTAAATAGAGTTAGTCCCCAAAGACAGAGCCCAGATACAAAGGACTGTACTGCTTGCTCTTCAACTAAGGAATGCTATGAAGCCACTTTAAACCCCTCACAACTTACCTAGGCTTTGAAATATGAAGACTATTACTCAGATGGGCAGTTCTCACTTGGAATTTCAGGTCATTGCAGTCAGGTGACTGGGACTGGACATCTGCTATGGCCTCTTTGCTCACGTGTTTAGAATGCTACTAGGATAACTAGAACTTCTGGGAACTGGCTGTGTATCTCTCTATCATACATTCTCTTTATGTGACTAGCTTGGGCTTCCTCACAGTATGGTAGTCTCAGGGTAGTTGGACTTTTTACATGACTGCTGACTTCCATGAGAGCAAGCTTTCTAAGAGACGTAGGCAGTGGCTGCAAGACTATTTACGACAGTTTCGGAAGCCATTCAGTATCATCCCAACTGCATGCTGTTGGTCAAAAGCAAGTTGTGCCAAAACCAGTTTGGCTCAGTGGATAGAGCGTTGGTCTGCGGACTGAAAGGTCCCAGGTTTGATTCTGGTCAGGGCCATGTTCCTTGGTTGTGGGCACATCCCCAGTGTGCAGAAGGCAGCTGATCGATGAGTCTCTCTCACTCTCTTCCTTTCTGTAAAAAATCAATAATATACATATATATGTGTGTGTGTGTGTGTGTATATATATATATATATATATATATATACACATATATAAATAAAGCAAGTCATATATATATATAGCTCATTCAAGAAGACTACAGAAGGCACAATACTAGGAGTTGTAGAGATGTGTGTAACTTTTTAAAAAAATCTTTTTGAAGTGTTTATTGACTGTTTATAAACCATGAAGTTAATTCTCAAGTGGCTATGAATGCTTCTTATTTATTGCAGGAAAATCCTGAAGAAGGAAGAGCCAGTATTTATAAATCAGTGATCATTAATACTTCTAAGGAGATGATGTGCTTCAGTGACTATCCTATTCCAGATCATTTTCCTAACTTCATGCACAATTCCCAGGTCCTGGAGTATTTCAGGATGTATGCTAAAGCATTTGACCTTCTAAAGTATATCCGATTCAAGGTAGGGAATTTTTTGGGTACCTTTGTGTTTGAGGTTGTTTGTCAATTACATGAATAATGTGGTTTCATTCACCAGTGCTTACACATAAATATTGGTTTGATATCAATGTATCTATCCTACCTGGACAAAGATTACATCTTTGTTTTCTCTGTGCCTGAAAAATATTCACAGAAAGATCCCTCTTTTATATATTTTTGGCTGAAGCTCTGGCAACTCTCCTACCAAAATGTTTTCATTGCCTGTATTTTATACTATTTGGTTGCAATAAAACAAATGAGGGGAGGTGTTTTTCTAGTTATAGAGGGAAATTAACAGGTATGGGAACTTTAAATTCCCCTGGTTCTATAACTTGTCCAGTAATGCTTAGCCCTTTTATATTTTGCTGAAGTATTTTCCAGTGCATTATTTTATATAATCACAACAACGCAGGGAAGTGAAGTGATTATTGGGAAATTATTAAGAAAGCAAAAAAGTTAACTCTGGTGAAAACTTGAATTCTAGTCTTTGTTCTATTATTAATCATCTTGTGACCTCAGACAAGTTCCTAAACTTGCACGTGTCTTAATTTTCTTTTCTGTAAAACAAGATGATTATACTAGGTCACTTAAATGGTTTCTTCCTGCTATAAAGTCTTCCATACTTTTCTATAGTTTTTAGCCATGACCGTAGAAGAACAGACATTTCTGACAGCTAGCACAACAAGCCTGAATCTTCCACCTTTTTTCCCTTGGATGAAAATGCTGCCAGAGGAGAACATGAGTGGGAACTATCCGTTGTTTGTTGGGTTCTTGGGGCTCGGCTGAAATAAAAATTTTCAGAAGCTCGTATGGGAGGATGAGTGGTGGCAGTAGATTGTATTAGCATAGAATCACATTCCTCTGGTTCCAATGCCCCATTTCCCCAAAACCAGTTCCAGAAGAGGGGCAGCTGGAAGTCCATCAGAGCTAGAAAGAGGGTCAGCATCCAGAGTTTCCCTTCTGTGTTACAGCTGGTCTGGTTCAGCATCCAGATAGACTGCAGTCAATTAGTCTGTGTGTGGAGTTGGGCCATGTGGGTGAAAGGTAGCTCAGCCCAACACCAGCAGGAGTGCCAAGAGGACTAAGGCTACGAGAGAGAGAGAGAGAGAGAGAGAGAGAGAGAGAGAGAGAGAGAGAGAGAGAGAGAGAGAGAGAGAGAGAGAGAGAGAGAAAACACACACACACACACACAGAGAACAGAGAGAGAGAGAGAGAGAGAGAGAGAGAGAGAGAGAGAGAGAGAGAGAGAGAGAGAGAGAGAGAGAACACAGAGTGAGCCAAGTGTCAGTTCTTTGTTTAGAAGTTTAAATATTTTAGGTTTTGTGCACACTTCAGTGGCCATGCTCATCCTGGCCAGTTACCTGTTTCCAGGTGTGATTATGGGCAAGCATTTCCCACATCACTCAGACCCTACTGGGCACATGTCTAAACTGCCTTTGTCTAGTCCCTTCCCCCATCAATGAGTGGGGAGCAGATTTGGACCTTTTAAATGTAGCTTTTTGGCATAGCTGTATAAATGGCACGCCTATATCTTTTGGTCTCCCCTTTCACCTCTTTTCTGTTAAATAATAACCAAATTATTACAACAGTATCAAAAACTCTTAGGACTGCCGAAACTGGTTTGGCTCAGTGGATAGAATGTCGGCCTGCGGACTGAAAGGTCCCAGGTTCGATTCCAGTCCTGGGCATGTATCTTGGTTTCAGGCACATCCCCAGTAGGAAGTGTGCAGGAGGCAGCTGATCAATGTTTGTCTCTTATTGATGTTTCTGACTCTCTCTCCCTCTCCCTTCCTCTCTGAAAAAAATTCAATAAAATATATATATATATATTTAAAACCCTTAGGATTTATGCTCTTAACAACTTTCAAATGCTAGTATACCATACAGCAATGTTAGGTATAGTTACATGTAGTACATTGCATCCCTTGTACTTATTTATCTTATAACTGGAAGTTTGTACCTTTTGACCACCTTGATTCAATTCCCCTATCCCTACCTCCCTTCTACTTTCTGGTAAATCATGCCTTTTTCTGTTTAATAACAATAATAAAACATTCAGTGACATCTTCCAAAGTAAGTTGTTTCCAGCCCAATGGTATTTCTCTTCACTTGTTTAAATACTTACTGAACATGTTTGTTACCATTCTAAGTAGTGAAGATACAAAAACAAAAATAAAACAAAACCCAGTGATTTCATAGTCTAGAGAAATAGAAAAATGAAGAAAAATTTTATTATAAACCTAAGTAATAAAAACAAAAAATATTGACCTTAAACAAAAAGTTAGCCAGATATTTCTCCAGCAAAATGGGTTTATTCAGGTACAACAAAGTGTTGCAATCTGGAACAGGCAACCATGGTGGGCCACATGCAAGCCTGCTGAGAGAAGAGAGAGAGAGAGAGAGAGAGAGAGAGAGAGAGAGAGAGAGAGAGAGAGAGAGAGAATTCTTTTATAGAGGGGAAGAAGAAATTGGGAGGGCAGTTATAAAGAGTTCTCCCTTTTATGCTTCATGATTGACATAGGGCATGACAGATCCCCTCCCCCCACTTCCCACTTCATTTTGAGTGAGGTTTCTATTTACTTTTTTTTTTAAGTGATAAATGCTATAGAGATTTACATACAGCACCTCAGAGGAGGGATGCTTAACTCATCTGGGCATCAGTCATCAGGCACCAGGGAAGTTTTCCTAGAGGAGATAATTAAAGGCTGAAGGGTGAGTAGGAATCAGTCAAATGAAGAAGGTATAAAAACGATGATCCAGACAGAGGCACCAGCGTGTGTAAAAGCAAGAACTGTAAGTAGTGCAAGAAGGCTAGAGCATAAAGATGTCATGTCTCTATTAGACATTATGGTCATAGACCCTAGAAGCACATAGGAATACATTCTTAATGTTTCTTTAGGCTGGGTAGATTAATATCTATCTATCTATTTATTTTTGTTATTTTATTTTAATTTTTTAAGTTTTTTTTTTATTAAATTATTATCTGTGTACATATTTTAACAATGCCCTCCCCTCCCATACCTACCCTCCCTCCCCAGAGTTTTATGTCCATTGGTTGTACTTATATGCATGAATACGAGTCCTTCGGTTGATCTCCTATCTCCTTATTTAAAAGCAACAAATTAATACCACTTACTATCCCATTTCACAACTTCTTCTTTTATAGTTATGTGTTGAGATAGGCATTTATGGGAGCCACTGAGATGTTTTTCTACTCTACTAAGAATGGGAGCCCTCTAGCTCAGCACAAGTTTAACACATGGGGTAAGAAGACATCAGAGAGCCTTAGGATGTTTGCGGGTCAGGGGAGGAGTAGGCATTTATTGCAGAGAGTATCTTAGGAGAAGTCTAAGCTTTAGTCAAGTATTGCATTGCCTCAGGGTAGTGATTTTCAGCCTTTTCACCTCCTGGCACATGTACTAATTACTAAAATTCTGCAGCACCCCCCCCAAAAAAAAAAAAACAACAACACACAAACATTTTGTTTTTGCCAATCTGACAAGAAGTAGGTATAATTTAAATTCATTCACACCAGATGGCTCTTGTTGTGCTGGCTGTTGTCATTTTTCTTTTATTTGACAGTCTCAGGGAAAAGAGGTCAGTGCCTCTGACTAAATAGTCAGGTACTGCATGTTTAAAAAATGCTTGCAGCACACCACTTGAAAAATCACTGCCTTAGGGGATAATCCAAGAGACCTAATAATCTGCACTTTTCTAGAAGCGGAGAAGAGTACGTCATTAGCCTGCCAACTCTATTTTATTTAGCCTCTCTCATGGAAGTTTTCTCACTCTGGCCACATCTCACAAAAATGTTCTCACTGGTGGAATATGGACATTGAATATCCCTGCATGAGCCTTCTTGTGTGATATCAGCCCTTTGTGTCACACTCCACAAGGAGAGTCATGTCAGGAGAGATGTCCGCTGTAGAGGCTGTGGTTACCATCCCCTGTTGCTATCACTTTCCTTTTCAGACTGCTGTGTGCAGTGTAAAAAAGCGGCCTGATTTCTCCACTTCAGGCCAGTGGGAGGTGGTCACGGAATGTGAAGGGAAAAAGGAGATGAATGTCTTCGATGGACTCATGGTTTGCACCGGCCATCATACCAATGCTCACTTACCCTTGGGAAGCTTCCCTGGTGAGTAGCCTACCAGGAAGAAAGAACCTGGACCATACCTGTGACCTCGTCCCTGAGGAATGGGGGGGATTTCGTTCTGAGTGATTCTGACCTTGAGGTGAAATGAGGCTTATCCTAATCCTGTATATCCTCCTAAAAGATGTTGGGAGGTAGAGATAATGGTAATTTGGAGACTAGGGGAAAGTTAAAAGGTGCTATACAGTATATTAAGTTCCACAATGACTTTAGTTTTTCTAAGAATCCAAAGAAAAAAAGGTGGAGTTGATGTGTATTAATTAGGTTGAATAAGGATTTCAACAATCAAGGAAACAAACAGAAATACTGAGTTAATAAGGAAGAAATTAAAGCTTAAGGAAAGAATTTATTACCGTTTGGGGCCTGGATTTTTAGGCTCAAGAGCAGTCTATGTATATAAAAATATATAGTCCAATTGAAATGGGAGTGGGTATTTAAAGAGGATGAAAAAACAAAAGAGAATGGAGGTTTTCTGAAGCCATTTGTATATCTGAGTCTAAAAATCCAAAATATAACCATCCCGAGGGAAGCAGACTATTTATGATACAGAAGTCACAAGGTTCTGCCTTGAGGCTATGGGGGGAGGAGGGGAAATAGGCAAAAATATTCAGACAAGCAAGTGTGCAACTGAGTAAAGGGAGGACGTGTAAAGAGTATATATATATGTGTGTGTGTGTATATATATATATATATATATATATATATACACTCTGCAAAGAAAATTGTCAAATGATATCAGATAAACTATCACCTGATAATTATTTTCCCTTATCTTTCAGGAATTGAGAAGTTCAAAGGACAGTACTTCCATAGTCGAGATTATAAGAATCCAGAGAGTTTCACTGGAAAAAGAGTCATTGTAATTGGCATTGGGAATTCTGGAGGCGACCTGGCTGTGGAGATTAGCCACACAGCCAAGCAGGTTTGAATCAGCAAATTATTTACTTTGCTTCTCCAAGAAAGCTGCAGGTGGACTCAACAGAGTATGGATACCTGTATATAGCCCATCAGTGCCGATGGCAAGTGTAGGGCTTGGTTTCATTGCCTTGGTTGGCAACATTATGATTGATGATATGATGAAGCCAAGGTTGCCAGTTAGATTCCCATCATTCGATTGGCCTCACTCTAAGGAATTAGTTCATGACCAGGACTGTGGTCTTAATCCCAATCAGCTGTCTCTTCATAGTGTGCCTCTGGCATTGAAGAAGACCAAATGATTGATGGGAGAGCTGATCAGGAGGCAGCACTCAGGAGTGTGGATCTTTGGTTGGCCAGAAGTTCCATGCTCTTATGTGAAGGAAAGCGCACTGGGTCACTGAAAGCTTTTTACTCAGAGGAGGGTGGGGGACTTTTCCTCTTTACTCCCCAACTGGGGGGGAGGGGGGAAAGCACTCAAATCTTTCAAAAGACAACATGCTTATCAGTTTGAAAGTGTACACACTGTGGCACCTGAAGGCAGCTTGCTCCAGCCTTTGCATACAATTGGGCAACACGGAATGCTATTTTCTCTAAAGCAGTGTTTCCCAAAGTGTGGTATGCGTACCCCCAGGGGTACGGGAAGAGTTTGGTGGGGATATGCGTGGGAATATGCACTGCACCGTGCTTAGCTGCGCCTAATTCTACGTTCTCATGAGTACGAGGGGTACTCAGCGTTACAGAAATTATAGAAGGGGTACACATATGTCAAAAGATTGGGAAACACTGCAAGCAATTTCTGTGTCCTTGAGGTTTTCTTATTTGTTTGTTTTCATCATAGATTTTTTGTTTGTTTGTTTGTTTTCATCAGATTTTGAACTGGGAAGAAAGTGTCATTATTATAAATTCCTAGAAAAAGACATGTCATTTTTATGTTTTGTTATTCATGTCTTTATTGAATCATAACTGTCAGCAATAGTTAAATATCTGGTTGTTCTTCCAATAACTTTAATTAAGGTGTGCTTCCCCACAAATATGTTTAAAAATTTTTTAATATATATATATATTTTTTATTGATTTCAGAGAGAAAGGGAGAGGAAGAGAGAGAGAGAGGAACGCCAATCAGCTGCCTCCTGCATGCCCCAAGCCTGCAACCCGGACATGTGCCCTAATGGTAATTGAACTGGTGATCTCTTGGTTCATGGGTCAATGCTCAAGCCCAGCTTGGTTTAAATTATTTTTTTTAATAGAAGTTTAATGCTACAACTTGGTTACATGACCTATACTCAGAAACTCCATTCTCAGTCCTATCTCCATTTATCACCACAAAAGTGATTTCAGATGCTCCATGAATTAATTCAACAGCATCTATCAGGAAATAGCTATATAAACAAGAAAGGGTAAAAATGTGTGTGGGTATTATGATAAAAAGAATTTATGAGGTATGTAGTGGGGATCCAAAGCATGAGCCTTCTTTAATATCATTGACTTGTCCAATGGTCAGTTATAAGGGAACTAGGGGCCTTACATATAATGAGAAACTGTAAATTGCCGAGGAACAAAGCAACCCACTTGGATGGAGATAAGGTAGTTGTGTCTGAGAGAGCCTGGGAAAACAAATGGCAAAACAATGTCTGCCTAGCAGGGACAGCACTGTCACACCAGTAAAGGAAGTCAAAGAAACTCAATTGCTGGATATGACTCTTTGCTTTACATATTAAATTGTACTTATGAAAGATGGTTTGTAAATCAAACATCCTATATAATAAAAGTCTAATATGCAAATCGATTGGTCGCTATGATGCACACTGACCACCAAGGGGCAGAAGCTTAACCCAGAAGCTGCCCACAGCCCACAGGCCCTAGGCCAGCCAAGGCAGGTGTCAGCAGGGGCCCTCGGACTGCCCCACAAGTTGCCCCACAAATTGGCCCTGATCACAGGCCAGGGCTAGGGACCCTACATGGGCACAGATTTTGTGCACCAAGCCTCTAGTTTTAAATAAAACTATAAATGTCAAGAGTATCAAGGGCAGTTTGTTATAAGAATTTTTGTGCTATAATGCTTTTGTGAAGAGGAAACATTCTTTTTTTTCTCATTTATTTTTTGTAAAGTAGGTTTCTATTGATTTTAGAGAGGAAGGGAGAGGAAGAGAAAGATAGGAATTTCAATGATAAGAGAACCATCCATTCCCCCTCCTGCATTCCCCTTACTGGCTAGGGCTTGATCAGGATTTTAAAAATGAATAGGTTTTAAAGAATTAAGTGATAGGGGCTTTTCAAGGAGGCATGGTGACAGTAAACGGAAATGCAGGGGTGGTGAAGAGCAAGACATATTCTTGGTCAGTGACTATATCAATTTAATTGTAAGCTTAGTATCTGAGAAGGAAAATAGCAGGAAATAGAAAAAAGATTGTGCAGGCACTGAAAAGCCAGACTAATGAGTTTAAACTTACTCTTGAGGAAAACAGGGTACTGTTAAAGGATGATGAATCAAAGAATGGTAAAAGCAAACAATTTTTTCCTGTGCCCTAGGTTTTCCTCAGCACCAGGAGAGGGGCTTGGATCCTGAATCGTGTAGGGGACCAAGGATATCCTTTTGATATGTTGTTCAACTCTCGGCTTACACATTTATTTTCAAAGATTGTTGGTCAATCATTAGCAAACACATATATGGAAAGAAGGATGAACCAAAGGTTTGACCACAAAATGTATGGCCTAAAGCCTAAACACAGGTATGTTCTCAGGATGGGATCAAACTCACAACCTGGGCTGTGCCCTGACCAGGAGTCAAACCTGCCACCTTTTGGTATATGGACAGCACTCCAACAGACTGAGCCATGCCAGCCAGAGCAGTACTAGTTCTTTTTATGTGATGTCCAACAACAACAAAATGGTGGCAGAGGGCAGTGCATGAATCATTCATTCATCCAACAAACATTGAGCACCTCTTACAAGCCAAGCATTATACTGGGAATGAGCATGCCGATATTAAAGACCTAATAGTAATACTAATACAAACAATAGCACCTTACCTTTTTGAGGACTTAACATGACAAGCACAGTACTAAATGAGTTCTATGCATTATCTCATTTACCCCTCACACAACAGTCCTATTGATGGGCGTTTCCCCTCCATTTTACAAACATTGATACTTAGAGGAACTATAAGAGCACACAAGCAATAAATGGCAGAGTCAAGAAGTGGATTTTACCTTAAGAACTCTAATGATGAGACTGACAATAGGATAAGATAGAGAAATGCATGGCATGCTATGGGAGCATGAAGGATGGGAATCCTCACACAGCCTAGAAAGGAGACTGAAAGCATTTTTTTAGAAGCTGATTTTAAATCCAACTTTTTCCCCCCTCCAAAATTTATTTTTCAAATGTTCAGATTTACTTCAGACAATATAGTAAGGAAAATGAGCGCCAATACCTTTCACTTAGATTCACTATATTTGCTTTCTCTCTCTCTCTCTCTCTCTCTCTCTCTCTCTCTAAATTATATCACACATAATACATACATTTTCTGAACCATTTAAATAGAAGATACTATCATCAAGACACTTTACCCTAAATTGTTCAACATGCATTACCTGAGAAAAAGGGCATTCTCCTACATAAACATAATACAATGACCATACTTGGAAAATTTAACATTGATAAAATATCATTATCTAATATATTCAAATTTACTGTTGTCCCAATAATATATATTTATAGCTTTCTTTTTTCAAATATAAAATCCTACCAGGTGTTACACCATTGCATTTAGCTGTCCTGTCTCTTTAAGTTCTCTTAATTTGAAATAATTCTCCTTTTTTAAAAAGACCCAAGCCAATTGTTCTGCAGAAAGTCTGTATGGTTTTTTGAGAAACCATACATGCACTCTCCAAATGAAACCATTCTTCCTTCACTTCTCTAACATCTTTCCTTTCAGTGACATCCAGGGTACAACTTCTGCTCTGAGATCCTGATCTGTGCCAGTATACATTAGACCTTTCCCAAATCCCATAGATAGACCAAGATGGAGGCCATTGGCATATTGTTTAACCACCTCCATCAAAATAGAATTTTACTTTCATGTTAACTGATTTTTCTCTCCCTCCCTACCCCCATGATCACTCTCCTTTCTTTATTTTTGGTCTTTCTCACTACTCACAGAGCTCTGAGCCAGCATCCAACAGTCAATGATGATCTGCCAAATCGTATAATTTCTGGGAGGGTGAAGGTGAAAGGAAATGTCAAGGAATTTACAGAGACAGCTGCCATATTTGAAGACGGCTCCAAGGAGGATGACATTGATGCCGTTATCTTCGCCACCGGCTATAGCTTTGCTTTTCCTTTCCTTGAAGATTCTGTCAGAGTAGTAAAAAACAAGATATCCCTGTATAAAAAAGTCTTCCCTCCTAACCTGGAAAAGCCAACTCTTGCATTCATAGGCTTAATCCAGCCCTTGGGTGCCATTATGCCCATTTCAGAGCTCCAAGGACGCTGGGTCACTCAAGTATTTAAAGGTAAGTAATCATGCAACTTGACAACTTAATTTCTCGTAGTATGTTTAATTATATTTATGTTATTGCTTTATTTTATTTTTTAATTAAAATTTATAATGTTGTCATAATTGCAGGGATCCCCCTTTTCACCACCCTTAACTCATTTCCACCCATCCCCTTCCCACCCCTCCTTTCCTCTTACTCTTCCTTCTTCCCATCCTCTCAAGCAATGGGAAAAAATCCTCAAGTAAAGATTAAAGAAAAATAGTAGTAGTAGTAGTATAATAATAATAATAGTAAACTGAAAACCTAAGATAAGAGGAAGATAAAAAATATGGTAAAAATATAATACGTATCTGAATAAGTAAATACTGCAAGATCAGTATCAATGAATTAAGAAAGAATTGTACCACAGAATACTGTATATGTACATAGAAGTTTTTATTTTTATTTTTGATTTTTTGCTTTTGATAAATTGGCTGCCTCTCCAAGGCAAGAAATATACCTCCTTCCCCCATAATGTTTCTAGTTAATAGAAGTAAAAGGTATGGTTGTACTACAAGAAGCAATTTGGAAATCAACTCTCAAAATATGTTTCTCAAGCATCATAAGGGACCTCTGCTTAATCTCAAATGAGGCATTTCAGCATTCCCTCATTGACTTATGAATATAAGTAATAATTCCCAAATGAGAAACCACATGGTGAAATACAGAAGTCTATTTCTTGAGTGGGGAGTTTCTGAGTCTCACAGTGTAAGAGGGACATCAGGATAAGAACGGGCCTGTGCCCAGATGAGGGCAACCGATATGAGATAGCACGTGAAACCCGTGGTGTGGGGAACTTGCGCTCTGCTGCTGATGACGATAAGATTTGAAGAAGTTATGACAGTTGTTTTCAAATATTCGAAAGCCTGTCATATAAGATTAGACTCCGTGGCTTCAAAAGGCAGAGCTAAGACCAACAGTGCAAGTTGCATGGAAATAGATTTGGGGATCAATAAAGAGAATATGTTCCAGCAACTAGAGCAGCCACGTAATTCAATCATCTCCTCAGAAGGTAATGATGTCAGCATTGAGGTTTAAGGAGGAAAGAGATAACCATTTGATGAGTGTATTTGTAAAGAGAAGGCTTGTGTACAGTAAAATATATTACCATCCAGAATTTTAAGGAGTAACACCTTATGGCTGGGTGTGACAAGATTTATCTGCATGCATGCCCTAACTGGTTTGGCTCAGTGGCTGGAGCGTCGCCTGCGGACTGAAGGGTCCCAGTTTCGATTGCGGTCAAGGGCATGTACTTTGGTTTCGGGTACATCCCCAGTAGGGGGTGTTGCAGGAGGCAGCTGACCGATGTGTCCCTCTCATTGATGTTTCTAACTCTCTATCCCTATCCCTTCCTCTCTGTAAAAAAATCAATAAAATATACATTTTTAAAAAATTATCTGCATGGCATAGTGCCTATAAATCTGGGCATAACTCTAATTCTTTAAATTTAGAGTTTGTTATATTGGCTTAAATACTATTCTACCTTTCTAGCCAGGTCCTTGATGTCAAGGACCTACTATTGGAACTGTGCATCAGTGCTTAAATTTATCTGTCAAGGTTAGGCATTATGAGTTGCCCTTAACCTTACCCCCATCCTGACCAAATAAAGTTTAGAAGGTGAGGATTATCTTCCATAGGACTATAGGCATGAAATGGGATTGAACATTATTTTTTACTTCCTTCTCCTGGGTTATAAAACCTCTTTGTTATTAAGAGTACAACTGTGGTTGTGCTCCCCTGCTCTTTTACTTTGTACTTTATTTTCCATATACTTTAAGGCCATTTATTATTTCCTTGTGTCCATACTTTATTTCTCTAATAAAGGACTATGCTAGGGAGGAACCAGGTACCGGTTGGAAGGCAGAGTTAAGCAAGTATCTTCCAAAGACAAAGGAGAATATAGAAAGCTACTGTTGTTAGTTTATATTATTATATTATGGCGGTGCTAGGATAAAGGTTTAACCTCCTGGAGTAAAGAAAACTACCCTGTATTTCTTTGAATTCTCCAGAACACAGTAATTGTTAATAGGATTATTGTTCCTACTGAGGTAGCTTTACATTTATATTTTTGTTTTTTTCTCTTTAGGGCTAAAGACATTGCCCTCAAAAAATGAAATGATGACAGAAATAGCTAAGGCTCAAGAGCAAATGGAAAAAAGGTGAGAAATTCTCCCAGGAAAATACGTGCTTCATTTTTCTATTTAATAAGAACAATATTGTACTATAGTTATCTTCAATTGTGTTAGTTTAAGATTGTATTGCACAGGAAAAGGAAATAAGTGTTTGTGACAACAGACTGAAGAAATAGTACCAAGTGGTTTAGATATGGATGGGAAAGAAGAGACAAGCTTACAAAAAGTGTTTAAAATCCTGTATGTAGGGCCTGAAAGAAATTGTCAAGTAGGAAAAGACACTTGGAGAGAAAATCAGGCCTATGGTTTCTGGCACTATTATCTGAAATGCTGCAGAGCCATCAAAGACAGGAAGAGTGACAAAGAACTGAGTAATAAATACGGTCAAATTCCAATCCACTGGTAGGCTTACAAATCTGTAGAGGTCACTGTTCACACTGGCTCCTGGTGTGAATAGTCTGTGTGATATGAAAAGGTGGTAGCATCAACCAGCTGCTCAGTGCTTGGGTGGACACAGTAATTTAGCAATCTGAATTTCAGAACTGAGCTTATTGTGATTTGGACCAAGTGAAAGTTGATGGTAAGTTCCTAAAATTGTGTGCTAAAGTCAGAGGCACAATCATCCAAGCCTAAAGATGGAGTTTTTGTGGAATTGGTTATATTAGCGTACCTCTTCCCTACCTTGGAGGAAGAGAAAGTTTTTATTTAACCCTGGAACCCTTTCCAGGTCCTCTAGTTTCCTCTTTCCTTTCACTGCCAAATGTCTGCCATAAATATTGATATGCTCAATTCTCATCCTTTTCTCTCTCTGAAGGCCCCTGTATTGTAACTCCTTACTACGGCTCTCCTGATAGTCAGTCATCCATGCCCATCTTCATTTTCCTCCTGGAGTTTGACACTTTTAAATATCTCATCCTTCTTGGAGTGCTTTCTTTCCTTGTTTTTCTGGGACTAATATACCTTATTTCAATGTTCCTGTTCCCTTTACTTTGGCTTATTTTTGTCTGGCCACCTGACTGAGCAGTCCCTATGGATATAATTCACCCTTTATTGACAGTCCATTAGGCACATACACTAGATGGTTTATATGTATGAATTTATTTATTCCTCATAACAACCCTACAAGGCAGGTACTAGTGAATCTCTTTGTGAAAGATGCATGAATACTACAGCTTGCAAACCAGGATAGGATAAATGTATGTCTATAAATCCTTGAGCAAACATGGCATCCATAAAGGAGAGCTCCCAAATTCTGTCCTGTCTTACCTTCTTCTCTTCTAAACTTTAGAATCTGCCCGTTCCTGTGGAATTTTATTTTATCAGTTCTACTTCAGATTTATCTTCTATTTTTTTTTCCTGTCCTTGTTTTGGATTCTCCTAATAAGCCCATCTAATTTCAATTAATTTGACATGGCTTTTTCTCTTACTTCCTTTCTGTCCCACTGTTTTTGTTTTATTTTTATTCTAGAAAAAAAAAAAAAGAAAAGAAAAGAAAGTAAGTTACCAGTTAGCTCTCTAAATCTCAATCCAATCACACAGGTATCATCATTACCACATTTCTCCTCTAAAAATCCCTTTTAGCTTTTCAAATCTGCATTTGGTGTAATCATCCCATCTATCTCCATTTGGAGCGTTACTTCCTCTTGTGGAATAAGTCATTCCCCCCACCCCCTTTCAAGATTCTGAATTAACAATGGCCATCCAAAGTTGCGCTCTGTGGACCCCATTACCACTGCCCTCGTAAAACAGTTGAGTCCCAAGCTTCAGAATGTTTATGATGGGTTCTCTCTTTCTGATAAGATCAGAGTCCCCTGTATCTGGAACTGCTATACTTGCCTTTCTCTATCCATCCTTGTTTTCCACAACATTCCTCCTCTACTGTAGGTAGTGCCTACAGATATTTTATACTCACATCCTACTCTCATTCCTGCTTAATTCCTTCACTCTGCTGCCCCCCTGATTTGCAATACTTTCCTCTTTGTTGTCAGCTTGTTTGTGTCTTCCACATCCTTCAAGGACATATTATAGCTCTATTTTAATTACCCTCTTCTACATTTCTACTTAGCAGTCTAAGATCACATGATTTTCCAAAACTCTTCTATTCTATTCTATGTTTCACGTGTATCTATCTTCTATTCTTCTCCTTAAGGATAGAGACAATATCTTATCTTTCTTCTCTATTTTCCATATTTCCTAGACCAGTGGTCAGCAAATCATGGCTCTCGAGCCACATGCAACTCTTTGGCCCCTTGAGTGTGGCTCTCCCACAAAATACCATGGCCTGGGAGAGGCTATTTTGAACAAGTGGCGTTAGGAGAAGTTTAAGTTTAAAAAAATTTGGCTCTCAAAAGAAATTTCAATAGTTGTACTGTTGATATTTGGCTCTGTTGAATAATGAGTTTGCCAACCACCAGTAGGCCAAAGAGCCGCAGATGGCTCGCAAGCAGCAATTTGCCGACCACTGTCCTAGACCAATATTGAACTGCTAACAGACACTTAGAAAGTGCTGATTAATTGACTGATTGATTGGTTGACTGACTAAATTATTGATAGGCCATGGCTTTTGTCTTCTCTGCTTCAGGTATGTGGAGAGCCAGCGCCATACCATTCAGGCAGACTATGTAGACACCATGGAAGAGCTTGCTGATCTGGTGGGCGTCAGGCCCAATCTGCTGTCTCTAGCTTTTGCCGACCCCAAATTGGCATGGCACTTATTAATGGGACCTTGTACTCCAATCCAGTATCGTCTACAGGGTCCTGGAAAGTGGGATGGAGCTCGAAAAGCCATCCTCACCACAGAAGATCGTATCAGGAAGCCTATGATGACAAGAGAGGTTGAAAGCAGCGATTCCATGACTTCAATAATAACAATGGCCAGGTTTATGCTAGCCATTGTTATCTTTGCTGTAATGATAACCTATTTTTAGCTGGATCTAGAGATGCCTTTAGAATCTGACAAGATTGAACACCTCTTGAGTTTCACCAAAAATCTTTTATTTCTCTTTCCAAAGCATTAATCCTCTTTCCCCTACAAGGCAATTCCAGCTTTTCATTCATATTGACTTATCTCCCTTCTTCTTAAGACCCATCATGTTTTCCTTCCAGCAATCCCTGGTCTGTAAGCTCTGATACTCTGTTAGTCTTTTTATGTCCTTAGCAGAGTTATTACATCATAGGTGCTTAATAAATGTTTGTCGTTATCAAATATTATGGTAGGGAGCAGAAGTCAATATCTGTATAAGAAATGGGTGATTCCATGTAACTCAGTTTCTGATAGGATTTAGTTTTCTATTAAAAGCTCAATTTTTAGTTTTTAATATTGAAATTAAATGTGTTTCCTGAGGGATAAAAAGAAATAACAGTCTTATAACAGTTGTGTATACCTAAGATATATACATACTTAAACATTTTGTCTCATTAGCTGTTCACTAGTGTATCTGATATCTGGTCATTCTGACTCTTTTTCCCTCAGTAAAAGGTCTTTATTATCTCAATGAAGGAACTACCTTAAACTTTCTAAGATTATGGGTCATTCTAATAATCTAACATTTGTAGAAAGTTCAACCAGGAGACCGGAAGTTCTATTGCTCTCTATGATGTGCGCTAACCACCAGGGGGAAGCGCAGAATGAAGGAAGGCCGGGGCCAGCAGCCAGCAGCAGGGGAAGGAAGGCCCTGGCTGGCAGTCAGAAGGCCCCAATTGGCCCTGATCACTAGCTAGGCCTAGGGATCCTACCTGTGCATGAATTTCATGCATCAGGCCTCTAGTGTTTTAAGAAATTAATAAGAGGAAGAATACACAAATCTCCAACCCAGAATTCCGAATAACTTATGTAGATACTCTGCCTTTGTCAGACTATATATCACTTGGTTCTCTCACCTGTTTCCTTCTTGAACTAGTAAATTCCGTGGAGGAAGATACTTTGTAAGTAATCTGTTTGTTGTTAGTGCTGCCTAAAACATATGACCTGAGTACGTTAATGACTACTTAATTGCATAAGTAAATTTGACATAAGTTTAAATGTATTTTTAAAGGATCAAATAATATAGTGAATGTATCTCAACATAAATATACACGTACATACAAAAGTATTATTAAGGAGAGTAAGGAGTGCTTAAATTTTGAAATGTTCTAGAAAACAGGGCAAGCCTGTTCTAGAAAATACTCTGGAATAGATCATTGATCTGACTCAGAATGTCATCTCTAATGTCCTGTTTGGTTTGAAACACAAATGTATATCCTGTCTGTAATTTACAGGCATACCTTAGAGATATTGTGATTTCAGTTCCAGACCACCATAATAAAACAAGTAGTGCAAGTAAAAACAAGTAAAGAGAGTTTTAGTCATTTTGCTGGTGGAGGGTCTTGCCTTCAATTAAAAAAAAAATGCAACACTCTGAGACGCAGTCAAGCAAAGCACAATAAAATGAAGGATTCCATAAATTCTAAAGCACACATCTACCACTCCTCCTTGCCTGTGAAAGTCAGTATCTTAGCACAAGAAAGGAGGAGTGGTAGACGTCTTCCTTGGTCCTCATAGCTGTTGATCCCTGCTTTTTCAAATTTCCACCTTTAAAAAAAACAAAACATATATTTTACTGATTTTTTTTACAGAGGAAGGGAGAGGAATAGTTAGAAACATCAATCAGCTGTCCCCTACACACTCCCCACTGGGTATGTGCCCGCAACCAAGGTATATGCCCTTGACCGGAATTAAACCTGGGACCCTTGAGTCTGCAGGCTGACACTCTATCCACTGAGCCAAACTGGTTAAGGCAAATGCCCACCTTGAAGCATCCAATACCTCTAGCTGATTAACACCCAGGCATATTTCTATTAGTTTCCAGCAGGTGGAGCTGAATCACAAGGTTTTTAGCTCTGAGATCTCAGCATCGTCTTCCTTGACCTCTGGTCAGTGTAGCCAGGATGCCTTGGGGTGGGCAGGGGAATCCCTACACTCATTCTTTGTTGTTTTATACTCGTTTTTGTTGTTGTTTTACTCTCAGTAAAGGAGACCTCGGTCCTCTGCCCAGGTCCTCCCTGTGTTCTGGTTAAAGAATGTACCCGTGCTTAGGGAGGAATGTGATTCTGCAGTATTAGACCTTGGGCACGTTTCCTTGGGCACCAGCTAATGTGGTCTACAGCCCAACATCAAGGGCAAAGGGAGGCAATCTCTGGAAGGCTAAGGGCAGGCGGCCAGGCTTTGTGGCCTTGCTTCACTGTCTGAATTGCCAACAGCCCGACGACTGTGGCCGCTCTCCTTTGCTGTGTTTTTGCCCACGTCTCTGGGCTCAGCTGCAGCTACTGCTGCACATTCCTGCAGGAGTGTCCATGCAGTCTGTGCTCCTCCCAGATGAATGGTGTGTCAGCGACAACCAGACTCCTCCCTCCCTGGATGAGGTCCTGGCTGCTGCGCTGTGTTTCTGGCTCGCATTGTCAGTGTAGATAGCTAGTTATTGATATGAGGAAGATAGCTAGTTATTAATACACGGAGAAATGCAAAGGGGAACTAAAATATCTTAGTAAACTGGGAAGCAGGAGCAGGTAACAGAGCAGAATTCCATCTAGTTTAGTTGCAAACACTCATTCACACACTCCAGAGAACTGCCTCCCCGCCTTCTCCCCTGGTGCCCCCTACCCCCACCCCAATCAGGAGACATAATTCTCCGAACAGGATACTAAAAGCTAGCCTGGAAACAATAAAAAAGGTAATAATGTTGGACAGAGTGAACAAAGGACATGAGCCCCCAATAAAATTTACTGGGAAGAGTGCCCAATCCAGGCCTGGGGAAAGTTAGGAATTTGGGTTGGATAATTTAGTTCTTTGTTTTGTTTTTTGTTTTTTTGTTTTTTAATATATTTTATTGATTTTTTACAGAGAGAAAGGGAGAGAGACAGAGTTAGAAACATCGATGAGAGAGAGTCATTGATCAGCTGCCTCTTGTATATCCCCCACTGGGGATATGCCCGCAACCAAGGTACATGCCCCTGACCGGAATCGAACCCAGGACCCTTCAGTCCCCAAGCCAACGCTCTATCCATTGAGCCAAACCAGTTTCGGCTAGTTCTTTGTTTTTTACCTGAACCTAGAAGATATATGGAGGATTAATAGGAACTTTGTGGCAGTTCTTTAGAGCCTGCCCACCCCCTGTCCCCTAAGGTGTATTAATTCCAATTCTACGGGATGAAGTCCAGATTTTGCATTTGGAACAATCTCTTAGCTTAGGTGGTCTGTGTAACACGTGTTGAGTGACAAGGGCTGCTAGTAGGGAATGAGACACCCATATAATTATAATGCAAAGTAAGAATTGTTAAATACCATTCATTATCAGTGAAAGCCTGGATGTGTCCCAAACCCAGGACTGTCTTTGCCCTCTTCTGCCCACTATTTTATTCCTCGGTTGTTTTTGTTGTTGCTCTCTTTCTTGGATTTCATTTCTTCTGGGGTTTGCTCATTGCATACACTGTTTCTTAGCTTGGAATAGCTTCTTCCCCCTTCTTTTTAGACCGGCAATTCACTAACTTAAGATTATCTCCTCATCACTCCTTCCCCGGGCCCCCAAGCTGACTGCCCCCTGCAGCACTTAGTTTCAACTTCATGTCCTCTTGCCGTCAGTGGGAAGCCCGGGCTCCTATTCCCTCTAGGGTCGCCTACGGACAAGAAACCGTTATTTGGCGAAACTGAGGCCAGGGGGAGGGGCCGGGAAGAAAGCACCGTTCCTCCGGGTACCGAGCACGGGAGGGGACCGGACCCCCGCACGCGGGGCCCGGACTCAGCGAGCCGTTCCCCAGGGCGATCCTGCGGGCGGAGGCCCGGCCCGGCCCCGGTGGACTGCGGACGGCGGCCCCGCCCGACACCGGAGGCTGCGCGCCGGGCTGTCACCATCGAGGCGGCGGCGCTAGAGAGGCCGGCGGGCCCGGGCACGGCGCGGCCGCAGGGAACGCGCGCGGGGCGGGCGGGCTGTGTCCATTTTAGGAGGAAACCCGGATTGCTACCCGGGCGCGGCTTCAATTTTCAATAACTTTATTGGTGGCCTCATCCTCAAGAACACCCCCCCTCCCCCCATCGCGCCGGCGGGAGGTGATGGTCGAGGTGCGGGCGTGAGCGCGGGGACGCCTGGGAGTTCCCGGACGCGGGATTCCCGGTCGGCGCGCGGCGGAGGCGCACGGGCGGGGTCCGGGCGTTCCCGGAGGCCCCGGAGGGGAGCGACCTCCTCCCGGCGGCTTCCCCGCGGCTGGCGGCGGGGATTCCCTGAACCGGAACCCCCGGCGCAGGGGCGGGGCCGGAGGTGCCCCTGACGCGCCGCCGCCGGCGGGGGGTTCCCCGCTCCGTGCGGTTCCCACGGCAGGTGGCCCCGGCGCGAGCCGCAGCCATGGGCAACACCGCCAGCGACCGGGCGGCCGGCGAGCGCCACGGCGCCAAGGCGGCGCGCGCGGAGGGCGCCGGCGGCCCGGGCCCCGGCAAGGAGCACAAGATCATGGTGGGCAGCACCGACGACCCCAGCGTCTTCAGCCTGCCCGACTCCAAGGTGAGCGGACCCGGCGGGCGGCGAGACTGCGGAGGCCTGGGCGTCAGGGCTCCTCCTCCTCCTCCTCCTCCTCCTCCTCCTCCCTTTCTGGGTTCTTATCCCACTGATCCAGGTTACGGGTTTTGTGAATTCACGGGATTTTTCGGGGATGGAGATGTTGATGGCAATTGCAGTGCTGCCTCCAACTAGAAGCGAGAATTGCTTGTTTTCCGACCAGTCTGTGGTCGGCCACGTGTTCAGGATGACTGGGGGCCCCCCCGCCCCCTTATCTTTGGTTCTCCTAGGCAGGAAGGGGTCCTCTTCCAAAGTATTGATGACTACTGGTATAGGTTGAAAAGCGCTGGTGGAAAACTTCCGTTCCTCACATGTGCCCCGAGGAGGTTAAATGGATGTTTCCCCTGACAACTTGGTGTGTGTCCGTATCGTGTTTACGCTTCTAGGAGCTCAGCATTTCCGATCCCTGCCCCTTCGGCTTGGCTGTGAGTGGCAGCCGCTGGCTTGTGCGAATACTTTCTCCCGGCAGTGGGGATCAAAAGAAGGAAATCGTTGCCCCATACTCCGGCTCTCTGCAGTGACCGAGGCGGTGCTGCTCTCATGCCCAGCTGCTCCTCAAGTGGCAGAGCAAATGATGCCAGGATTCCTCCCATTTCCCGGGAGTACTTCCTAAAGCTGGCATGGCTAACAAGGACCACCCACGGCTGCTCCGGAGAACTTGCTCTCAGTTCCCAAGGTCTTTCAGGAAAGCAGTAACTTGTGTTCGCTCTACAGACAGGACAGATGGAGCTGTCAGCAATATGATTACCATCCGAATGCTTCTAATCACTTTCAGAGCTGTCAGAGTTAAATGCATTAAGGCCAACTGGATGAAGTAAAAAAATATTAATAAAAATTTAAAAATGAAGGGACTGAGGAGTTTGGAGTGTGTTTGATGTTTCTTATTTCTTCAACAAAGGAATAGAGGATGGTTTGCCTCGTTGGTATCACATAGAATTTGGTTGTTTCCTCGGATCCCAACTGAGAACGTAATCAGAGAAAGGAGGACTGAGGATGATTCAAGGGATCGTTTCTTGGGGTTTCTTTTCTGTTCCTTTCTTCTCCCACTTCCGGGCTCCTTCCTCATCATTGGGGCTGCCCATCCAGCCATCTGAATTTACTTATTCAAGGTTTCTCAAGGTGAACTACCTCACTGTGTTTTTTTCCATTTTCCTACATTGATGACTCAGGAATTAAGAATAGTGTTTTTGTCAAACTGTGACTGCGGTAATCGGTGTCCTGGATGGAAGCCAGGTTGCTCTGTCTGAAAATGGAGCCTTGTTTTGGATCATTCTTTCTCTTCCCTCAGTCTTGCCATTTGTGAAATGAGAAAATTGGTTCAGATCATTCCTCAGATCTCTTCCAAATCCAAAGTTTTATCGTTCTCAAATTACTATCTTCTTCCCCCAATGTTTTACTTGAACATTTCAAACTGTAATTCTAATTGTCTCTTTCCCTGGTGCCTGTGCTGACAACTTAACTTGGCGCAAACAGTCTTTCTGATAGTCAGCAGTACTCATATCTCCCACAGAAATGTCATGTCATACATGGAAGGGCTTTCTTCCAAAGCTGGGCATATTAATAGTTTGTAGCTTTCAAATTCTAAATCGAAAATCATAAAAGTAACTGATAGAAACAGTGGCAGTGGGGCCTACATTGCTTTGAATGCCAGTTCTCAATTCTTTTTGCACATTAAAATCGCCTGACATTTGTTTAAACACTTTATGGAAACATTTTCCATGTTTTGAAGTTTAGGAAGAATAGTGTAATGAATTCCTAAATACCTGTCACGCAGTTTAAACAATTATCAGATCGTGAATGAATTTATATAACTATACCCATTCACTCTCCCCATCAATTATTTTGAAGCAAATTCCAGACATGTCAGATGGTATTTTATTTATTTTAGAAAATGAGGGGTTTTTTTTTCTTTGTTTAACATTATTATATGGGAAACTTAAAGATTCCCAGGCCCTCTATCTGAATCAGAATCTGGGGATAATTCTTAGACATATATAGACATTTTGTAATTCTAATTGCAGCTTGTCAGACAAGAGTGCATTGCTTTAAGAATATGGAGACCAGATTTTCTCTTAAACCAGTTATATAATGTGAAACTGCCTTCATTTCTCTTTCCTGTTTACTTCAGATTATACTGCTACTGGTGTCTCAGTGCAGTTTTGTGGAAGATCGAGAGGCAATATGAAGGGTAGACTACCACAGCCATTTGAAAATAAAGCCCAAATGAATAAGCTAGCCCTTTAAAAAAACAAAAACATTATTTTATTTGGTAGCCTTTTTTTAAAAATATGTTTTATTGATTCTAAAGAGAAAGGAAGGAAGCGGGAGAGACAGAGAAACATCAGTGTGAGAGAGAAACATTGATTGGCTGCCTCCTGCACATACCCCAACTAGAGATGGAGCCTGCAGCCTGGGCATGTGCCCTGACCAGGAATCCATCATGCAGCCTTTCAGTGCATGGGATGATGCCCAACCAACTGAGTCACCTGGCCGAGGCTATTTGGTAATCTTTTCACTCGATACTGTAAGGTCTTATTTCTCTATATACCAACGTCATTTAAGCCTATGGAAAGTGGGGCTCGGCAAACTTTTTCCTGTAAAGGGCCAGAGAATAAACAATTTAGACTTTGCAGTCCATATAGTCAGTCTCTCACAACTACCCATTTCTGCCACTGTAGCATGAAAACAGCTGAGATACTAAGTAAATGAATGAGCGTGCTATTTTCCAATAAAACTTAATTTATAAACCATCTGGCTTACTGGCCAGTTTGCCAACTCTTCTTCTAAAGGATGGTATGTGGAGAGACCGTTCTAAGACACATCCTCTACCTACATCCAGCTAGATCCTGGCCGGAACAGAGATTGCTTCCTGTAAATCCCCTCGGAGATTGTTTGATTGACCTCTCCCGTATGTCCCAGGTGTGCTGCTTCCTAGAACAAGCCCTTGTCCTGCCCTGGGCAGGCGCTAAGACTATTCCCCCTTATTTAGGGCAGCGCCTGCCCCAGTGCTCCTATCCATTTCGCTCTGTTCTGTATATTTCTTCAGTGCCTGCTGCAGGGCTTGGAGTTTATCCACATTATCTTGCTGAAGCCCAAGATGAACCTCATGTAAGTTCCCTTAATAAACTCTGATGTAATGATGGCATTGTCAACCCCTTCCTTCGGTCTCTCAGTCCCAGGGAATTTTCCAACATGGTCATGAAAAGAAACTAAGTAAGGAGTCAATATTTTTCAGAATCCTACAGACCTCATTGGATAGTGGAACTGCTTTTGTTAAAGGAAGCTGTGTTTTTGATCTGATGTTTCTTGAGACCCCAGGATTTTCATTCCTACTCCTGAAATAATTAGTATGGTGAGCGAAAATAAAGAGTTCATAACCAATTCTCAAAGTTTAAGAAACCAATGATCTGGTTTTTATATTTTTAATTTGTAACCTATTAGCTAAAATAGAGTTTATGAATTTTAGTATCTCTATCTTCCATTGCAACTGATAATTGAGAGCTGTTCATACTTGCACATGAAAAATACATGCTAATGTAATTATTTTTTATAGAACCATAGAGGCCCAGGGCACAAAATTCATGCACAGGTAGGGTCGCTAGGCCTGGCCAGCAATCAGGGCTGATCTATGGGTCGATCTGGGGAAAGGAGGGGAGGCCCCTGCTGGCGCCCTCCTTGTCTTGCCTGGGGCCTGCGGGCTGGGGGCAGCTCCTGTTTTGATTGTCTGCCCCCAGTGGTCAGTGTGCATCATAGCAACCAGTCATTCCACTGGTCATTCTGCAAATTAGTCTCTTATTATATAAGACTACAGGCTGGTGCACGAATCCATGCAGGGATGGGGGTCCCTTGGCCTGGCTGGCAATTGATGCCGGCTGGCCTGGGGGAGGGACCATGGGAGGTCGGCTGGCCATGGGAGGATGGCTGTGGAAGTGCACTGACCACCAGGGGGCAGCTCCTGCATTGAGCATCTGACCCCTGGTGGTGAATGCTCATCATAGCGACCAGTTGACCAGTCATTTCATCATTTAGGCTTTTATATATCTATATCTAGATCTAGATCTAGATATAGATATAGATATAGATATAGATATAGATAGAGATAGAGATAGAGATAGAGATAGATATAGATATAGATATATAGATATATAGATATATATAGATATAGATATTTCATTTTCACATTTTTCCTCTTAAGAGGCACTCAGAAGCATATCATAGTAGTTGCCTGCCTGTGAGTTAATGTGATAACAGGAAACAGACTTGGAAGTTAGGATGTGATTTGGACAGCCCGTGACCATAAGTCATTTATTTGACCGTAATGGTCCTAGATGAGTTATTTATCTATAGTGTGTTCAAAACCAAACTTGCTAATTTCAGGGCTTATTAACCCTTAGCAGAAACATAGCACCCTTCTCTGCCCTAGGGAGGAGAGTGTTAAGAATTCCTGGATCACAACTTAGGGATGACCTGATCCTTCTTTCAGCTCCCTGGGGACAAAGAGTTTGTATCATGGCAGCAGGACCTGGACGACTCCGTAAAGCCCACACAGCAGGCCCGGCCCACTGTGATCCGCTGGTCTGAAGGAGGCAAGGAGGTCTTCATCTCCGGATCCTTCAACAATTGGAGCGCCAAGATTCCACTGATTAAGAGGTGAGACAAGTGTCTTCATTGAGTCCACAGAGTCCAGGAGTAGAGACCTGGCTGGGCTACTCTTCACCTGCTAGGGACTCTTGCACATTTTCGGTGACCAGCGACTAATCTGTGACTTTTTTTTTTTTATCTCATAGTGAGTCAAAGGTGTTTTACTACTCGGAGGGATTTATAACCTTGTGGGCACATTCTTTAGGACTGTATTAATCCAACTCCTTACTAGGCCTGTAGGAAGGGTTTTATAACTCGCTGAGTCTAGTTGCTCTGACTGCTGCACTAAAACGAAACACACTGTTAAGTCTTAATGTTATCTGTTACCTCCTGGGCAATAATGAATTATTTAACTGGTTATCAGAACGGCCTACCTATCAGTATGTAATTTTCCAGAAGACGCTCACCAAAATATGGAAAGGGTACCTTGAGCCACTTCTGTGTCCTGAACCTAACTGCTATCTTATTTACTCTTGTGAGGGGTCTGTTCTGCCAAAGCAACATAGTTGTTAACATTTTTATTATTGGGAGGTTAACATTTTTATTATTCTTTTCCAGACATTAGTTAAGAACTAAAGTTCTTGGGAGGGGTTGGCAAGTACATGCTGAACATGATGTAGGAAAGGAAACTGGGTTTATAAATTACTTCAGAGGCTACAATCACTTAGCAGTGTAGAGGATAATTGGCATGCTATTTTGATTGCCTCATGGTTTTTACATTTACTTTGTCTTCTGATAAGAATTTGGCCTATTTAACTTTCTGTTTTCTTCTGTAGCCATAATGACTTTGTGGCCATCCTGGACCTCCCTGAGGGAGAGCATCAGTACAAGTTCTTTGTGGATGGACAGTGGGTTCATGATCCATCAGAGGTAAGGCCTTGACCTCCAAGGTAATCACTGACTTAGTCTCCTCCTGGCTATTATTCCCCTGGGTGTCAAACTTCACTGCTGTCAGGATTGATTGGCAGCACTGGAGGATTTATCTCTTGATAAAAGATGGAGGTGGCATCATTTTTAAAAAGAGGAGAGTCGAATGGAAGAGATGGATTTGAAACAGAGACTCATAAATTTTTCCCATTCACTGTTTCAGCCTGTGGTTACCAGTCAGCTTGGCACGATTAACAATTTGATCCATGTCAAAAAATCCGATTTTGAGGTGTTTGATGCTTTAAAACTAGATTCAATGGAAAGCTCGGAGACATCTTGTCGAGGTAATTTTGTAGTCTTTGCTCTTTCTTGATGTTTTTCTTTTAATGCATGCTCCTTCCCAGGAGTGGTTTTTATTTATTTATTTTTTTTTTTTGGTAAAGAATTTTTGTTGTCTTTATTTGAGTTTATTTGTGTGTTTTATTTTCATTTTTCTCTTCAGGAACCTTTTAAATTATACACAGGGTGAGGCAAAGGTAGGTTTATAGTTGTGGATATATGAAACACAGAGTTTATGTTTGTATTATTATTTATCATTTTTTATCATTTTCCATACAAACAAGTGTAAACCTATTTTGCCCCACCTCTGTAATTCTGTAAGCATTTTGGTCCCATGCCCTGAGACAAAAAAATATCAGTTTAGAGTATTTGATTTCAAACTTTAACCAGGATCTGCGCGCGCGCGCGCAAACACACACACACACACACACACACACACACACACACCCTATAACACAAGTCTTGCAGAACAGTATTTGCCTTTATTACATATGATGTACTCTATTTTCTATTTTATCCTTTCCTTTTTGGCAATTAATGGGCTATGGCCTATATTTAAAAATCTATTTCTAACAATATTTCAAGTTTTTCCATTGACCTTTGGTGGTATCACCCTCCCCACACTGTCCGGGGGCTAGATGTTGTCTGGTTTGCATACAGCGTTATAGGACCCTTAGGAATGGCAGTCTTTGGGGAAAGAGGGGTTACAAAACCCCACAATTCTTGTGTGTGTATATTAACTGAAGTTTTGTAAGTATTTCTTTTCTTTTCTTTTTTAATGCCTTGGAAGAGTAAAAGGCCTGTATCCTTTTGTTTCTCCCCATATCATTTTTTCCAAGGAAGGCCTTCATCTCTATGTGCATTTGCTGCAGCACCAGATGAGTGATTTGCTAACCACACTCACAGTTACCATTTTGTTACTTTACAGTAAAAGCTATGACTGTCTACAGAACGGTGTGCACTGTGTTTCTAGTGAGCATACCTCTCCCCTGTGGGCTCAAAGCCTGCCTCTGCTACTAACTAGCTTTGCCATCAGGGACAAGCCCTTCAACCTTTTTGGTTCTCCGTTCCTTATGAATAAAATTGGAGGCTTAGATTCTCAAACAAAGTTACTTGACCAAAATTGACCTGGGACCCTTCAGTGCCCAGGCAGATACTCTGTCCACTGTGCCAAACCGGCCAGGGCCATTTTTCTTTGATTTTTCCCCCCCACATACATAAAACTTACCCTTTTAAAGTGTAAAATTCAGTAATTTTTGGTATATTTACAGAGTTGTGTAACCATCACCACTGTCTAATAGCGGAATATTTTTATCACCCCAGAAAGAAATCCCATAACCATCAGCAGTCCCTAGTAATCACAAATCTACTTTGTGTCTATGGATTTGCCTATTTGGGACATTTCATGTAAATGGGATTATATAATATATGGTATTTTATGTTAGGCTTCTTTCACTTAATATGTTCACCCATGTTGTAATGTATATCAGTATTTTATTCCTTTTATAGCTGAATAAAATTCTACTGTATGAATATACTATTTTGTTTATCCATCCGTTAGCTGATGGACATTTGGATTTGTTACTGCTTTTAGTCTATTATAAATAATGCTGTTTTGAACATTTGTGTTCAAGTTTTTGTGTAGACATGTTTTCATTTTTCGTAGGTATATGCTCAGGAATATAATTTCTAGGTCATATGGTAACTTTATGTTTAACTTTTGAAGAAACTGCCAAACTGTTCAGAGCAGCTGCACCTTTCACATACTCTCCAGCAATGGGAATACTACAAAGGTTCCAATTTCTCCACATACTTGCCAACAATTATTGTTCTTGTCAGTCTTTTTTATTACAGTCCTCTAAACATATGTTAAGTGGTCTTTTATTGTGGTTTTTATTTGCATTTCCCTAATGACTATTATATTATTTGTAATTTTGTCCTCATTGTTGCAATCATGGAAGTATAAGTAATCTTATAGTTTTTAACCTTGTCTGTTTCCTGGGTGGGGAAAAAAAGAAATGCAATCTTTTTATACTGTTATACATGACAAGGCACTGTCATATTTGTTTTCTTATTTGATTCCTTTAAAAACATTGTGCAATTGGGTAGAGATTCTTTTTATGAATGAGGAAACTGACCATACTGTATGAATGAGGAAACGGATAAATGGAGTACTTCTTCCCAAAACCTATCTCTTTTACCCCTCTTCTCCTCCTTTATCCTCCATATCATGTTGCCAGGTTGAGGAACTTTAGCTTATGTGCAGGATAACTCAAGACTATTTCTTGTCTGCCTTACACTTGTAGACCCAACATGTCACAAATTTATGATTCATGATTTCTATGTATTTATTATTAGATGCCATAATGGTATTTTTTCATGCGTTTTTACTAGTTCTCTAACTTTCCCTTATATTTGGATAAATGTCTTCCAGACCTTTCCAGCTCACCCCCAGGCCCTTATAGTCAAGAAATGTATGTGTTTCGATCTGAGGAGAGATTCAAATCCCCGCCCATCTTGCCTCCTCACCTTCTCCAAGTTATTCTTAACAAGGACACTAATATTTCTGTGAGTATCCTGAGAGTATTGCTGGGGCATCTTGAGGTCACTGGGACCATTTGAGCTAAAGTTTAGTAATCGTAGAGGTTGGGATTATTACAAAGGTGATCGTTACATATGTATTCATCACATATATGGAAAAAAGAATTCTAATCTTTTCATATTGTTATCCTACATATAGCTATATATAGATATCATATATAGATACATATATTATTATAGTTTCTTTTTTTTTAGGGGTGAGTTGTGACTTTTCCAAAATTCATAGTTGTCTTCTGCTCCAAGTAATTCAGGCCCAGAGCTATGGATTACTAGAATCAGTTTCAGGAACTTATATTCCAACACAAGACAGAGCACATTTATCACTTGAGGATATGGAAAAGAAGTATAAAGTGGCCCTTTTTTGTGTGTGGTTTTCATATAATTTACATCTCTAGTCAATTCACGTGATTCCCATTAAGATTACTGTTGCTTCTTAAGCCTGTACCTTCTATGTCTGATGTGGGCAATATTTTTGTCTTAGCTCTGTTAAGGAAGATGAATTGATGCTGAGGCTTAGCATTTCAGTCCTGGACTCAGAATTTTCCTGATTTCCTGTAATGAGACTGTATTTATATATATATATATATAAGGATGAGTGCAGGGAAAAAAAAAAAAAAAAGGATGAGTGCAGTATGTAAAAGGAACAATATATAGTAGTTTAGAGTTTCTCAACAATCCCAAAGGGCTTGACAAAGAGTAAACTGCCTGGTTTAAAACTGCATTTAACCCCAATTAGTGTTGTGTGTTTTTCCCTTAGTGTGACCCAGCCTTGCTCCCTGAACCAAATCACGTTATGCTGAACCATCTCTATGCATTGTCCATAAAGGTAAGTGGTGTGGCTTGCTCTTCACAGAGCTCCCCAAAATGGATTTCACTTTTATATCCCACACATAGGGTAACTTATGTTTTCCAGTGATTACTTGCTCTGAAGCTGAGACTGTCAGGAATGGTAAAATTATAAGGAATTTAAGTTTTTATTGATTTTTTAGAAAGAGAGGAATGGAGGAGGACAGAGAGAGAGAGAAATATCAGTGAGAGAGAAACGTCATCCATTGGCCCATACTGGGGATTGAGCCTGCAATGTGTCCTGATCAGGAATTGAATGGGTGACCTCTTGGTTCCTAAGTCAACACTCAACCACTGAGCAACACTGACCAGTCATATAAAGAACTTACTTTTTTTTTTTTTAGGCTACCAAAAATTTTGGTTGCCTTTCCTTAAAAAAAAAATTGGGGGGGTGGGTAGAGAGAGAGAGAGAGAGAGAAATAAACTTTTTTTAAAACTAGTTGGTGGTTTGTGTGTGTGTGTTTTTTTTAATCTTAGTTTAAAAAAAATTGCACAGTGAAAGAAACCACCAATAAAACTAAAAGGCAACCAATCGAGTAGGTGATGATGTTTGCAAACAACAGCTCCAATAAGGGATTAATAATCAAAATACATAAAGAACTCAAGCAACTCAACACCAAACAAACATATAATCCATTTAAAAATGGGCAGAGGACCTGAGCAGACACTTCTCAAAAGAAAACATACAAATAGCCAACAGATATATGGAAAGATGTTCAACTTCACTAGCTATTAGGGAAATGCAAATCAAAACTACAATGAGATACCACCTCAGGCCTGTTAGAATGGCTGTTATCAACAAGACAAGTATTGGAGAGGCTGTGGGGGAAAAAGGAACCCTCATTCACTGCTAGTGGGAATGTAAACTGGTACAGCCACTATGGAAAACAGTACAGTGGCTCCTCAAAAAATTAAGAATAGAGTTGCCATATGACCCAGCAGAACTTCTTTTTTTAAATTTTATTTATTTATTTTTTTAAATTGATTTTTCACAGAGAGGAAGAGAGAGGGATAGAAAGCTAGAAACATCGATGAGAGAGAATCATCGATCAGCTGCCTCTTGCACACCCCCCACTGGGGATGTGCCCGCAACCAAGGTACATGCCCTTGGCCGGAATCGAACCCGGGACCTTTCAGTCTGCAGGCCGACGCTCTATCCACTGAGCCAAACCCGTCCCGGCAACCCAGCAGTACTTCTGAGTCTCTACCTGAAAAATTTAAAAACATTCATTTGCAAATATATATATATATATATATATATATATATATATATATATATATATATATATATATATATGTTTATTGCAGCATTATACACAGAGGCCAAGACATGGAAACAGCCCAAGTGTGCTTTGATGGATTATTGGATAAAGAAGATGTGGTACATATGGAACTGGTATACAATGGAATACTACTGAGCCATAAGAAAAGATGAAATATTGCCAATGTGATAACATGGATGGACCTTCAGAATATTTTGTTAAGCAAAATAAATCAGTCAGAAAAAGCTAAGAACCATATAATTCTTATGCGTGGGATATAAAACTGAAACTCATAGATACAGACATATGTGTTCTTAGCTTACCCTGTGGGTAGCTATAACCACTATACTACCTACTTAATTTTAGTACATAGCACTAAAATTCCACTTGCACAGAAAGCAAGTTAATCTTCAATTCAAAGAATACATAAATGTGGTATTAAAGCTCTCACTTTTTAAAGATGGACACAACTACTTTCAGGTGACTCATTCATATATACCCAGGTGGTTGCATCTCTCCTATATTGGGAGAAATGTGACCAGATTTGCAGTGTCCCCTCCAATTCTTATAGTCCTTCTCGATTTCTCTGCTGCTTTAGAGTCTAGGTTGAAAATAGTCATTCAGTCTAGTCATGTCTTTGTGGTTTGGCTATTGGAATAAAGTTTTGTTCTACAGTTACCAGATGATCATCATCTGAAGAGTTTGTAAAAATACAGATTCAGAAGCTATATCCAAGGGATTTTGAATAAGTGCATCTAGGATGGGCCCTAATCATCTTTTTAAGCTGCTTATATTTCTTAGATAAGGGCAATCACTGATACAGCTTCTTTAACAAATAACTTCTTTAACTACCTTTGAATTTATTTTTTATAATAACCTTGTGTGGTAAGTATTATTTTTAACCCCTGTTTTATAGATAAAGAAACTAAGGCTCAGAGAAGGTCATATTGCCAGTAAGTACCAGAGAAAGGACTGAAGTCCAGTCTTCCTATTCTCATTCCATATTCTTTCCCAGATATTACTGGGCCAGGTCTTTCCCAGTAGATATTTCTCTCACTTTCCCAGTAGGTATTTCTCTCATTTCTACCAAACCCTTCTTGGAGTTGAACTTTTTACCTGCCTTGCTTCTGTCATATTTCTGCCTTCTCTGGTCACGGAATGTTAATCTGGGAAGCACTGATTGTGGACAAACAGTATAGGGGAAAATAGGAAAATGCACTGGTTTCTCAATTGGATCTGCTTGGGTTCTTTGGGATCTGACTGAACTTTTGCCTCCTGTTACTGCTCCTTAACTATCAATGGATGTCCACAGGCCTGCCACCTTCTCTTGTGGTACATACATAACCTGTAACACAGCCTGGGAAATTGTACCTTTTTACTTTTCAAACTGGTCTTAAGTATTGTGATTCACCTTGGCCTTGACTCAGATTGTTTAGGCCGTTTGGAATTAATCAATTGGATTGAGTGTCTTTCCTAGGAGGATTCTGGGGTCTACTTTATTCAAAGATAGAAGGGGATTCCTGAGTCCCCTCTTGAACAAAGAAGACTTTTTAAATGGAAATTAGACCTGCTTCAGGGCTTGAAAATGCCTTTCTTCTCATTGCATTTAAGATTCCGTCTATAAATGGATTGCCAGGGTGTTTCTTTCTTTTTTTACTTGCTAGGTTTAAACCAATATTCAAATTTAAAATAGGGAAGGAATGAAATAGGAGACTAATCTTTCTTCCAAGCCAGCACCAATTAGGTGTCGGGGGACTATGCCAGGTATTCTGATGTAAACATCAGAGCCACGTAATGGTAGGCATTATCCTTTCGATGGTGAGGGGAAAAGACTCACAGCCTTAACCGGTTTGGCTCAGTCTATAGACACAAGGGTCCCAGGTTTGATCCTGGTCAAGGGCATGGTTTGGGGCACATCCCCAGCAGGGGGTATGCAGGAGGCAGCTGATCAATGTTTCTCTCTCATCTATGTTTCTAACTCTCTCTTCCTCTCCCTTCCTCTCTGTGAAAAATTAATAAAATATATATTTTTTTAAAAGAAAGAAGACATACAGACATGAAGTAGATTATTCAAGGTTACAAAAAGAGTAACAGTAGGATTCAGGATCAGATTTAAGTTGATTTGACTCTAAAACCAAACTCCTTTTATAATGTCTCTTAAAAGTGAGCAACTGTGTACCACCTGAACTAATGAATTAGCTGCATGTTTCTTTTCCTTATAGGACAGCGTGATGGTCCTTAGTGCAACCCATCGCTACAAGAAGAAGTATGTCACTACTCTGCTGTACAAGCCCATCTGAGGGGATCCCTTTCTGCCTCCCAGGCTTCAGAAGCAGTTTCCTTGCCTTTCTGGACTAGACTAGTCTTACCTGAGACTGGAAGGCTTGATTTGCTTTGAGGCTGATGTGTGTGTTTCAGAGTCTCTGAGTAGGATGCTCTGCCTTTGCATTTGATTGAAGATGAGGGTTTTATGAATTCATGGCGTTCATTCTAAGAAAAATAATACATATATGTATACATATGAGAGGAAGGTTAATGGAAGGCTACTAGCCACATGTATTCTCTCTGCCTCTAGGGACGCACCAAGAACTGTTTGGGGCTGCTGCAGGAAGAACCTTCGCTATAGGAAGCTTTTTTTTTTTTTTTTACTAAAATGAAGAGCAAACTCAGTATCCTTGATGTGTGGAGAGTCTATCACTGCTACCTTGGCTCTCCAAGGGATGGTCTTGTGCCATACTCTGGCCCTACTCACAGCTGCTCCTTTTAGGACAGCTTTTCTTGCATGGGTTTTCTGTATTCCCAGAGTATGTGGCACAACCTTGTTGCTGGTTGTTTGGTTGGTCAGTTGGTTTTGTGGTGGTCTTTTTTTTTTTTTTTTTTTTTTAATCTTCAGCTGAGGATACACTCTGGGTTTTTTATATAATACCAGATATCCCACAAAAATCTTTTTTCCCCTCTCATTATATATACTTGCTTTGATAACCTCTTTCAGATCCTATACATGACCCTCCCCTAACACAAAAACTCATTGGTAAATGACTCCTTTCAAAGTCTTTGGGATATCTGACCCACCTCAGAGACTAGGGCTGCCAGAAAGACCTTTTAGCCCAGCACAGGCCTATGCCACTTTGTCACCACTTGTTCTAACTTCTACTAAGGAAAATGGCTCAACATTATAAGGCAGAAAGCCCTGGCCAGTGTCCTAAGTGGTTAGAGCATTATCCTACACTCCGAAGGGTCGTGGGTTTTATTTCCGGCCCAAGGGCACATACCTGGGTTGCATGTTCAATCCTTGGCCCCAGTTAGGGTGCATGTGAAAGGCAACCAATCAATGTGTCTCTCTCACATGGATCTTTCTCTCCTCTTCCCTTCACTCTATAAAAATCAATAGAAAAAGTGTCATTGGGTGAGGATTAACAAAAAATAAAAATAAATAAAGGCAGGAATGCAGGTCTACTTTCTTGTTTTACTAGAGGTTTGATGCCACAGCTTAGGCCGTATTGGCACATCCCTATAGGTTTTCCTTCCTGGCCTGGCCTGCTTCAAGTTCTCTTTCTCAGAGCAGACAACCTTGAAGGTGGGAGTGAGCCAGGGAAAACTTTCATGTCTTTCATCCTTGAAAGATTTTTATGTGCCTACATTTTTCTTTAATTAAAAAATGCCTTTTTATTGGTCTTATGAGACTTCATTGGAGAATTGGTTCCCAAGATTTTCTTCCCTAGTCTAGTTCTTAATCTTAGAGTAAGTAATGTAGCTGACCCTGTGCACATCATTACACTAAATATTGCTCTAGGTACAGATATATTCAGGCTCATTTGATGCACTTAAAAGGTTTTCTCAACTTAAGGTTTGTTAGGGTGAAAATCAAGAAAGGACCCTTGGTGTTCTCAACCATCATTTTGTTGTTCTGCCTCTTTTTAAAAAACATATTTGATAATGAGGTGGGATCAGTGATTTCCATTTGTGGAATGAAATTAGCATTCAATCTATTCTTGGGGTAGAAAGATAAGACATATTTTCCAGGTATCTGGCTCTTCCATTAAAGGTAAATGCACGTCAAACATTCAACACTTAAGGAGTCCAAATTTGATGCTTGAGAGACTCCTTGACTGCTCAGATGAGCCCAGCCACACTGAGGGCATCCATAGGTCAATTTAATTACCTCCTGCTTTCCCATGCAAAACTGGAGGCAGTTGTGTTTGGGTATGTAGACCTCTTAGGTCCCCATATGAGGCAGAAGGCTATGGTAGTGGTATTTTGCTGGGAATGCAAATTGCTAAGTGCTTTGGTGGTTAATTGCTGAGAATAAATACTGCTTTAGCCACTTAAGGCCACCTTCTGCAGCAAAAGGTTTTTGTGGAGAACTTTTATACTCCCAACCACTTTTTGAATAGTGTGCCATTTTAAAAATCCAGGCCAAATCCTATTTTAACCAACTCTTAGGATCTATGTCATCTTCAGTTAATCTAGACTTTTGTTTTTTTCTAATACCCATTAAATAAGTGGGCTACTTAAGAGGATTCAAAATCTTGGTTTTGAATAAAGAATTTTGTTGCACTCATATTTCTGATCAACAGTATTGAAATGTAGTTGCCTATATGTTCATGTATTGAGATTTTTATTCTGCACAGGTATGTCAGTAGAGGGGGCAGGAAAAGAGACCCTTCAATTTCTTTCAGGCCAAAGGCTTTGTTGAATTGGGTCTGGCTTCAGTGACAATAGATTTTGGTGTTGGTGACCTTTATGTCTTTCTAATCAGGAAAGATGCAGAGAGCTCAGTTTCCCAAATTCTGAGGTTATCTCTCAGCCAGATGTGAAATGGGAGCCTAACAACCGGTAAGGAAGGTAAGGAACTGGATGATGACTCCTTCGGTATTGTTCCTTTTTTATACTGCTAATATGTCCCATGGCTCTGAGAAGCCCTGTCATACTTTGTCCCCAAGAAACTGTTTCAGAGGATAGGGAAGGAGGAAGGCAGATAGGGAGAGAAGAAGGTAGCGCCACGTATAGCCACTCATTCTTTTGTATTGGTTAACGGGATAGTTTACTTTCTTTAGAGGTTAGCAGATTTGAGAAATGAATAAAAGCAAGAAAAATATTTTTAGCTCTTTTGGGAAGGACTATAGCAATTTCACAAGAGTCAGAAGAATTAGAAAATAGCTCTCAGGAGGATTCACCCTTAAAGAACTACATCATGGTTTTGGGATTATGGGAAAAAGAGAATGACTGAGTTGAGTAATACTAGGAAAATAAAGACTTGAATAACTGAGAACTACCTTTTTAAAAAAAATTAAATCAGACATAACATATTGGTGTCCTTGGATTTCACTGTACAGAATTTACTATAAAAGACATCATTCCTTCAACTCTTGTTCCTGTTCTCTACCCTTTTTTCTATATTCTGATGCAATTTCATTTGACAAATAGACTTTATCAGGGTCTCAAGTCAAACATTACCTAAAATAAATGTTAGGTATCTTGCTGGTATGGAGAACTTTTAGTCACACTTAGAGTTGAATGGGATTCAACCACTATCAGCAACACCCACGAAGGACATACTTGTCCTTACTAGTTTGGCTTTTTTAAACAATGTTTACATGATAAAGAAATCCTATAAAAGAAGAATCTAAGAGAAGTTCCTGAGAGAATCCTACAAATCCTGGCCCACTTACTTCCCTTCAATTAGTTCTAGTCACTTGTAGACCTACTGAATCTGAGATAAAACCTTTGAAAAGTGTTGGTAATCCATGTATGCTGCTAAAATGAAGTTAAATTTTGAAAGAAGTGTTACCTTCAGCCTGGGCTTATATTAATGTGGGCTGTAAATGAAGGTAATGTACAAATGATAGAATTTCCTGCTTTTAACTGGGGAAACAGGGCTTTTAAATTTTTGACCTCAACTAAAAATGATATGCAATAGTCTATGTTTGTGTGTGTTTGAAATACATTCTGTTCTCAAAGGTTTCTAAATCTCTATGTTCTAATGATTTGGGGCATGGGTTTACTCGCAGATACAGTTTGTTCCTATATTATTCTGACTCATCCTGAAGGCCAAGTTCCTGCTATCTTCTACCAGGGATTGCTGATTCCAGTTACCAATGGGATGGTGGACCAGGGCGGGGGAGGGGTTACAGTCTGTCTTTTAAAAGTCTGGATCTAGGCATTTGTCTGGATATAGGCAATTGGAGCTTGAAGGGCTGTGATTTCTGCAATGAACCCACAATTTTGGAGTAAAAGAATTTATTTTTAAATTTTAAATTATAAGCAGAAAGAAGAAAAAAACTTGAATCTGCTACTTATGATCTCCAATTCCTAGTAATGGAATCTCTCTAGGATTCATATTTGGGCTTTGTCTTGATTTGCTTTTCTCAATTGTGCTTTGAAGTGAATAAGTTTTGTTAAAAACTGAAATTTTTGTTGGTTTTAACATTAATTGGAAATGGATTGTGTGTAGTACAGTACTTTTGCATTAAGATTGGTATGAAATACTAAACACCGGATTTTGTAGTCAGGTTAAATGGTCAAGGAATACCTACTATAGTAATATGTATTGATCATCTTACTTTTCTGTTTCCGTCTACAGAGCATTAATCTTAACCAGGTTCAGGTTTTAGAACAGCCAAGCTCACTGATGTTATTAATTCTATTATAATTCCACACTGGGCCCCATATGTGAGACTTGTTTGAATATTGGTAAATTGGAGGATGTTGGTGGTTGTTATACTGAAGCACTTTGGATTAGTGAAGCTCTGTCATAAAGGGGAAATAATACTATAATTTGAAAAGAATTAAACATGTGAGTCCATTAAATGGTGCTTTTTGTAACCTTTAGTGCTGAGGTGCAGAGCTGCTTTTCAGTATTTCATAGAGGAGTAGTACACAAGAATGGGTTTGAAAACTTTTCTCCAAGTGGATTTTGTCACTGGATTCTGATATGTCTGAAAATATGATGTAACACATGTAGAAATTGTTTTTCTCCATAACACTGTCAAATAAAAGTATTATGCAGCAATATTTGAATTGTTCCTTGACTACTGATTATCGATATATTACCAAGATCTGTCTGCTGCCCTGGACAATGTGGCTCAGTTGCTTGGGCATCACCCCGAACTAGTACTGAAAGATTGCTGGTTCTATTCCCAGTCAGAGCACATGCCTGAGTTGTGGGCTCGCTCTCTGATAGGGGTGTGCAGAAAATAGTTGATTGCTGTTTCTCACATCAGTGTTTCTCCCTCTCCCACACTCTAAAATTCAGTTTTTAAAAATGTTAAGCCTGAACAGTGTGGCTCAGTAGTTGAGT